CATAAACAACTCGCTCGTGCGACCGAAAATAGGTGCACCGAGCACACAGCTCCAACCGCTCTTCTCTGCCTGACTGCTCAGACACGCTCAGAGTTAAAAAGTCAGCACATTTCAGCGGCTCCCACCTTTTTCCCCCCCTTCCCGGTGTGGAATGCACACCTGGAGGTGTTTGCCGAGTGGCCTCAGTAATCCACATAACAATGCAGGCTGACAGCTGGTGCCACCAGGAGCACTGGAGGCAGTTTGCTCCGACAGGCGCTGCATTGTCTCCAGAGATCAGTGATGCTGTTGACCTCCTTATTGTGACGTTTGTCTATAATCCTTTATCGTGTTGCCTTTTAATTAATCAAAAAAAAGTAAAAGAGTCCGGCTTTAAGGTGATGGGAAACATGGGGTTGAAATATGGAACTGATTAGTCGAAAAAAGGAAGAAATCTCTCAGTCAAACCTCTTGTGTACATTAAAGACAGCATGAATATAGGAGATGGAGCGCAGGTAGAGAGCAGCTGTCTAGACTTTGTTGACTTGCACTGCTTTCGTTTGCCCTCTCAGCGCACACACACCAGGAGAGAGAGATGGGTGCAGATAAAGCAACTGGGTTACGCCCCGCCGAGGAATTGTGATGCCTAGGGGGGGGGGTGGGAAACTCTCTGCCTGGCTTGCCTTAATATTTGTGGATCTCCTCGGTCAACAAAGCAGCGCGTTTTGACGGAACATGTCAGGTTCCTCTGTGACTCGGGGGCCGGACGTCTCCTCCGGTTAAGACAGCTGTCAGCACAAGAGAGCCGGCGACTCCTCCATGTGCTGTCGTCGACTTCAGGTCAGGAGAGCAGAGCGAGGGTGAGTCTCAAAAACAAAACCGCTTTAGCTGGCTTCGTTGTGCTCAATGATCTCTGGGACGTGGTTCAGTCTTGAGGTGCGTGTTACTTGTTCACAGGATTGAACCTGCATCGTTGAGAGGGAAATGTTGAGCGGCGGTCTTTGCTGAGTGCACTTGATATAAGGGCAGAGCAAAGTTAAGCGCTGTACAGTATTTTTTTGTGACAGTGTATAGTGTCAAAATATTCAAAGGGGATTTTGAATCTATCAAATGAGAAGTTATGCTCAGGTACTAAAGAGGCTACTACTGGCACGTGGGTAAGTTTTATGACCTGTCATAGCGAGATGAATTGATTAAAAATAGTTCAAATGCGCGCTGTCCTGCTTGTGTCCATCCACTCTATTTTGGCAGAAATAGTTTATTTTATTATAAAAGGGGTATTTAATGAAAATAAGATTTACAGTGGTTTGCTTATGCAATTCTGCAAGAAATGTTCAATCTAATCAGTGTGTTTGATAAAGAAAATATATCACAACCTTTTTTCGGCCCCACGAAACATTGATTGCATGCAAGTAAACATCAAAGAGGAAGCAAGCTCGTATTCCTAGAATTTTCCGACAACGACTTCCGACTAAAACATGTAAACCCTGTTCTTTGAACCGTGAGGTTTACTGATATTTTACAGTATTTACTGTACGACCACAGTACATAATGCATTGTATGGATACTTGGTCAGACTGGGCTTGTCCTCTCCTTGACTCCTTGATGGTTTGTGTGGGAGCCGCTGCTGTAACTCGACCTTGCCTCCTCCAGCCACCTGTGCTCGCGCGCTCTGGGAAAACACTGGCTTTTGTGTTGGAGTGGGACGTCCACACAGCAGGGGGGCTGAGGTACATTAGGCGGCTACGACAGGTGGCGTGCTTCCCCGCAGTAAAGAGCATGAAGACGGTGGGGCTGTTGGTGGAACAGCTGCGCCACACTGCTGTCAGGATTGCCTGTCCTGACAAAGACATCGGCAAAAGACAGGAACTTTTAATTTAACAGAAGACCGGGAAGAAACATTTCTTTTGTCTGTATGCATGACTCTATACGGATCCGGGTCTCTCCTTGCGTGTCAGTGGGAAGCGGGGGGGGGGGGGGGGGTGTTAAGGTGCCATGTGGGTGTTTGTGTTTGTGTAGCTGTGTGCATTTTTGCAGAGAGGTAATCAATCTGAATCCTGGAGCCTAGATTATGCCGCACCACCACCGCGTTCGTCTGTGAGAGGAGGGACGGTTTACTCTGAGCCCCCAGGGGCTGTTTTTACCCGTCTGCTGGGACAACTGGACAAGGGGGCAGAGGGGACATTAGCTGGGCCTGTGTGAACCTGGGTGGTAATGTGATGTGAGTTCCCGTGGCTGTGTGAGTCGGAGGGAGAGTGATGACTCATTAACTCCGTCCTTCACATGGACAGTCTGATCTGTAAGTATAAAACTCGTTTGATCTTTTGAATCTTTTGATAACTGACAAGATTTTGCCACAACTCTCCTAGTTCAAAATATCCCACTTGGAGTTTAAGAGGGAGAATTTAGCTTTAGAGTTTGAGGATTTAATAACAGCTGTCGTTGGGTGGCCTGTGTGGCACTGCGAGGTTGGTACGAAGTGAGGTAGAACCAAGGTGTCACATTCCACAGTTTGGTGTGCGTGTGTGTGTGCGTGTGTGTGTTCAGAAATGACCACCCATCCACTCAAAACGGGGCATACACAATCCAGCCTCGCTTATATTTTAAACATGGCATCCGTTGGGATTTTGAGTTTGGTTGAACGGTTGTGTGTACACATGTACATGTGTCTGTCTAAAATGGACTGCAAAATCGTTAAATCTAAATCCAAACAAACAAACTACTGGGTCCATCCTCCCCTCTTAAATCTCTCTTGTATTTTTATCTGGAGAGTTACGGTAAGATAGCAGGATGACAAATGACAAAACTGCAACTCTCATGTCATCAGACTAATTTGTTCCCCTTATTGCTTTATCAGATGGCGTATCGCCCCCTGGGACCGGTCTATCTGCTTTTTCAGATCACATAAATATTTTGTAGCAGAAGTCCTGGTAAACAAGGCTATTTTAAACCTCAAGGTTGCTCATTGAAGAAGTTCAATACTTTTGAATTATTTTAGTTTTGCAAACATCTTAATTTAAATGGAGCTGATGTTTTACTGTCCACAACTTTACTGCTGTCTTGATTTAAATCAGAACAGGCTGTACACAAGAGCGTGTGGAGCCCACACATGGATTTATTTTGGAGACATCAGCACTGTGGACAAAGTCAACACAACTTGAACCAGGTGTCTGGCGCCATAAATACATGTTGTGTATTTTTTATCCCAGTACACATCAGGGCTTAACGCTGACATCACCAGCAATAAAAGCACACGCTGAAGAGGATCCGCAGGTCTACAGTCTCAGGCCGGACATTTACACAGAGGGGAAAATACAGATGGAAGCAGTTGGTGCTTGACAACTAAAAATCCTCTCCGAGGGAGACACTTCAAACCCCAATACCACTGTTACTGGATACTCAACTTTGTTGAATTTTAAAAACAATATTACTTACGGTATGAGCTCAATTTACACTTACACAAACACAGGCATGTTGTGCTTTCTCTAAGAATACAGTTTCATCACAATCAAGGATTTTGAAGTCGCTGACCAAGCCAGTTTTCTTAAAAGTGGGCATTCTGTGGTCAGTTGGCTGACGCGTCTGTGTCTTGGACATGTGCCGACCCCGAGACCTTTGTTGACTTCAACTTGAACCATTTTTTTGCTCGTCTGCAGTAGATGCAAACCCATGTGATAAGTATGAATTAAAAAGAAGGAAAAGGAGAAAAAACAAAAGGGATGGAGGCGACGTAGAAGGAGGAAATCTGCCCTTACTGGCGGTGAAACCAGCCAAGTGGGAAAGGCTGGAATAAAAAGGGAAGAATAAATTATAGGGTCAGACATTGCACCAACATTATGGGACGTGGAGTGGGACGAGTGTATATTTGAATAGCGCATAGAGAGGCATGTGCACGTCTGTTTATAGCAGATTATACTGTAGATATATACATAAGACTAAATGTTGCTCTATTGTATATATAATAGGTGTTTTCACTGGTCTTACCTCTGGGTTTGCAGTAACGTCTCTGCTTTTCTTGTGACAGGTGTAAAATCCTCTGGATCATTTTGACAACATGAGAGTAACCACAGCGTGTCTCCGACGGGTTATTGTGAACCAAGTAGTGCACTCCCTCCAAACACACGCTTAACCCTGTTTACACAGGCTGCCTTCATATGATCATATGAGCACATTTTTACACAAAGTGTGCGTTCTCACAGAGCATTTTTTTCCGCCCAAAACAATGGTTTCCTATGTTTAGGATGAGATGGGAAGGAGGTAACAAACTCTCACTGGTCTGAATTCCAGTGATAGAAACAGGCCGCCTCTCTCCATGTTTTTGTTTCTCGTGAGGGTTTTCTTTGGAATGTTAACTAATGATGTAATTGAGTTTATGTGTGTGTCTTAAACTCAAAAAAACACTGTTCTGAAGAGCCTTTCAAGGAACAACGGTTCCTTTATTGTCCTAGTGACAAGATGTCCTATCTGTCTTATTAGAAAGGAGGATGTCCCGCATATGTCAGGGGTTTGTAAAGACCAGTTTAAGGATCGGGTGCAATATTTAAGGGCAACGCCATTGCAGTGAGCACCCTGAGCCACCAAGCCTGTGCTGATGTCTTCCTTTCTTCCTCCTTTTGAAAAGCAGCAGAATAAGCTGAAACCTTAGTCCATTTGTATTGTCGGGACAAAGAGGGACCATTGTGGCAGGAAGGGGTGGAGGGGAGCCGCCGGTGGAGGTAGGGGCGCAAGGGGTCAGGGGGGCGGGGGGCAGAGAGTAGTTAGTCAGAGTCCGTCCCATGCTGGGTGGAGGGTGGAGGGTTGGGGGCTTGGGGCGGGGGGGGGGGGGGCTGCCGGTCAGGGAAAGTTGTTTTGTCTCTGAATGATGAGCCTGAAGTTGCATAAGTGGGCATTAATCCCTCTGGAAGAGGCTTCGGTAGCACAGCGGCAGCAGGGCGGGGGAGGTTGTGTGTGAGGGAGGGAGGGAGGGAGGGAGGGTGAGTGACGGGCAAGCCAGCGCACTGCCGCTCTCACGCCACGACAAGAGTTCATTCTGCTCCTGCTGCCTTCCCCACAGACACACAGACAGACAGAGAGAGAGAAAAGGCACCGGAGCCGCTCATATCGCCGCAATGACTTACAGACTGGATTCTACACTGGATTTTAGCACCTGGAGTTGTTACCACTTATTTAGTTGTTGAAGTTTGTTCGTTTGTCTGCCGTCTAAATGCTGTCACTGGGCAAAATGCACTCCAGAGCCAAGTCCCGCAGTTGTGACAACTACCTGAGTATTAAGGTACGGACTTTAAGTATGTCTTCATCACGGTTTTGCTTAGACTTCCATGGAGGTTTCTCTTTCTTTCGGTGCATTTATATGTTTTAACTCTTCTGTAATTGCGTGTGTTACTGTGCACATTCAGGAGATGTTGTTTTAAAGTCTCGGCTTGTTGACGGCTGATGTTTTGACTTGCACTTGCAATGTAGCCAAAACACAGCAGGTCGGTTTTTAGACAAGCATACAGCGGGGACGGGGGGACGGGGGACATATGGGCCGATCCATCATTATATGATCAATCGGCATACGATTATATCACTTATCTTTGTCTCAGTTTCAATGATGTTATGCTTTAATTCTCTACTTTGTTTCATTGGGAGAGTTTAACACGTCACACTGTGCAAACGTTTGCCACCTCTCGTCGGCCGCTCTGCATCGCTTGCCTGTTTGTGGTAATCGGTGTTCTCCCCGAAGGACGTTGCCCGTGTCATTCTTCACCGATGGCCCCTCAACAACCGTCCAACTGTTGCTCACCAATTACAAACTGAACGTTGCAACTCTGCGTGATTAAAGACACATTAGGTCTAAACACTGAAACGAAAGACCATTTCAGTTACACGGATCACAAAAATACAAACATTTAAGCCGTGTGGCGTCATCAGCAATGGTGGACTGTTATGCGCAAACAAACAAAAACAAAGCGCTGAGGGCAGTGAAATACACGAGTTTGTATCCTTTCTGATAGATCAGGTTCTTTTATCATCCTCCCACTTGTTTTGGAATGCGCTCATGCTATATTTACTCTGTAGAGGTATCAACAGACTTTTGTTAGTCTTCTTTGTCTCTCCTGTCACTGCTCATCACCACTCTGATTGGCCGAAGAACCTCCATTCGCTTTTTGTCTTCTTGTTGTTAGGGTCTTCTTTTATGCGAAGGCCTAATCAGACGTGAGAATGCGCATGTCTGTTGTTTATAGTGCAACATCTATCTGTAAGTTCTGTCGGTGCTGCTGAGTAACAATATCCTGCCGGGGTTGTTTACATCCTGTGGGACAAAGTCTTCCGTTGACAACATAAATCAAGTGTTTCTGAACGGGGGAATATTTTCCTCGCTACACTATCAGGATAGAGTTTAAATTTGTCCGGTTAGAAAAAGAAAATTTGCATCTTGTCTTGTGCTGGAATCTTTGATCACACAGCTTCAAAAATCGCAGAGACCTTAAAGTTACCAGCTTCTTATAGCCTGATGGTTTTGCAGATATCTTTCTCTTACACTGCAGTCAAATTAAGGATAATATTTTTTTGCTGAAGTTGTCGGGCGAGTTTATCACCTCCAGACTTCCATCGTTGTTGGTCTCGCTGTCACCCCACAGACCCAGCTGTGTTTGGCGCTCAATCAGTGCCGGCCTCTCCGAGTTAGAGTTTATCTGCTGAGATAACATTGTTACTACGGTATTTTTTTACAATGCCATTTTACTATCATCATATTGTCTGCGGAAGACCAAATTCTGTAGTGTTTCTACACAGAGAGTCAGTTCATTTGTGTCTTACTTTATTCCACATCTTTGTCAGGCATTATTAGTAATGTTATGTCTTATTTTTTGGGGAGTTGTTTTACAAAGTCTAGATCTCTTTTTAAAAAACTTTTTATCCCAGTTCCTCTCCTCACCTCATCTCATAAGATATGATTCTTTTTATTGCTCAATGAGATGGCAGGTTCCACGGTGAGGCCTGACTGGGCTCTTTCGTTGGCATCCTGGCACCTGGCAGCGAGGCAGGTCTGAGCAGCCTCTGGCCTTTGTCAGCCTGTGGTCTTTAGGGCTGTTAGCAGGTTGGTTAGTGAGCAGTCTGCATGGGGGCTCCAGGGCTCTCTTGTTACACTCCCCTGGTGGCTTCATGCTCCAGTGGAGGCCTGGTAGGCAGCGCCTTTTGTGTCCCTGACCCACTAAATGTGTCAGTGACCGGCTCTCTCTCTCTCTCTCGCGCTGTCTCTTAAGGTCTCTCTCTCTCTCTTTCTCTGCGATGCACCCCATTCTCCCCTGCTATCTTTCTCACTTTGATTCTTTTCTTCTTCTGCTTTCCAGTCCGATACATGCTGTAAACAGGCTGCATTTTCTACTCTGACTTTTTCACATGGTATTTAATGTATTTTATATACTTTACTTTAAGTGGTTCATCAACCAGTTAAATTGCAATATTTCTTAGATAAAGTTAAAGAGCGAATATCATTGAAAGACAAAACCCAGTTCGTTCAGCTGGCTCACCTGCTCCTTGCACCTTTTGAACAGCTGGTTTACTGACAGTGCAGACAAAGGTCTCCCACCTGGAGCTCCAAGCCAATAATTATCACCTCAGTCCTCCATCACGCAGGCGGCCTCTCACAAAGACCTGAAATCAGAAAGGGTGGGACTTCCCGATCTGTTCCTGTCCTGGCTGAGGGTCTGAGGCTAGAGGCACACAGCCGTGCGCACTGCATTCCTCTGTGGCTCCGAGCGGATGAGAAGCTCAGCTCCGCTGGCTGGAAGCTCAGTTTTCTGCTGAGACTTGCACATATGTCCCTCCACTAGCCAGGTGACACTTTTTGAAAAGCTTCCAATGCTTCCGGACAATGAAAAGTATTACAAGTTGTGCTTAATGTAAGATGTTATCTACGGGGTGATGATGTGATATTTATTTCCCACTTCGCTCAATGTAAACATTGTGTTATTGTTCAGATAGCTGCAGTTCTTTGGTCCTTATTGTAGCATCGGATTACTCGGCCGGCCTCTCTAAAGCAGGTTGAATACCATTTGATTGATCACTGAGCTAATGTCTCTGCTATGTTGAGTTATCATTCATCAAAGCACCACCGCTGTTTGTTTTTTTTTCGTCTTGGGAACCTCAAGAGAAACTGGTGTGTCCTAACTCTGTAGTAAGGGCTTTCCTCCCATTGTTAGCTTCCCTCCAATAAAACACCATGTTATTCTTCTCCTCCCGGGTGCAACAGTGACTAATGCCCAGAGACATTTTTTGTCTCACTAAAAAGCAGCCTGACTGCTAATGGCGGTGGGCGTTTTTGTTTCAGGCCACCAAAGAGTGTACAGCACATACCACTTAGTGAGGCGGAGTACACAATGAGTGCCTTGTAGTAGAGTCGTGGCATGTGTACCAATGCACTGAACTGTACTCGCTTTCCTCTAATTGACGGTGCTGAGCTGCTTAGATCAACAGGACAGATCCTACAAAGGGTGAAACATGGGCAGCCTGACAGGCTAAATTTGCCTGAGCCCGGACCATGTCCTTATTTCTAAGCATCCTTTTTTTTACACACTTCCATTGTCATGTAAATGCAGCAAAGACAGTCCAGGGAAAGTTAAGGGCTCCATCTCCAACCCCTACGTTCCTCAGCATGGTACACAGTTGTCATAGTGTGAGACCTTCCCTGGTCGTTTCTGTTGTTCTGTGTGGTTATCATTTGGAGTCAGATGTCTCTATTCCACTGTTATGTTGCATTTGGAAAGGACAGATAGTCCGAGGGCTGTTTGGCCTTGGCTCCGTCTGCCGAGAGGAAGGTTAGAGCCTGAACCGAGGAGCGTGAATACAAGACCAGGTCAACTCCATCCAGGACCGCTGTAATCCCAGATGACCCTTCACGTCCCCTGGACAAATTGTAACCAACTGTGTCTGACATGTCCTCCTTCCTGGTGGGGTCAGGCCCGTGGTGACCCAGGTCGTGTAGGGGTCATATTAAAGTCAGCGATGACATGGTTTGTTATTGATGGATAGCATCGCACTAAACGGCCCAGCTTGAGTCCTGTCTGTACTTTCCAGCTTTGCTGTTTGTGTCCGCGGACAGTGACGTCGCTCCCACCAGGTGTTTCCCCTCTTGCTGATGGAAAAACCATCATGGCTGACATTTCCTGTCACGGTCAAACTTCCTGACCGTCAGGCCGAGGGGGATCTTGCTCATGTGCTCAATCAACTGTATTTTTATCTGGTTGAAGTCATGTACACGATGACGTGTTATCTGGTCGTAGTCTTTGCAGGACCCGCCTATCTGTTGATCTGACCACTACTTTAATATGTCGACAACTGTTCAATTGATTACCGTGAGCCACAGACATTCATTGTTCAGAGCATGAACAACCTTATTGATTCCCTTACCTTTCCTTACTTTTCCTCGAAGGCCATCAGAAAGTTGACATTTATTGAAATATTTTGACATCTATCAGATGGACTACCATGGAATTTGTTAGAAAAGGTTGATTAACCTGAGCGGTACCTTTTGTTTACTGCTAATTAATCATGCTAGAATAATAAAATACCAAATTATAGTGACATACGTGGTAAGCATTATAAGTGGCAGAAAAACAACACGTTCATGTGTTATTGTAAGTGAATGTTAGTGCACAGACATTTGACATTAATCTATGATCTCAGCAATGAAAGAGAAGTCTCACCGAGTCACTAGCACGAATAAAGACTCTTTACACTCACAGGATCCCCAGAAGGTTAAATACATGCAAAATGAAGCTGCCCAAAAATGATGTTATATACTGTGACTTTCTGTGTGTGTGTGTGTGTTTGTTCTGTTTTTGAAATGCTGGATACTTTCACCAAATTCCCATTCGTGGGAAAAGTATTCACATGTTCACACCAAGGCCAACCCGGGATGAGCCAGACTTTGCTTTGTTTGACAAAAGGGTGGGGGGGGGGGCACTGGTGTCCATGTGGGAAGTGATTTTTGCTTCATCTTGGGAAAATGATCTTTGATACTGCTTTCGGCCTTCTTGTTACCATCACACATTTAGCTCAAACTGATATCCAACCTAATCCGGATATTTCTTCTCTCAGGACACTGAGTCTTTGGACAGCTGCATCCAGAGCACCTTGTCGGCCCTGTACCGCCCCTTCAGTGCCACCGCTGCCACGGTCCTGTGGCAGCTCTTCAGCGTGGTGGAACGGCAGTACCGAGGAGACGGCCTCCGCTGCCTCATTGACTTCTTGCTTCCTGCCAAAAGAATCCTGCAGATCATCCAACAAGAAACCTATGTGAGTCAGGTGGAATCGAATCTGATTTATTTCAAATTTCACAATAATAACAACATTTACCAGGTATATTTATATATTTATCGACGTATCCGTGTGTCAGGAAGCGTCTAGTCGGGTCCCTTACCAGAAACTTCCAATATTTCATTAGAAATATCTTGAAAGGTAAGCGGTCAAAGTGATGACAAAAGAATGTGAGAACAGTGATGCTGAATGTGAATATGTGGGAAGGGGGAACATCAGACTGAGACAGAGTTGATCATTGTTCTGAAAACTAGCTGACAAGCAGCCATCTTTCTCTGAATAGGGACACAGAGGGAATCTGTGGTCTGTTTGAGAGGCTGCCATGGACTCTCGGGCCCAAAGGGAAATTCAATATTTTCTCACAAGCTTTGAGTGGCGTGGGTTAGGCCTTTACAACCAAAGCACTGTAACTTTATTCCTCCGTATTCATCTCCACGGTGATTACACTGTGACGATAGCCATAGCAATAGCTTTCCCCGAGCACAGCCCCCGAGAACATCTTGTAGTGCTTGAGAGTCTTTGTATTGCAGGCAATATGAGAGGTTTCAGAGGAAGATCCGTCTTTGCGTTGACTTTCATAACATGGATCAAAAGTCAACCCTTGGGCACAGTGTTTTTTTTGCTTATGTTCAGATTGTCAAAGTAAAGTTTGTGATGTGGTTGCTGCGAAACCGGGCCTGATCAGACAGGTTTTTCTCCTTGTCGAGGGATCGCTGACGGTGATTCATCCGACTCGGCCCGGGAAAATATCTTGCCGCTCACATTATATTTAAACACGTGTTTGAACACAGCTTTGCAGGTGTCACTGATACCACAGGTGAGCAACGATGGACGTACGATAACCTTTTATGACCTTGTTTTCTCTCAGGTCAGGTTCAGAGGACTGCTGTTCTATCATGAGGGGTGGCCTCTCTGCATCCAGGAGAAAGTCGTCCTGCAGCTCGCCCCTCTGCACAAAGTGCGACTAAAGCAAGGAGACTTTTACTTACAGATTGTTCCCTTGGGCCGCAAGACTGCAAAGCTAGTAATAAAATGCCTGTCGGTCAGTGGGCAGGCCATCGCAGAAGTCACCGTTGCAGAGAGCATGTATGGCAGTGTCTTCACAGCTGAGTTCTTGCAGAATGTAACACGTGAGCGTAACCTGCACCCACTACAGAACTGTCTTCTCACCACTGGTACGGCTGTGTACAGGACGCCGTGGAAGAACGTGGTCCACCCACTTTTTGTCAGCAGCACGGCAGACGCCATTATGCAAGCGCGCTGCAGCAGGGGCGGCTTCCGCGGCCATCTCAGCACCTGCAGCACCAGTGGATCCACGGGGACTCTGGACAGCCACCGCAGCTCCAGAGAGTCATTGCACTCCCAGGGAGCTGACTCCATCTTCTCTGAGGCCACCTCCCCAAACGGAAACCACGCAGAACCCTGCGGTGAGAACCACGGTGTCGCTTCACATGGCACCACAATCGAAAGAGTCTCCACCGAAGAGTGTGAAATAAGAGGCGAGGACAGTGGTGGGAGAGAGAGGGGGCCAGGGTCCAAGACGCTATCGTTCAGTACGGACCTCAGTAACCCGGGCCCCCAACGACGCCTCCCACGGGACTCTGTTGCATTTGAGAGCAGGAGACTTTTCAGGAAATCCTACATGGAGGCCCTGCAGAACCCCATGAGCCTCGGCTCCAGCAGCGAATCCATTCTGGAGGAAAGCCCAGAGGCCGGAGCTGGTCTGAGAGACGGCTCAGTGACACCAGGCAGCAGCCCCGACACCCGGTCTTCTTCCAGAGAACATTTATCTCGGCGGCTGGGTACCCGGAGCTGGCTGAGTGGTGATGACTCGCGACCCAGCACGCCTTTACTTTACTTACAGAGGGGGTTGAGGAGCGCAGAGAGACGCGCAGACAGACGCTCAAAGTCACTGGAGAGGACTAACAAGGCGGGACAGGTCAAAGGCCACCGGGAACGATCCTCTTCTGGTGGCTCGGCTGGCACCACCCCCAAAAAGCTTATAAATGGCTACGCTATTCGTTTTGGGAAGCTGGATTTGGAGGCCGCTTTTCCTGGCTCTGAGAGGAGAAACAGCAAAGAGGAGTCAGGTACGTGATGCTGCACTGATTGATGCTTTCGCATGAAAATCATAATTGACTTTACTAATTACATACAAATACCTTGTCTGTTGGCACCGTCAGCAGTAGAAAGTAAAAAAAAGTATGAATACGAAAGTTCTCAACTTTAACTACAGGTTTTAGATACTTGTACTTTACATTTGAGAATGCATTTCCAATAATATATTTTAGTTCATTCCTTTTATTTTCACGGCTTTAGGCCACAATAACATGTATTATTTATGTCGCCAAAGCATAACATTATTTCTCAGCAACCTATTTCTCTGTGCAAATAGACCTTCGTTGTTGTCCTATTACTGTGAAAACCACATAAATGAGCAACACATGAACATGGTGACACGTTCCTTCCTTCTCATTTACACCATGATCCATAAAAACTACTTCCAATGATCTAACTGTACCCAATGAACACATTGTCTGAAAACTAAAGGACAGTTAATTGGTTGCCCTCTTTGCTGGAAACCAAACTATTAATGTATTACAACTTCAAGATTTAAATCCTCAGTAGAAATGAGTGCTCTATATATCATAGAAATATGATTTTTTTTTCTTCCAAAAGGGGTAATGACAGATAGTGTTGGTTTCTTATCATGCAGTCTTATACGTGTGTAATTATTGCCTCCTGCATTACGAGTGGTTCTTCATCAGCGGGCTGTAGTTGGAGTCTGACTTCAGGCAGACCGATGACTCTGAAGCGTTAACACTGTCATTGGTGACACAATGTTTTTCGAAGCCCCACGCTGTGTATTTTTTGGCACGTTCAGTGTACAGGTACGGCCCTACCCTGGAAACAGAACTTACTCCACACAACCACTGTGTTTTCTTAACCACTGTCTGTCATTGTTTTTTTCGGGTTGGTGCGTAGCGATGTGAGAGTACCACCTATACGGAATCATAATGTTCTTTCAAAACGTTAAGAGTTAATTCAAATCTCTCTCTCTCTCCTAACAATGCTAGACAATGCTAGACCGTGGTTAAGGCTTAGAACTGATTGTGTAAATAAAGATAATTATTCAGATTTTCATTTAAATGTGTCAAATACACACCATCCATTCCTGAGATTACCTCAGAGGGGGATTTTATTTTCAGCCGCTGTAAAGCAGGTTTCCCACAACAACATTTCAAAGGCAACAAAGGATCCTGTAAACCAACCACAGGCACCACAGCATCCCACAATGAGATGAGCCCACGGTGTTTTTGGGGACCGGGGCTGCACTGATCACAGATGGTTTGCCTCATTTACCAAAGTGTCCTTTGTGGATCAAAGCAGCGGCTAAGGATCCACAAAAAAAAAAAGCTTTTCAAACCCCACCGGTGTCTCTGGAGAGTCCATTCAGTCCAGAAACACAAGACCCAACCTGCGCTGACTCACACCCCACTGAAAAAATACGCCAGACGGGTTAGATTACTCATTATATGAGCCAGCAAACTCCAGCTACCAGATTCAGTGCACATTTAGCCTCTTTGACGGCCTACAAACGTGTCCCGCAGACTACGCAAAAAACGGACTTTTCACACAGGACAATACTCAGGAGGCTTTACTCCACGTTTGTCACTTCCTGTGAAAACAAAGCTATTTAGGAAACATGCAACAAACACAGGCCTGGCCACAAAGTCACTCAGGAAATGCACCGACTGTTTGAAGACAATGGAAGCTGAGCTGGGAGGGTTTACTGTCATTGAACAGAGCAGGACAATATGAGAGGCCTCAAACTGTTTAAAAAGCCAACACACAACAGGTGTCCATCAGACACAGATCCATAATCAGATCCATCAATGGAGGCCTATCGAGGTTTTGTGTTTATTTTCCAAGGCTATTAGTTCTTGGATGTCTAATTTTCAGAAATGTTCTAGTTTATTTCTGTGGTTCTAGGTTATGGTCGACTGGTCAGTTCACTGCTTTAACCAGACTGGAATATCTCAAAAACCATTGGACTGATTTCTGTGTAGCAGGCGACCACGTTCACTAGAGTAGGAGTCCATATTCATGGTCCCTGGAGGATGAATCCTTTAATGTTTTCGAGGTTCCAAGTGAAAGTTTCACACATACGCATAAGAGTATATTTGAAATCAATGTATTTGTTTGTATGTATGAGCAGAGCAGCTTTGCGATATCAGCAGGGTAGAAAATTCATGGATCGGGTAAATCAGTTATGAATATTTGGTATAGAACTTTTCACAAAGCAACACCCCAACATGTTTAATTCATAAAAATGAGCACAAGAGAAACAAACTCTTGATAGAAACCCAACAAAGAAGCCACAACTCGGCGCTGTGTGGGGAGAGGAGATGTTCTGCTGGACTTTGCGTACTCAGTGGTACTGTGTCTGGCTGCCTGAGGAATAGGATGTGTGTCAGGAGCATTCCCATAAACAGAGCCCGAGCTATGAAAGACTGGCCTGGAGGATGTGAAGACATGAAAGTCTAAGAAGGCCAAGAGGTACCCGTGACTCGGGCTGCCTGAACACCTGGTCTTTGTGATGAGTCAAGGTGAACTTATGACAGAACTAACAAACAATTGCTCCGGGACATTTCACAATTAGTGCTAAGGTGGAAGAAAGCTAATTTATATTGATTGTACTATATTTTTATCGTAGAGTTGTGTCGATCAGACAAAGTGTGCCCACCGTTCATACTTATTTCCACAGGACAGCGCGTTGACACCATCAGCAGTGAGAGCAGACGGCACAGGCTCAGTGTCGAAGAGCCCTGCAGTCCAAAAGCCACCAATGGGACGGCCATCAGGCCGGCCTCAGCATCAGGCTCCTACAACGAGAGTCTCTCAGCAACCCCCAAACTGGTGTCGGAGGTCAACGAGGAGCTGCTCGCATCGGGGGCTTTGATCCTGCCAGGTCGGACTGATGTTAGCTGCTCTCGCTCATCTTTGCACATTCTAATGAATACACAAACATAATCTCTCATGATCTTATATATTACAGTGAGGAAAACTAACTGGGCTTTTTTAAAACATCTACCTCTATAGTTAATATGCATGCTATGACTACATAACATTGGTTTTGAACGTATTTTGACAAATAATCACACTAAGCAGCTTAAACATTCGCGACAAAAGTGTGACCCCCCCTTCCTGCCGGCATCTCTTCTTCCAGGAAACAGAGATCGCGGTGGGAGGGCGGTGCTGCAGGTGTGCACTAGAGCTCAGGTGTGGGCAGGTGAGAGCTGCACAGTCAGTGACCTCACCTGTTTATTGGGCTACTACTATTCCACGCTGCGGTAAGTCACGCATGCTCTGGGTGTTACGTGTGTGTAACTTTCACAGCCATCTTTTTACACCTGGCGTGAAAGGCTGTAAATGTTCCCTGCGGCCTTTATTTGTGTATTTAGCATGTTTCCAATGATCCTTAACAGTGCAGCTGTTATTCAGAGCTTTTAAATGAACAAATCCATCATTATTTATTTATGTAGAGCATTATCAGTAACCTTGAGCATGATAAAGTTCATAGTTGTCCGTCTCACATGGTCACTCTAGTTGCTGTTGTTAGATATTTGTATGCGTTTTGTATAAGTGCGATTAGAATCATTGCATTTGAAAAGTTCTCTGATCCAATCTATAAATGTCATAAAATAATGTTTCTGCTCAGTTCAGTTTTCTGTATTCTCCTTTTATAGCCCAATATCACACATGTGACTGAGAGGGTTTTTACAATCGGTACACATTGACAAGGACAACACACTGACTGTGATACTTTGGTTTCAGGAAAGAAAGGCGTGATCAAGGCTTAACTGTGGTAATAGACAGCAGGAGGCAGCAGCCGGTTCCAGCGCTGTTGTCATCTCTGTCTGAATTGCAGGTGAGCCCACAGTGGTAAACATATAATTACCCTCCAACACACACCCAAAGAGTCTTCAGGCCCTGATAAATCTCTGTTGTCTTCTGAGCTTTTGCTCTTATGTCTCAAGGTCGGTACACGGATTTACACAGATCTTATTGTTGTATCTCTGTCTCTGACATAGAGAGAGGCGCACTTTTGAATTCATATTGACTGCGGTTCCGAGACATGTTTTTGGAAAAAAGCTGTCCTCAGGGCTTTAGCGGAGGAGCCTGTCCTCACTTGTCTGTTTTTAGCGCACACTGGGGGCGGGCTGGTTACAGCCGCCTAACAAAAGACACATCGTCACGCTATGATGATGAGTTTTCTTACTGACGCCGGGGCGATAATTCTGTTAACCCCAACAGATGCCTTGTGAGTCCGATTAGCTAAAACATATCAATGTGTCTGTTGATCCATTTTCTTTTTCTTAATCAACTACGTGTGATGACACGACAGTGATGCATTAATGCTTGTGCATCTTTTCCTCAGGCGTCGGCACCAAATGCACTTTACACTGTCCTCTTCCTGGTGGACAAGGAGACGGCAACCAAATCTGAGAGAGACATTGGCGTGCAGGTAGTTACCCGATTGAGATCTGATGAATGCCTTTCTAATGTAGTCGTTGTAGGCTGTGATGACACACGTTCATCAAACTGAGTGTGTTTTTTTTCCTGCCCACAGACTGAAACGATGTCATCTCTGAAAGCCCTGCTGAAGCACATTGACCAAAACCAGCTCACACGAGATCTGGAGGGCAACTTCCACTACGACCACAACCACTGGATCCACTTCAGACAGGTGGGAGCGGCCGAGGTGTCTGGGCATTATGAAACACATTCGTAAAACTTACTCAAGAGCTCGGCGAGGGTGGAGATCGGCGGTTTGTGGACATTCTTAAATCAAGGCAGGGACGGGGACCACTTTTGGACTTTTCTCTGTAACAACCTGTAGATTGTAAGAGTGGTGATGGCTTGCAGTAATTTATGATCTTCACCCTGCATCTCTTTCTCCATCTCTCTGACAGAAAATTGACCCATTCGCCAGCAGTTGCAGCGAATCCATCTCCTCGCTGCAGGAGTCCATCAGCTCACTGAGCAGCAGCGGCAACCCGAAGACCTCGAAGGTCAGACCCGACCCCCTACAGGCAGTCTTGCCTACTGATTTATGTGTTTGTTTTACAGTTACCTTCCATGATATTTGTGCTTTACTTGTGAGTTTTAAACGAGGCATGTATTTCACATGTATTTACATCCTTTCCTCCTTTGATTTTGTTCCCCATTATGCATGTCGGGTTCAGGAGGTGTCTGAGGTATTGGAACAGCAGAGGCATCTCATGAAGAGCGTGTTGGAGGACACCCGTCTAAACCGACTCCGATTAGAAGGAGGGACTGTCCTCGCCCGCATCAGGAAGGAAGAGGCCTGTGACAATGAAAACTACAGGTACTGAAGAAAGAAAGACTGAATTTAACCACATGAGTTAATATGAGGGATCATAACATGGACATTCATACAATCATCTGTCCCGATGTTGTTTTCTTTGTTCATTTAGAGATGCTTTCGACACGTTGAATGCACTGTACAACCAAGTAGACGAGGAAGTCCATAAGCTTGTGATACTCTCAAACAAGTCCCAGAAGCGGTTGGAGAGCCTGCTGGAGGTGCGCATGTTTGAGGAGCAAACGCAACAGGTAAACGTCAACTGTTCAAACCGTAACACTGCAATCTGTGCTTCAGTTTTTTTTATTAAACGATTGTGATATTGAATGAAATGAGAATGTTTTTTCTCGTTACAGATCAAACTCTGGTTCAGCGTGGAAGGAGAGAAGCAGCTCACACCGCTGGAATCACTTACTCCGTCTGTGGCCAAAGTTAAGGAGATGCGAGAGAGCTTGGACCAGTTTCTTGAGGAGTCAGTGGTAAATATGGACTTATATACCTCGTGGATCACCTCCCATGTGGAAGTCTGAGAGGAACCGTGATAAATCAATCCGCTTTGTCTGTTCCGGGACAGAAGCAGCAGAGGCACGGCCTGCAACTGGTGAAAGAGTCACCTGAGTCCCTTCCAGGCTCGGTTCTCCTTGACTTTAAGCAACATCTGGGCTCCATCTTAAGCAGAGTGGAGAGGAGGAAGGCCAAGCTAGACATCCTAACCAACCTGTATGAATTCTATGACTCAGTAAGTATTTAAAACAAACTTGGATATGCTTGTTATGCATCATTTTTAGTGCATTTAAAGATTAGCATATACTTGATCTTCTTTACAACTGAAAAATATGCCAAACTAATTTGAGGATTAACCATGTGGTGTCTCTAACAATGTTATAAAGATTAAAGACTTGTTCTAATCATCAGGCAAACCAGTGGACTGAGCACTGCCAGGACTATTTTGCCCACCTAAGTCTAGACACTTCAGGTGTCGGACTTCTGCCGTCTGTGGTGCAGAACCTGCAGGATTACTACACCGAGGCTTCCAAGTTCTCCACGGACAACTTCAGCACCCTCAACAGCATGGTGCTCTCCCTGGAAAGCCCTCAGCAGCTGCAGCAGTGGAACACAGTGTGGCACAAGTGCCAGCAGACCAAACAGCAATTGGAGGAGACTTTGGCCCGAGCCATGACAGCGGCCCCTAACTCCCCGGCTGTTGACGCGGCGGCTCCGTTAGAGACGGAGGCAGAAAGCCAGACCGCCGCCACACAACAGCACGGGGCGAAGGCATGTGTGCTCTTACCCGCCGTGATTACAACGCTATCTTTTGAGGACAGCAAGCCGCAGTCTGCCGGGCCCTTCTCCAAGAGCCCAAGCAGTTCAATCGCCTCTTCCTCACACTTCACGTTCCCCGCCGAGTGCGACGGCAAACTGAGGCAGAGTCCGTCCATGTTCGACGACACGGACAGCGACTGCACCATCGACTCGACCACCTCCTGCCAGTCTGAGCCCGTCTACTCCGGTGCGGCCCGCCTCCGCAAGCAGCCGATGAAGAAGATCATGAAGAAGACCATGAGTTACGAGCTGACCGCGAGGGACAACGGCCACTCCGACGTCTGTCACATTCACGGCTACACGGGCGTCTACATCAAGGGCCTGGAGGTGGCGAATAATGTGTCTGCAGAGAAGAAGCTGCAGAGACCTGACATATTGAGCCCTGCATTGGGACGCAGCCGCAGCATGTCTACGCCTTCAAGGATCCACAGCAGGCACAGTGACGGAGAGGGCAAGAAACAGTGCAGGTGAGTCGCTGAGACTGGACTTTAAAAAATGAAGATAACGTGGGCGAAATAGGATTGTTTGGATGGTAATTGTTTTTCACTGTTTTATTGAGCTTATTCTGTCTTTCCTGTATAGTGTATAATGGAATGATGCTGAGAAAACAAGCAATGACAATTTTAAATTCTGCGATTGGAAAATATTTTTGACCATTTTTGTTTCATACATTATGCAAAAACTATTATTCAATTATTGATTGTTTAACCTTTGGGTTTATTCTTTGAAGTACTTTGCTATTGTAACAATAATGCCACCAGTTCACCATGAGTACTTTTTGTGTCTTTTTGTTGTCCAGTAAAGTACAGCACATAATGGATGAGATGATCTCCACAGAGAGGGAGTATGTTCGCTCTCTCGGCTACATCATTGAAAACTATTTCGCCGAGATGGAGCGCCTGGACTTGCCACAGGACCTGCGGGGGAAGCGCAGCATCATTTTCGGGAATGTTGAGAAACTGTGGGACTTCCACAGTCAGTACTTCCTGAAGGAGCTGGAGTCATGCGCCCACTCCCCGCTGTCCATCAGTAGCTGCTTTCTCAGACACGTGAGTCCAGTCAGTCAGTCAGTCAGTCAGACAGTCAGTCAGTCAGTCAGTCAGACAGTCACAGGGCCCTGAGGAGGCACGCTTACAACCTAAAAATAGCACCCAGGTCTGATGGCTCCCCAGTCACTGTAATGATGTGTTGACTTGTGATTACTGATGTTTTTCAAAACAACATAATGCAATGTTTACAGTGAGGTCACACGGTTTAACTGTCTCACTGTCGTCCCTCCGATCCCCATGTACTTACTCATCAGCAGCATAATGAACCCATGCAATTGTGTGTTCAGTCTGTTGAGAGCTGAATCAATCATTATGTTTTGCAAAGCGTACTGAAATTCCTACTTCTTACCATCGACACCGTGTAACCTGTTAATCTTGTGTGCAGGAGGATCAGTTTGGAATGTATGCTTTGTACAGCAAGAATAAGCCCCAGTCCGACGCTCTGCTCAGCAGCCATGGGAACGAATTCTTTAAGGTGCGTCTGGAATCTCTGGTTAAATTCCTCACAGACTGGCGGGTCACAGGGTGTCACATTTTTATTTGTACACTAAATGAATGGGTCACAGTAAAATATAAACATATTAGATTCTGGTGCTCGACATGAACAATTTTGATTAACCATGTTGGCCTATCACAGATACATTGGTATTGGAAAAATAGCTGCACTGAATTACGGTGACATGTTCGTAAAACAACGCCTTCGTAAAAAAAGGTCCAACTTTAATTATTTTGGGGGCTTTAAAATCCACATCTCAGGGTCAGCCGATGGAACTGCTCAGTTTTTAATGGGGATCATAGGAATGTCCATAACCTCTGTTGTTCTTTAACGATATGAGCTGGACTGTTTAAGTTAGACACAGTGTCACCAATACATACGTTGTTTCTCCACCAGTGAGCATTTAAACGTTCATTTTTTGTGTAAAATTTGCCAAACAGTTTATATCTTGATTTAAAAATCATGTTTAAAGGTTTCCTTCTTAACTGTCTTATGTTAAAAAAAATATATTACCTGAAATATATATATATTTTTTTTTAACTCTTTATTTCTCAACTTTTTTATGGGGCAACAAAAAATTCAACCACAGTTTGTACAACTTAATCACAACATTTCCATCCCCGTATCCCAAATACCTAAAACACAATAATAACCCCCAACGTGTCTCTCCTCAGAATAAGCAATTGGAGCTCGGGGACAAGATGGACTTGGCCTCTTACTTGCTGAAGCCCATCCAGAGGATGAGTAAATACGCGCTGTTGCTGAAAGACCTGATCAAGGAGTGCAGTCAGTCGCAGGAGCAGGAGCTGAGCGACCTCCGTACTGCCGAGGAAATGGTCAAGTTTCAGCTTCGCCATGGCAACGACCTGCTGGCTATGGATGCCATTCGGGGCTGTGATGTAAGATAAAATGCATTGGCCCAGAGCCACGTGCTACTGTGATGAATATGTTTACGTCAGCCTTAAGACCTGATATCCATTTACCTTATTTTAAAACAGTTTTGTCAATTGGAGGTCATCTTGTTATGTTAACACCACTTCCACCATTTCCCGTCCCAACCGGAATCTTATTGTTTTCTCTGACGCATGCGAACGGCCGTGTTTCCTCTGCAGGTGAACCTAAAAGAACAGGGTCAACTCCGCTGCCAGGATGAATTCATAGTCTGGTGCGGACGGAGGAAATACCTCCGCCATGTCTTCTTGTTTGAAGACCTCATCCTCTTCAGCAAGACCAAGAAGATAGAAGGAGGATACGACTTTTACATCTACAAACAGTCCTTCAAAGTAAGAGTTTGTGTATTTTTGTGGATCACTTTTACTGTAAATACTCTTCTTACTTGTATAAGAATAGTTGAGTTAATTTTTTTTTCCAATCTGTTCCCTTTTAGACAGCGGAAATAGGTATGACGGAAAATGTTGGTGACAGCGGCCTGCGCTTTGAGATCTGGTTCCGTCGGAGAAAGTCGCAGGACACGTTTATACTCCAAGCCAGCTCTGCAGAGGTCAAGGCCGTGTGGACAGCCATCATAGGGAAGATCCTGTGGAGACAGGCGCTCAGAAACAGAGGTTTATTTAATTGTCATGTTGATCTGCACACATATGTATATGTGACATTCAGACCCTTTTACCCCGCGGAAGAGTTCTTGTCATTAAAGTTTTCCTTTTCTGGATTCCAGAGTTGCGCATGCAGGAGATGGTTTCCATGGGGATTGGAAGCAAGCCGTTTATGGACATAAAGCCAAGCGATGCAGCTATCAGTGACAGAGCCATCGACTATATCATGAAGGGCACAGGTGAGCTGTTTGAGTTTTTATTACTGTTCTCCCTCTTTCATCTCCTCTAGTTTGTTGCATATTTATCATTAACTTTAATTACAGGTGTTTCAATGCAAGTAGTATTACGCGGCAGCTGTAATCTAAAACATACAGATTGGAAGAGATTACATCTGCAGTAAACTATTTTACAAGACTCCTCTTTCATGGCTCACTGGCGATGCTGTGAAAAAAACAAAAAAGCATGCCTCAATTATTGTAGCTAACATCTTTAAGGAATGTTTATATAGTTACTTATCATCCCTGGTGTGATCTCACAGCTCACTGTGTTTGTATCCGCCGACAGAGGCGAGGACCAGGGCGTCCATCGCCGTGTCTTCGTTCGATCACTCCACTTCGTTCAAGAGACCTCACTCCACAATCTCCAACAGCAGCACCTCCTCCTCCAGCAGCCAGTCCTCCTCCTCCCTGCTGGGCTCGCTCAATCTCCACCTGTACTCGTCGCCCTCGCACCCGCACGCGCATCCACACCCGGCGACATGCGTTCCCTCCTTTGCCCAGTGGCCCTACGACTGCATAGAGGAGGATGAGCTGGAGCACGACAGCGGGAGCCAGCCTTCCATGAGTGAGTGGCTTTTTTTTTTTGGTTTGCAGGAGGAGGAGATGCATATGTGTCTACTTACATACAAACAAAGCAATCTAGGTTGAGGCATGATGTGAGAAATGTGTTTGCATGTAAATGTAAACACGGCCATTTTGGTTTTTGTCTCTTTTTTTACTATTTTATTTTGTTGGAGTACTGCCATAGTGTTTTTCTGTGCAGCTACCACTAGGAGGTGCCAAAGTCTGAAAAATCCAACAATCAAAAGCTTTGATAATGCATATCTAACTAGATGGAGCTCATAGTTCGATATCTAACTTGGTGGCCGTCTCTGAGTCGTTTGTTGCTTTATTCAGCATTAAAGTATTAAGGGCAACTTTGTCTTTGTGTTGTGCTACAGTCACTGAGAGCTCAGAGACGTCCTCCCAGTGTACCTCCAGTGACAGTGTAACAGGACTGAGTTCCCTCACTGTACCCGTGCACCGCAGCATCGCCATGGACTCCTACAACAACGAGCCCCCCACTTTCCTGTGCTCCGCCGCCACGGCCTCCTCCATCGCGTCTCCTTCAATATTCGAGAAAGAGGACGAGCTCCAACCCCAAGGCACCAAGTTTATCACGGCAGTGAGTGTTTGATTATCTTGCATGTTATCTTCTTAAGATGACAAAACTGACCAGAGGTCACACTTTTGCTAACATCACATTGTTTCCTAATAATATTTTGAGAATTAAAGCCCTCATAAACAGACATCTGCGGTGACACCCGTTAAACCGCGTTGCTTTCTCTCAAGTCAAGTCAATTTTTTTAGTGTTTTAAGGCCTGTGTTTTAGCTTAAGCCTACTTCTATATGAAGAAATGTCCCTTCCCACAACATTTGCACAATGTTTTTTTAATATATATATATATTTATATATATATATACTTTCTTTATTGAAAGATGGAAATTCTACTGTGTGGAGCATTTAAGGGGTTCTAGTGGTAGAAACGGAATACGATATGAATACATATGTTCTCTTAATAATAATATTAATAAGTATGTATAATCAATTATCAAAGTTGACGTGTTTTTTACCCTGAAATACGGAGCAGGTCCTCTCCATGTTTCTGGCATCAGATTGTGTCGTGATGCCAAAATAATTTAACACCATGTGGATTATTTACTTAAAGAAGGTAAAAGCCAGGAACATGATTTTAAATCCTTATTATAACCCTGATATGGATATGATTTAAAAAATCATGTTGTATTAAGAGGTTAAGTATTGAAATAGACACTTTAGACGATTCAAAGCCATATTCAATTATATTGAACACCCAAGCAAGCGCCACCAGGGACCCAACTTTTCAGGCGGGTTTCCATTGTTGGTCCGCAACAGCGTTCCATTGACAGCTCTCACTTTCCAGCTCAAATGAACCGAACTACCTGAGGAAACGGTCCAGGGTTCAGTTAAAATGGACCAAACCGGCCACGTGTGAAGCTTCCGTTTCGCTCACCACCTTTTTGCTGTTTTGTTTTCACCAGAGCAAAGCCTGTCATATAGCAGTCGGCCTCTCTACTGTGGTCTGACTCAGGGCTGAGGGATTTTAGCTCAGTAAGTAACCATTGTCACCAGAGTGCATCCGGGTTGTTCCCTTCACAGCCTCATTAACAACTGTGAGGAACCCGACTGAATACTAATCTGTGTGAAAATGTGCTGTTGGTGCCTCCGTTGTGCAATGCATTGCATGGCAGTGTGTCCTGCTGGGTTTGGTAAACTTCTGCCTTTCGTTCATGTTTTCTTCTCATTGCATCCGTTTGACATGAGCTTGAAATGTGTGTTTTCAAGAGTTCCATGTATGTTTGAACACATGCACGCAAGCAACCTTTGTTTTGGGGCTTTGGAATGCATTTATGTTCTTTTTTTGTCGCCTGAGTTTTGTGTTTGGAACTGTTTAACTTGTTGTTCTATTTCTGATTTAAAATGAATTGCAGAACAACAATACACTACCGGAATATGTGCATAGAATACAATGCAAATGGCAGCTTAAAAACAGGTTGCGTGGAGATTTTCTGAAATGTATTGAGCCGAATGAGAATAGCCTCACTGTCTTACATACAGGCACATTTTTATGGAATAAAAAATTGTTTTTTTTGAAAGACCCGAAATGAAGTTTTTAAAAAACACAATATACATATAAAGCATCTAAAGAAAAAATGTTCTGAAAACAAGTTTGATAGTAAGGTTGTGTTTTTTTAACTAAGATGTGTTACATGTTCAATTTCCCACAAATTATTTCAAAGAAAAGCAACATTTAAGTCAAATCCTTAAACAGTTTCACAGATTTATGGTAACTGAATTATTGGTTTGTGTTGTATATTGGCACTTACAACTAAAAGGTGATTTTGTGGATTTGACTAAAATGTTTAATATTTCATGGTGACTAAAAATAAAATGACTTGATTCCAAAGTAAAATATTGTTCTAAATCCCCATTCTTGTGTATTCCTTCTTTCTACCTAGCTGTGAAGATCCTGAAGATGAATGATGCAACAGTAGTTTGTATGTCAAGACAATGAGACAAAAATAACGGGAGTCCAGCTTTGCAGCACTAACACTTCAATGGATGAAGCTCAACTGTTGAATGGCATTTCATTGTGATACTGAATTTACACTGACACGTGGTACGTCAGCGGTCTGTACATTTGTTTTAATGAGCTAGATATAAATCAATGTTTATACTGTAGATGAGGGTTTTTTTTAATGTATTTTACATACAAACAGAAAATAGCAGGCAGATCTATCTGGAGAATATCTTCCTTTTATTGCCAGTATTCTGTTATGACAACTTTGTACAGATGATTAAAATGTTTAAAGAATGTTGTCGTAATCATTTCTTTTCCTTTCTTTCTTGAAATGAGGTTTTCCCACCCGTGGATACTGTCTATAATGCACAATCCTTTATAGTCCTGCAAAGTAACCTGTGTAACCTTGAGAGCTGCTAAAAGTGCACGTTTATCTGAAAACACACCGCAGATATTTCCACGGGTTTTAAAGAGCCGTGTAAAACCACACCGACCGCTTTGCATGCAGACCGACAAAGCAGCCCTGTGAGGCCCATTGCTGCCGTTACAGAGAAAGACAAAGGTTGATGGGAGTGGTGTTTTCTTTCACATGTGAAGTGTTGACATTTATTTACCACAAAACGTTGTGTTCTCAGTTTGAGTCAAACATCACACGCAAACCACAGCCCGGGCTGCTCACCAGGGGCTCCAGCTCTAATAAAGGAAATCGAGACGAAACAGAAAGCCACAAAAAAAAAACTCTGCAAACACAGTCGTCTATCTTCTAATGCACACTAATAAACGGCCCCGCGGCAGTTCATTTACTGACAGTTAGTTTGAAGCGCTCTCAGATATGTTCTTGCTCACGGTGCGTTTCTCTTTAGAGATCCAGAAGCAAAGGACTGCAGAGAGAAACACCTCGAGCCCCAACACACACAGTTCCATCACCTCTACCTGCCAGAAACACAGAAATAATCAAGTATGCATTAGTTTTATATCAGCGAATACGTGTAATATCTATTGCTGAATAAGCAGTTTGAAGAATTTAACTTCTTTTGTATTTTTTTACATGGCCTTACCCTCAGAAGTAGATCGTCTTTGGGATTCCAGTAAGCCAAGTCAACAGTAATCAGACAGGCTGAAACTACGGCTACAATAATGCAGCCACAGTTGACCGTGAGGGACACCTGAAACATCAGCCATACGTTATATTTTTGTATTAATTAAATAATTGCTCTACATTGTTTATTGGGGTTGGATGGAGCTGCACTTACAGGTAGTAATCCTGAATATTTGAACAACAGGTTGGAAATCATTCCAGCAAAGATGAACTGCAGAGGAAAAAGAGGCAAAGTCAATATTTTGAAGACAATTATTTGCACATCTTTTTTGACTAATTCTACAGTACTTTTTAGTCCTACTATTTGGTTCATCTAAGCAAATCTAAGACTTACGATTGCTCCGTTCAGTTGAGAAAGTCTGCACATCGTCAAAAGGGATTCTGACATCTCCTGGGTTACTGCAAAAAGTATTCCCACTCCAACACTGAGGAGACCACTCATCATCTGCAGAGACTGACAGAGGATAGAGGCACTGAATCCATCGCATCGTATACGTGTCTGAATGTCACATGCATCCAAAAGTACTTTTTTAAACATTTAAACAGTATCTTTTGGCCTATATCTGATGTATTTTCTTTCAGATAATTGATAAGAATATAAAACAAAGGGGATCTGAATTTTGAAAGTACTGTGCACAAATGTCAGCATTACAAAGTCATACGGTCCTGTATGAGCGTTGACAGCTATGAAGCAGAATACCGCGAAACCGCGAAAAAAAAGTATTTCCTGTTGCTGCTGTCCAAAGCTGCACAAAGTCACTTTGTGGGTGTCTTTATAAAACCTCTACTGCTTTTCTGATATGTTGAAAAAAAGTGTTATAATATGTTTAAACATCTAATCATACACTCAAAGAAAGGAATGAGTAAAATATTGTGATCACTATTACATAGACTTCACAAAGTCTTTGCAAAGTAGAATGTTTTAATGTAACACATTGAAAATCATTCATCTGAGTTTTTTTTGCTATGGTTGTATACAAAATGGTTGCTACTTACTAACTACGACGGTAAATAAAAGGCTTATTGACTGATTGATAAAAATCATATTATCACATGTGGGATAAAGGGTCTATTTAGGAGGTTTGTGCCTTTGTATCATTTTGTATATCATTTGTATTATCATTTGCAACGTATCATCCTTCTATATAATGTTTTCCGAGTCCTCTCAATTCAAAAAACATATTAAAAATCTGCCAAGGATCATAAACATTTTAAGACCTAAAGTGTGGATTGTCAAAGCCAGTAGATGAAGTACCACGACCTTCTTAATATAAAACATAGTCAGTAAGTTAAGTCCCCGTGACACAATGTCCAAAAGAGTTTGACAACATGAAGGATTCGTATGTTGTCAGACATCCAGCGCAGTTTTGTCGCTCACCCCCAACACAGCCGGTTGTTTGTGCAGCAGGTCATGCAGCGGCCCTTTCTGGTCTGGCACAAATTCCATGGCCCGATAATATTGTATCACAGGCTCCTCTCGCTCCTCGGCTCTCAATGGCGCGTCTTCAAAAGCTTGGATGTCCATGTTGACATCGGCACAGGCCATGTTTTATCTCTGACCTGGAGAGATGATTGTTTTTAGTGTATCATTAAGTGTTTTTTACTGTGAATCCCGTCCTGAGTGACCAGAAAAAAATTAATACCAAAGCATACAACGGTCATGTGATATATTGTTGTATGTGCTGATAAGAGTTTTTTTTTTTAGAGCCTTCTTGTTTTGTTGGATTAAATACAGTATATACATAAGATATACATTTCACTCTATCACCAAAAAGTACAGGTTTAAAAAGAGTAATGTTAATTTAAAGCCCAAACAGTTAAAAAGGTAGTTTCAATCAAATATAAACGTATAATAAGAACGTATTAAATGTTTATTACAGGACTTTAGCAGCATCCAACAGTCTAATTCTCCAAAATTGTTCTTTTCTTTCAAATGATACTTATAACATTCACAAACATACATCGATCAACTTACATACACATGTAGGATTTTAGCGGTAACCAAATTAATACTTACATTATATTACAAATATGTACGACAAAGTTTTTTTTAGGACAATTCAATGCGTAGCTTACCTAGTTTGGCTTGAGAAGTATTTATTTCACACTGTATTCGCCTCAAACAAGTGCCTCACTCGTAAGGCATGATGTTCACTTCCCTGCGAACACTTTGAAAGATGAGATCACCTCATAGCTTAACTTCCTCTGTCTGCAAGTGATCTCTACAGAATCATCACATTTTACCCTACGTGCCGAAAGTTGGATGTTACTAATTTGTAACTCTATTTCTAATTTGACAAATGCCCTTGAAAATGGGTCACGTCAAAAGTAAATATGTCGGCAGGTTTAGAGGGTTTCTTATTTATAGTATGTATTTTTGAGTGTATGAGAGACAGAGAAGTGGTGGTGTTGGGGGGTGGGGGAGGGGGCAGAGGCGTTGTTAATGAGAGGAAGACAATTGGCGTGGCAGGTAATTTCCTTGTCACACTCATTTTGGGGAAGAAGATCATTTCTAGGCCTGAATACGGATACCGAAAGCGAAAAAGGTCTGTTTCTCAAAATATAGACAGCAGATTCCCACAGGGCCAAACGCTGCTTTAACATTCTTTGCTTCAATTGTGTTCACAAGACAATGAAGAAGACCTTTGTGTGTGATGGATCGATGATCATTACCATTCCAATCGGGAGCCTGAGGGACACTGGAGAGGGTCAACTGATGCCGGAGAAATTTCAGTGTGTGTACAAAGATTCCTACAAGATCTTTGCTGTGAAGGGGAAGCCTAAACCTCTCGGAGTAAGCTGAATTCTTTCTTACACAAGACGATTCATCATGGATGATTTGAAAGCTTTATCGTTGTATTTTTTACTTGCAGCGCTGTAATGCAATTTATTTTCTTTATTTTAGGCAGCTCAAGCCATCACCGGGGTGTTCATTCTCATACTCGGACTAAGTTTTTTACACGAAGAAGTTTTCACAATGGTCTACATTCTACCCAGTGCTCTGGTAAATGAACTATGCATATAACTATGTGACGATACGATTCAAAACTAATTCTTTGAGACATAACTATTACTTTTTACTTATTGTTTAACAGAAAACTGGGGAAATACGCATCTATTCCACTTCTTTTTACTACTGGGATATTCCATATCGCATAGAGTCAAACACATTTACCTTATTTTGTTTTCTTTTGACACTTAGAAAGGTTTACTATTGTATTTCTGTGCTAAATAATCAGCATTTTTTATCTGATTAGTTTGTGGTCTCTGGCATCCTGTCCTATGCAGCTGGACAGTCTCCAAACATCCACGTGGTAAGTTAAAAATGTTATTATTCTCAAGTGAAGACTTTTTCTACATTATGTGACCAAGAGGTTATTTTTTTAAATGGCATGTGTTATATTTGTTATGTTTCGGCTTTTTAGATTGTGATTTAAATCAATTATTCAAAACCAAAACTCACATCTTTGTAAATTGCCCCACCATGTGTATAATTATTACGGACACATTTGATTTTGAGAATTTTGTTTAACACACAACGACATCACAGCATTTCACCTAATTGTATTGACTAATACTTGTAATATTTGTACCTCTTTCACCTTCCAGACGAAGCTGTCATTCGCTGTGAACATCGTCAGCTTCTTCTGGTCAATGACAGCAGTTATTTTGTGCGCGGCCACGTTTCATTTTTCACATGGGGTGGAATCGAAGAATATAAAGGTACAAGGAAAACAGCATTTATTAATGTTTTGTAACCCCTGGTTCTCTCTAAAACACAGAGAAAAGTGTATTTACTCAACCTCTGTCTCAACTTTTAAAGATCCGTCAAGGACTCAAGGGACTAATCATGAGTCTGCTGGTTGTTGAACAGTTAGTCGCCGCTTTCTTGATCTACTGGTTAAGTAAAGCTGTTTGCAGACCACAGTTCAACACTTTGGTATGTCTTTTTTACGCGCATAGCAACTGTGTAAACTACAAAAGGAATAAGATCATGCATAACTAAAAGTAGTCATTCTTTATCTGCAGCCCATCATACTGCTGAAACGAGGAGACTGAGGCTTGACGGAGCTCAACAAGCCAACGAGCGACTTTGGGTACTTTTTAATCCTTGTCGTATTAAAAGTGCATAACAGCCAAACCCTTTCATATACACTTCAATATAAAACATACAACGTGCCAAACTAGTAAATGTTTGAATGAGCCACCTCTCGGATAATGATTAACCCTTGTTTTGTTTGTGTACATCTCTTATTATTTAATGATTTGACAACAAAAGGTCAAGTGATAAAATAATAAGGGGTTGGTGTTTCTGATCTTCAAATGACCCAAATCCCAGAAAACGTGGGATTGTCTCAGTCTAGCAAATATTTTTAAAACTTTTTGTAACCAGTGTTTGCTTTTTCAGTTCTCTATGAAAAACTGTATATGTTTATTTTGGGCAAATAAAGATGAATATTTCATTTTTTTTATGTCATCTTTGTTTTGTTGTGGACCTACTACATAGCTCTAGATATAGAGCTAAAACATTCATTAACTGGTTTTAATATGATGCAAATTATCCTCAAAATTGTACATTTACATCTAGTATCAGAAAATAAAGTAACTGGCTTTTTTTGATGCATTTGCTACATACTACAAATGAAACGTTTAATGTATTTAAAAGATAGCCTTCAACAAATATTAGTGGAGAAAATAGTGTAAACCCGGAAGCAACAAGACATTTTCTCACTTTGTGTAACAAGCAAACACATAATAATTTAATAATGTTTGAGAATTCTCTTGCAGGTGATTCAGAAGTGTTACTGCACTACCGTCTACTAACATAACGACCCCGGGTGTTACCGGCGTTATTGGAGGTATTGGTACTGCTTTTTGCAACCTTGTTTCTCATCATTCTTTTTGTGTATTATTATTTCCTGTCAAGATGACCGGTGTGTTCGACTTGTGGGAGATTGTGTGAATGTTCACTTAGTTCAACAAAATTAACAGACACTGCAGATTATTAGAAAATTGGTGTTTGTGTCCTTCCTTGCTGCTCGAAATGCAAAACGACAGAGACCCCTGCCGGCAGCCGAGGATGTTTTTTGGGGGGTTTTCAGTGCGTGTGAAGCCGTGAGCGACCACGTGGGGACGATAAACACACAAACACAAAATGAATGGCAAGTAGTCAAGGAAACACATTCATTTGACATTCAAATAACTGTACTGTAGTAATTATCTATCTTAGTTTCCAAAACCTGAAGAATTAATTCTTCACAACAAATCACCAATCATCAATATCTATTGCACTGCTAATAATTTAATACCTATTCCACTCCACTATGCGTATACTTCTTTTTCTCTAAATACTAAATCAATTACACTTTTTTGTATTTAATCAAAATGTAATGTTCTGCTCTGTTATTTTAGTGTTTTGTGTATTGAGCATGTTTAATTACATACAGAATACTTTTATGTTTACTATGTAACCTTTCCTGCTGCTGCTGCTGCTACACACATATTTCTCCAAGTGCACATCTATATATATATATGTCACCGTTTAAGATAGTAATGGTCATTCTTCAAAGTCCTTCAGTCACTCTAAAAACCATCTGCACATAAACTTTTGGTCCTTTGCAACACTCCCTAAAACATGCATATTATTTTGAGGTATTTCCTGTGTGTAGTCACGGTTAGTGTGTGCGTGCGGTGTGTGTGTGTCGCTGCAGCAGTGGATCACTTTCCCATGTTGTTCGTGGGAGGCGCTGCCCGCCGCCTCCTGATATGGCGTCTATGTACAGCGGGTCCCACACCTTGAGCAAGGATGATGTGAACTACAGAATGCATTTCCGAATGATAAACGAGCAGCAGGTTGAAGATATCACCATCGAGTTTTTCTACAGGCCGCACACGATAACGCTGCTGACATGCACGGTGCTCAGCTTGATGTATTTCGCCTTCGCGAGGTAAGGTCGTCCTCCGCTAGCCGTTAGCTTCGTTAGCTCCGTTAGCTCGGTTAGCTTGGTTAGCTAGTGATGCTGCGCAGGGGGAGTTAGCTACCTAGCGTTAAGCTATCCCAAGCTATCATCACTGGAATAAACTTTACATCTGCACGGGGCATCTGGAAGAACTGCCCCAGTGAAGACCGCCTGGGTTTTGTTGTGTTTAATTGTAAACCGTTGTGTAACGTCAGTGAAGAACATTAGTTGCAGCAGCAAAGTGAGAGACGCAACGTTGCATTTACAGTGATTATCTGCTCTAAGGACCGGATTTTCACACGAAAAGATCCAGTAAAATGTAAACATTAAGGTCTCCTTTTAGAAACTTGTGTGAGCTGGCATATGTGTGTCACTGCTGGTATACAGAAGGCTAATGGTGTCTGTTCATACGGACCAAATCATTGCTGGTCATTATAACAATTGTTTTGGACGGTTTCTGTTTCCTGTCTGCAGAGATGATGGAAATCCTGACAGCAATCTTTGGGTGGGACTCATCCTGGTCATCTCCTTCTTTCTGGTCATAAGTGTTTTGGCATTTCCTAACGGTGAGCCAAGAAAAAGACCCCGTTACTATCTTAGTATGGTCAAGTGAGTCTGCATTGTTAAATATCATGTTGCTTGTATGAAACACATAGTTTGAACAAGGAAAGCCTTTTTGCTACCGTGAAAACAGAACGAGGAAGCAAATGAGGATTTGGTTAGGAGGTAATGTAGGTGAAACAACAACGCAAAGAGGAACTTATTTCATTGTGTCCGTTCCATCACGTGCTGCAGATTGTATCTTGAAATGGTTTCTTCATTCAAATCACTTCAGGTCCATTCACCAGACCACATCCAGCAATATGGAGAATAGTGTTTGGTGAGTATTGATAGAACGTTAGAACGTTTTCTGTCCGGACCTCGTGTTTCCTTCCTTAACGTCATGTCTCTCTGCTCTTTAAGGCCTGAGCGTCCTCTACTTCCTGTTCCTGGTTTTAGTCATCTTCCTCAACTGGAAGCAAGTGAAGCAGCTCATGTTTTGGTTAGACCCGAACCTGCGCTATGCCAAGAGAGAGGCCGACGTGATGGTGCGTGATGACGGCTTGCACAGATAATGCCTCTCATATTGATTCACGTGCACTAGCAGGAGGGGGATGATCATTCTAATGAGGCTGCTGTTGCTGCTCTCTGCAGGACTATGCTGTGAACTGCCATGTCATCACCTGGGAGAGGATCCTGAGCCATTTCGACATTTTTGCATTCAGCCATTTTTGGGGCTGGGGTATGAAGGCCTTGCTTATTCGGAGCTACGGCCTCTGCTGGACCATCAGTATTACCTGGGAACTTACCGAGGTAACGAAGCACATCAAATATTATTGCTGTTGACTGCCATTTTTTGTTTTCAAGATCTGATGAGTAAAGACTGTCATCTCCTGTTCAGCTGTTCTTCATGCACCTGCTGCCTAACTTTGCTGAGTGCTGGTGGGACCAGGTGATTCTAGACATTCTACTGTGTAATGGAGGAGGCATCTGGCTCGGCATGACTGTCTGCCGCTTCTTGGAGATGCGGACCTACCACTGGGCCAGTATTAAGTATGATCCCACAATCTGGAAATTAAGTAAACGTTTGTGTTCATCCTTAGTCACTTTAAGCGTTTTCCTTTCAATGTTGGCCCAATAAAACCAAATCTTTTTAAAGTATTAATCACATTTAAAAAAATTGTTGTAATAGATAGCCATGTTGTAAAAAAGAAAACGTCAGTATAAGTAAGACATGTTCATTCAGGCGAGTGAGGGCTTCCTGATCGTAAAGCCGTGCAATCGAGAAGCCAACTGAAAGTGCACAAACTGTTTTGAAATACGATCTAGATACAGTCCATCAAGGCAGAGTGGATCTGAATGATTCATGCGTTGGCATCACTTTCATCCTGCTTTAGTCTATTTCAATAACACAATACTTTTTGCAAATGTGTCTGCAAGTGTTAGCAATCCTTCTCTTGTGTTTCTCGCTCAGGGACATCCACACCACCACGGGGAAGATCAAGCGCGCCGCGTTACAGTTCACCCCTGCAAGCTGGACCTACGTACGCTGGCTCGACCCAAAGTCTTCCCTGCAGCGAGTGATGGGCGTCTATCTGTTCATGATCATCTGGCAGGTGGGTCACTGTGCGCTTTTTCCCGGCTAATCGGGTCGCCTTCTCTGCTTTTGCAATCCAAAGCCCGGCTTTCATGTATCCATACAATGCGTAGTCTCCAGCTTTCAGCACATTAACAGCTAGTCCCATTACGGGTGAAAGATAAAGACGCCATGATGATGAGATCTTTCTCAGTTGTTTTTGTGTGGTGATGAAGAAGCATTGCTCCCCCCTCCCCTCCCCTCTTCTCCCTAATTCAGGCACTTCCTAGCTCTCTTGAGGCATTAAATTGTAATTACCAGTCTTTGAGAATTATCTCTGCTGCTCCTCAGTGGCTTCAACCAAACAGGCTCCAGGCCAAGTAACACGGCATCAGGCCTCCCTCTCATCATCCAGTGCAGTGCGCATGAGAGCTACTGTGGACAGAGCGTCCTAGTAAATCAACTACTAGCATTGTTGGCGATTTGTTAGTGTGACTCGAATTGTAGGGGAATCGTTGTTTTCAAATAGTTTAAATCTTCATGTAAATGTTTGTCGGCGTCTATACACAGAAGATATGTTGACATTTCAGTCTAACTATAACTAATAAAACGATTGAGGGCCAAGATCCATTTAGCTGCTTCTGTTTCAGGGTCCTGGTACTGTGTCTAGTGGTCATTTCAAACTCGTAACAATAGAATAAAACAGCCACTGGTAAAATCATGTGTCCTACTATGATAAGTCAAAATATCTGCTAGGGAAAAGTGTATTATTGTGCTCTATTTACCCCAGCACATTGGATTTGCAGCTTTATGGGTGATTTTAAGGCCTTTCCATTCATACTGCGTGAACATAAGAGAAACTGTTGATACAGACAAGAATCTTGCAACAGGATAAAGCCAAAGCAACTTATTAGAGCAGAACCGTGCAGGGCTGTAGGCTGTCAGTCACCTGACCATAATCCGACCCACCGCGTGTTACAGTGCTGAACAAGCAAAGGGCAACAAATATCAGAACATCTGCACAAGATCTGGAAGCAAATACGCAATTAACTTTTTCTTAAAATACAACCATAAAGTCCTGTGTTCTACCCGTTTCCCTCTTTTACCCACAGCTGACCGAGTTGAACACATTCTTCCTCAAGCACATTTTCGTCTTTCCGGCGAGCCATGCTCTCAGCTGGTGTCGGATCCTGTTCGTTGGTATCATCACAGCTCCGACTGTCAGGTAAAAAACACAATCTATGAGTAAGGAAATGATACCCTTAAACTACACGTTCACATATTTTTTTAGATCCTTGTTTTTCGAACTTTAACAGTCGGGCAAGTATCTGATCAGAACTGCAGTTTAAGTGTTCTAAATTTTGCATTGCTTCTTCTTGCAGGCAGTATTATGCGTACCTCACAGACACACAGTGCAAGAGAGTTGGGACCCAGTGCTGGGTGTTTGGGTAAGTGAAACCTAGATGCAGTAAAAGTCACGTATACGGGTTGACTTAAGGAATTGCACAACTCATTTGTTGGTGTTTTCCTCCCCTCGTTCACAGGGCAGTAGCCTTTCTGGAGGCCTTGGTGTGTATTAAGTTTGGACAGGACTTGTTCTCAAAAACCCAGATCCTCTACGTGATCCTGTGGCTGCTGTGTTTGGTAAGATCACAATCGCAGTAATGCTGCCATGAGTGTCTTCAAACATACAAAAAACATCAACAATCGGACAGCAAAACTTTCTCTATTGACTGTGTTTTCCACGAAGCGGTCTAATATTCACTGTGACTGTTTTTTAGGCCTTCATTACGTTCCTGTGCCTGTTTGGAATGGTGTGGTTTGCTGAAAACTACGGTCCAAGAAGAAAGGTATGTCTACAGGGATTTTTGTAATGTTTGTCATATAGCTCACGACACAAACTAACTTAATATTGGTCCCAGTTTAAATCCATTTTGAATCTTGTCAGGAATGCATGGAAACTTGGAAGGTTTATGTACCTGCACAAGTGTTAAAATAAGATTCCCCGACTCTTTTTGGACGTGCTTGGTATGTAAATATGCCGTACATTTTATATGTTGCTTACATGTCGTAATAAGCCCCAGACTCAAGTCACAACGCCGCTTCTGGCTTAGTCTCATGTCATTAATTAAAGCTGCAACGAAGTCCATCGTTGAAGCCGCAGTGCGGACCGAGACTAATTACATTATGGGGGGAGACCATTGGGACAAAGCAGCTGCACTGAGTATTACCTAAGTTAAATTTCGGGAGCTGATGCTCACAATAAAATAAAAAAACTGAACTCCATTAAAAAAAAGGGGATGAAAAGCCTTAAAGAGAGCACTCCCCACCGCGTAGCTCCAGTAGGCGGAGAGCATTCCCATGCGATGATGAGCGCTTGAAACTAACAGATGTTGATTTTAAAGGAATAATTTACTCTCGAGGACATGAAGACCCCCCCCGCACATCTAAAGGTTATAAAGGCTGCACATGGACAGTTAGCTGCTCTATGTTACCTCTTTCAATGGTATGTGTGTCATGTGTCGGAGTCGCTTCTCTCCTTTCACAGAGCCTCTCAGAATGTGAAGACAGCAATTACCCAGAATATGCTGAACATGCGTCAGAAGTATTTAAAGGTACAGTGTTGTTGTTTTTTACTCTAATTCCTCCACTACACAAAAAGGCATAACAAAAGTGAAAACGTTAATCCTCATCTCTAATCTTGTTACGGGATTAGCGCTGGTGTTTGCATCGGGCGTGAAACACCATTACAAACCTCCTGTACAGTGTTGTTGTTTTTTTTTCTAAACTCGTCAAGTGTTTGACCCTCTTGTTTCAGAGGAGACCGACGCGGACGACGACAGCCCCACGGCCCGACGCAGAGGGACGCGCTCCAGAAAGTCCAAATCCATCAATGGCCTGGACAGCCAGTAGGAGCAGGAGCCAGAGGCTGGTGTGCGACTCCTGAAGTCGCTCCGGGGATGAAAGAGGAGGGGTAAAGATTCAACCACTTCCTGGCGTAATGTAAATCTAGAAAGTGCCCCTTTACGTGACGGGTGTGGAGTCAGGAGAGACTAAGTGGATGAACAGGCCCGTGCAGAGTTATCAGAAGTGCACAGAGGCTTGGACCAGAGAGATGCTCTCTGAACTGTGTGCTGTAGTCATTAATAAATCCCTCCTAAAGCAAGGATCACAGGTTTCTCTGTGTGTGGGCAGGGAGGAGGGGGGGAGCGTGGTTGTGAATTTGTGAGCGAGTGGGCAAAACAAACTGCCAATAGTAGATATGACTGCATGATCATTGTAGCTGGTGAACTATAATTTACAAACAATTATTCTACAAAACAGTATATCTTTGGTGGTCAGGGTACATGTTTACTGGTTTACACCAGCTTTAACCCCTATGTTGGCTCAACACATTGTAACATTAAAAGCAACTATATAGAAATGTAATCACTATGAAGCCACTATGTTTATTGCACAGAAAGGCTACGGTCTTTTTTTTAGCATCTGCGTCTGACCTTTTACATCCTAGATGTTCCCGATGTTTTTCTGTTTAATAACTTGAATGTGGGCCGGATTTCAATGCAAAACGGCTTTGGCTTGGTAGGATCTTCGACTGAAGCAAAGCACACAGTTTAAGCACTTTTCTGGAAGTTTTCTTGCAAATACTGTACATTTTATAATGCTCGAGTATTTTGTGAATCATTGTGTCCTTGAGTGATTTTACTCCGTTCATCTGTGGCTGCTATCTTTTTTTTATTTTTTTATTTTTACTGTGCACATCATGAAGGGCAATTATTCAAATCCCTGCATGTGTCGTCAGGTCCTCTTTTTTGTTTTATTGTTGAACCTCTTGCTATGACACATATTGCATTTGCATGGCTTACTCAATTGTTTTAGTAAGAAAATGTTCAGAGTTGTCAAGAGATCTTCGTGTACTACACACCACGGCACGAGCATTGTTATTATGTTATGTCTTTCACTGTTATCAAGACCCCTGAATTCACCCCACGTGCCTGTTTGCATGTTGTTTTTATTCTCCGCTTTTCTCAGTTTGTATTGCAACTAAATGTTTGAATTTTGATTCTTCTGTACTCCAGTGCTTTCTTGAATGTTTATTTTCATTTATTCCTCATAATCCTTCCCAATCCAGACTTCGAAGTCTGTGGACTGGACTAAGCTCCCCTGCTACAATAGACACAATAAATGGTACATTGTCTCTGGATTAACATGTGATTTGCCAAAAACTATTCTGATTAAAAAAAATGCTGTTTTTCACTGTGAAGTAATGAAACATAATAAAATGTTTTACATTTACCATTACGCTCTTTGAATTGTTATTGGGAATTTGACCTTTAATGGTTTTTGAAATGCAGCAGTACACTTACACCCTATTTTGAACAATAACGCCTTTCATCACTCACTAAATAAATGATTACATTAACAGGAGTAGAAGGCCGTTTGAAAGCTTGGTAGAAAAGGAGAGGGCAGCGCTGCCTGTCTCGGATCAGATTTCGCTGCAAACGTGAAACTCACGGACAGAAATAGCCTTATCATGCTGACCCAGAACAACAGGTTCCTGAAGGTACGTTGATGTTCTATTTGAAAACATCAGTGTTGCATAGTCCAAAGCATGAAGGCGAGGTACAGAACATCTGAAAGCAGAAGCCAGACATCAGCTGAGTGAGTATTCATATAATTCTGTGGAAACGCTGAGTGAAAGATGGTCACTTAAAATCACGTCAGGCACATTTCATATTCTGGGAATTGATATGTTAGAAGGAGTAGAGTATGTTCTGTATTCTCAGGGGGGGGTGATGTAAACAAATAACGTTTCTAACGTGTGTATAGGCTCATTTCCAGTAGAGGGCAGCAGAGAGCCTCAGTGTTGTGGAAAATGTCACGTGACCGTTTGGGCCTAAAGGACTGGACATGAGTGTGTTGACAAAAAATGTCTCACGCTCTGCCTTCCCATCCCTCCCGTCATCGCTCTCTCCACTCATTTAAACCACCGGTCTTCCTATTTTTGGCTCCTGCAGCCCGGCATCAGCCGACCGGTCTGTCTCACCCGGATTACTCAACATCGGGTTATTTCAGTCATGGCCTTGAGTCCTGGATCCTCGAGTCGTGGCAGCCTGAACCCTAAGGGGCTTGTGAGAGAGATTGAGATCAACGTGCTGGAGTGCAAAGTCTGCTTCGAGAAGTTCAGCACTCAGCGCAAACCACAGAACCTTTCCTGCGGCCATGTCCTCTGCCTGGAATGCATCAGGACTCTGTCCCACCCTCTCCTGAGGAAGCTGGAGTGCCCGTTCTGTCGTCAGCTGTGCAGTGTTGACAGCACCTCCCACTGCCAGGCTCTCAGCGACCTGCAGGAGCTGCTGTTGAACCGGACTCCCCCGTCCTCTACTCCTCCTCACGGGGAAAACGCAGGCCTCGGCCCGGCCCCGAGTCTGACATCCACCGCTCTGCACCTCTGCACAGCCTTCGGAGGCTGGGGGACTCTCATCAACCCCACTGGCATCGCTGCCTTGGGGTCGTCGGGAACGCTGGTGGTGGTGCACGATGGAGACGAGAGGGTGGCGGTGTTCAGTCCACAGGGCAGGAAGCTGCAGTCTTTTGGGAGGAGGGGACAAGGCAGCGGGGAGATTTGTTTCCCCGTGGACGTGGCGGTGACTCGCTGTGGTCACGTGGCGGTCACCGATGCCGGGGACAAAGCCGTGAAGGTTTTCACCTCCAGGGGCAGCCATGTTTTGACAGTCACAGATCCCCTCCGGATGCCCTGGGGTGTGGACGCAAACAGGCGGGGGCACATCCTGGTCTCAGACATCCAGGTCGGCACGCTGACCGAGGTAAAGTTGGACTGCGCGCACGGTCTCGCTCTCGAGCATCGCACAGTCGTTACAGACCTGCAGCGTCCAAAGGCGGTGGCCTGCTGTCACGTGACTGGGAGCACGGCAGTGATGGAGCATTTACCCGGCGAGACACATTCCCCGGGGAGGCAGCAGCTCACGAGGCTCAGAGTGTTTACAGAAGACTTCCACCTCCTTTACCAGCTTGACAGTTTCAGCCTCAGCCTGCTGAACTCAGTGAGGATCAACATGTCAGGCGTGGCCTTTGACACAGATGGAGACGTGATCGTGAGCGACTCCAGTCAGGGGATGATTTGGAGTTTGAGGAAGCGCCAGAATGGTCCTGCCCTGACGCCGCTCGTGGGAGACCACCTCATCCACCCAGTTGGACTTGTGTCACTGAACAACAGCATCGTGATTCTGGACAGTGGAGACCATACGGTGAAGGTGTATTCGGCTAAAGCGGATGCTGGGCCCGGGATGTAGCTCACTCATGATGAACCCATGTGAAATGTAGCTTATCAGAAAATATCCATAAATGATGATGTGATATTTCAGTAAATATTAAGTCAAATTTTACATTGATATAAAACATGTGAATACTATATAAGCGGTATGCTTTGTTTTGCATTTTAAATGTGTTTACATTTTGACAATTATTTAATGTTTGAATTAAGGGTTCAACATATTTGTATAAAACATAATGTTTGCTATTTTCCCGTGGAAAACTGAATATTTTAACCTTTTTGAGCCTAACCCTTTGTTAAGAAAAATCCCTCTTGGTAGAATCACTCATGTAAACCTGTGATGAGGGGTTGAAGAAAAAAAGTTATTTTTAACAGGGTCACAATTAAAAAATAGGAAACTACTGTTTGCTGCACACATTTATACATCTTTAATTAATTTTGTTTTGTAGTTATTTATTTAATATGCTGATAAACATAAAATAAGAAATTCAGAATTCAAATTTCAAAGTAAAAAAGGAAAACTGAATTAAGGATAAATATATTGTTGTGATTCGTGAAGACCATTTTCTGAAGGTCAGAATTATATCAGCTGTGGTGAGTTGTGTGTCTGTGGCGTCTCAATGTTTCCACACAAAAGAAGGCAAAAATACATATTGTGAAAAAATTCCTTTTCAATAATCCTCTCGACGGTGTTTCATGGATGCGCGTCGTCGGTGCGCACGGATGAACTTCCCCACGCAGCCTCGCGTTTCTCGCCCACTGGTTCCTCCCCGACGAGCCGCGCGGTGCGTAAATCCGCCTCCTCTTTGGCACCGCCGGTCCAGTCCGCCAGAGGAGAGCAGTCGCGCTCCCAGTGGAAGATGGCGGTGGGGATGCTGTCTGCGGCCGCAGCGCAGCGCTGCTTTTGCACAAAAAGCGAACCCGGATGGATATAAAATGCAAGAAAAAGGAACAAACCCACACCTCTCGTACTCGCGCCGCGGACTCTTTTTGCGCTCGTTTGAATAGATTCCGCTAGTTTCTTTTTTTGCTGGCAGAAACCCGGTCTCGTTGCGGGGAGATTCGCGGACTATTTGTTGATAGCTCGGCGCACAGACAGGGTGGGGGTGAAAAGTGAGGAGGGGGGGAGACGAAAATGTCGGATTCTAAGGTAAAAGTCGCAGTGAGAGTCCGGCCCATGAACCGAAGAGGTAAGTGTCATCGACGTTGCGTTTGTCTCCGCAGCCTCGCGTGTCTCGGGTTTGCGCCACATTTATCACAAAGTTTGGGATTTCCTTTCGCAGTTTGCGACCTTTTAGGTCGCAGCTTGAAGTCTGACTTGAAGTCCAGTTCGAAGGCGGTCGCGCTTAACGAGGAGTTTTACGCTTTCTGCACAGAAAACTTCACCCCGACGAACTTCTCTCTCCGCAGAAATCGAGCTGAAAACAAAATGTGTCGTGGACATGGAGGACAACCAGACGGTGCTGCACCCACCGCCCTCCAGCGCCAAAGGAGACAACAGGTAAACAAAGCGATGCTTTGGTTAGTTTGACTTTAATATACTTTTAAGGAAAAAAATAATGTTTGTGTGCGCGAACGAGCAAAAACATGCACAGTCCTGGTTATAAATGCAGTAACACAGTAATATATATATATATATATATATATATATATATATATATATATATATATATATATATATATATGATATAATACAGTGTGTCACTGGAGTTTATCCAGCAGGACGTGGACGAACGAGGATCAGATTTATAAAACCATGTATGTTGAATTCAAACCAGTAAATAAATGCAGTGGACAAATGCTGCTTTCCGTCTGCTGAGGACATGATGTCTGTCCCCCACCTGCTTGCAACATGATATTTTGTTATGTAATACATGTGCACTTTCCAATACTCATCACTGAGGCATAATCATATTACCTGTACAGTTAATTCTGCATACTTTATATCTGATGTTGTGTTTTTAAATGAGGGGGGTTGGTTGAGCTTGTTTGACACACGAAGAAGATGAAGGTGTTTGACTGCGCAGATTAGTGTCGAGCCTCAGGCGAAGTCGAAACAAATTTAACTTGTGTGTGTTTTTTTTGTTTTTTTTATGCGTTCAAAGTGGCGTCAGACCTCCGTTTCTTCTGGCAGGACGCTGCTCTCTTTTATCCGGCGTTTATACGGTGAAGTAGAGGAGAAAAGCCGTGACAAGGAAAAAGCTATAAGCATCCCCCAGTGCTTCACTCTCGGCCTGAAGGTCAGCGGGGGAAAAAGCGTCGGTTTTCTTGCTTTGTCAGCCGACATGCTTTCAGATTGTAATGAGGAGGTCGCTCAGTGTGCAGGCCCGGGATGGCTGTTTGCTCGGGGAGTCATCGAGGTGTCATAACTGTTACAGCCTGACACGTGTGTCTCATCCGCTTGGAGTTACGGGAGTAGTTTTTCTACTTTTTGTCTCGCTTGATTGCTCTTCTTCTTGGCGTCACACACACGATTAAACAGCCGACCTGAACACCCACAGGCGAATATAAATCTAACAGGACTGAGGCTATTGTTTTGTTTTTGGAGCAGTCTTTGAAGGCCAAAGCGTGCCACATTCGTGGCTTCTCTTCAACTCTACGTTCAGTCTGGTTAAAGTGTAACACTTTTTATTGACCTTTAAGGCAATTATCAGAACAGAAATTGCCTCACAACGTTAGTGTTCCAGGCAATTAGACAAATCCCACTGAGCGCTACGTATGTTGGAACGGGATGTGACTACAGAACACCAAGCTCTGGAGGGGGAGAGGGGGAGAGGGGGGGAGGAACGGCAGCGAGAGGACAGACATTTAGAAACCTGGAAATAAGCCGGTTGCTTCTTGACCCGGAGTTGATTTGATTTATAATTATACATATTAGTTACATGTATATATATATAATTATTTGTATCTTTCCGTACAATCACATGCTCAGAAGCTGTATGTCAGAGAACATTGGAAACAGCAATCTTTGGGACTAATGGGACTAAGCCACTAGCAAAATAAGACCGTAAAGAGGATAAAGAGCAACGCATACCGATGTCAGCATTATGTTCTTGGAATAACCCAGTGAGAACGTGGGCGAAACATCACGATGTAAGCCTGTCGTTCAGGACCTTCGCCTCTCTTTGAGGACTTCCTCACTGTAATAACTACTGACCGTACCGCGTTCTTCCCTCTTCGGTTTCTATTGACCAGCCGAGCCAATTGGTTGTTTTCCTGCACCAGGTAGCTGCTGGCGTCCAGCCAAGACAGAAGCCCAATCCGGTGGTTAGATGCATGAGTCACCACCTTGATCGTATGAATAATCAACAAAGATGTACAGTCGTCATGAGACACAACACATTTCTCATTAGTCACCATTCCACATTTGATTTTGATATCAGTCTTAAATGTTTTCAACTGATTTTTTTTTTAATCCGAGGTCACTTTTATTATTCCTCTAAACCTTCATTCAACGTTAAAGTAATTATATCAACGGTAATTCTCAAAGGAGAACATTCTGTCACTGGTTTTATATCGTCCATTTTATTTTCTGTACCGTATTCCAGGCATATAATTACTAGTATGTGTGTGTGTGCTTAGGCTGCCATGGTTTTCTTAAACCATGTAATTTTCCTCTCAGCTTCTTGTGTAGCCGCAGAAGTTGATAACCCGATCACAAAGGGTTTGCCGTGTTTTGAAGACACCTGCTCCTGTTTGTCAGATTTAGTGGGTATTAGAATGCCAAATATGGCTGCAGGGCCACAATCATGGGAACTAAGTCTCTCTCATGGGAATAACTCCTCACAGCCTCAAAGAGGACGCTTTTGCATAACAATGTTCAGTATTCAGTGAAACTCTTAAATTCTCTAAAAATACTAAACATGGCTCTACTCTTATCCGATACTAAATTATCACTCTTGTGGTTTAAGCCTGAGGCCGCTTTCATGTGGTAAAATCAAATGGCTGGATTTTAATGAGGTTTTGCAGAGACCACACAGACATGCAAGTCACCTAAAGAATATGAAGAAATATAAGAGATTTCCTTTGATGGTTAAGCCTCATTTTTTGCACCGCTGAGCCTTATCGCTGTGACCCCCAGCTCCCTTTTCCTATTACCCTGAAAAATGAACAAAAATCTCAGTAGTGGGCAAAGTGAAACATAAACGGTGACTGCGGGGCAGCAGGTTACGTTTCCCAAATGTAATCTTTCATCTACCTGTAGAGTTTGCACGAAGGGCATATTTGAAATACGAATCTCGGAGAGCGCCAGTCTGCTCTCCTTTGGGGTTCACACACAATGCAGGTGGGGGTGGAGAGGCGGAGAAATACCTGAGGCGGCTGTCTGCAAAGGGATTGAGTGGTGGAGCATCACGACAAGAAAATACCCTTTGAGTCACACAAAAGGGCCATGTTACACCCATCGTGCCTCAGCATGTCCGTTAACATGCATCAATTCAACGCAGGGTCGTCCAGTCTGAGACGAGGCTTGTTTATGTGAACACTCCTTTTCTGCATATTTCAGTCTAAATATAACAAACTGAGCTAAGCCAAAAGTTCACCTCAAACAACCTTTAGGCAGACAGATGGCAGTTTGGTTTCTATCAGAAAAAGCTTATTTTCTTTCTCATTGAGACTAACTGAAATATCTAGTTGTTAAATCCAACATTTACACTGCTTGTCAATAACCGTTAAATGGGTTTCTTCTCTCTTCTCCACTTGACTGTTATTGTTCTGAGGAGCGTCAATTAAAAATCAATCTGCTTGGACGGTGCTACCTGCACTGTCCGTCTTTAAATGATCTCGTACTAATAATTTGGGAGGTTTGTATTTTTCGTAAACCCGTAGTTATAAAAAAAAAGTCATTGAAATGCTGCTGTATAAAGGAAATGTTCTGACATTTACGGAAAATACGTTTTGACAGACTATAAGATGAGAATATTGATACGGCTCTTATGAACATAAGTTAAACATGGAGCTGCGGGGGGTTAGCTTAGAATTAAGTCTGTCCAAAAACTTAACCTTAACTTTAATTTGTGCTTTAACGGAAGTGTAGGAATTCTAAGTCACGGTTGTAATCTCAATATGAGCCTTCCAATGACTTGGCCGGGATAAGTTGAGCGGAGACTCAGGAATGGCTGCTCCCAGCATTTAAACAATTCACCACATAACCTCTGTAAATTGACAAATTTTCAATTTTACAATTTTATAAATTCATGGAGCTATGTAAAACATGTTTCACAGTTTGATTTAAGAGGTTCCGTTAGGACATTTTGTTGCATTTGAACAGAGCCAGACACGCTGTTTCTCAATGTTTCTATGTTTGTGCTACGCTAAGCTAAATAGCTGTTGACTGTAGCTTCCTACTTACAGTGGTATCCATCTTCTCATGAAACTCTCCGCCATAGATTTACCAAAACATATTTGAAAAAAATGTTGTACTATTCTTTTTAAATCTGTTTGCACTCATCTGGAGTCTGAGAGCGACCCAAAGCGTTCAACATGTGTTTTTTAAATTCTTATACAGACAACGTTTGCGATACACAAACTGTAATTCACATCTTTTTAATAAAGATGCATTGTGGTCACATGTGACCACATGTGTCACCGTGCTTCCTAAAGAAAGCCTTCAGTGGAGGTCAACGCTGCCGTGTCTAATGGTCACAGGATGTTCCCTTTGTCTTTCCATTTCGCTCCCCGTGTGCCAATAATCAACCTTTCCATTCAGTACGATGTTGTTCTCAAATCAGCCAACGGCCTGTTTGCAACGCTTTATTCATGCATGTAATAAGGAGAAAGAGTTTTGTCGCTGATAAAACGATAGTGTTCCTTTAAGGACCATTCCGTGTTTGTTAAAAGGGAGGGACGTTGTTTACATCTTGATCTGGAATGGAGAAAAGATGGTGCCCTCCCTCTTTGTCATTTTCCTGCTCATTAATCTCAGATGTGGCCGCTCGTTCTGTGGGAAGCTTATGTGAAAAATTCCCCCTCACACATTTCTTCCACATTGATTCTGGTCCAGTCATTTGAAGTTTTGAAGTCTGCTTACACTAATGTAATGTCATGGTGGAATAGGTTCATTGTTGACTCACTTTCACATTCAATCGGGGAAAGTGGAGCCAGAAAGAACAAGTTTTTAACTCTCTCCCTCTTAGTGCGAATCTAAATAGCCATTAGTTCTCTTCTAATTAACATCTATTTGGCATGTAACACTTTTCAATTCAAGACCTTATGTGATATGTTTCACAAACTTGCTTTTTCTTGCTTTCGCTGTGTATTTTCATTAACAGCCATACGGCACATACGTTCAGATACGTGACCGGTTCAAAGCAGATGTGTCCCAAATAGTAAACGTGTCATTTTATTTCCCCTTTAGGAAGACACCTTACCATATTTAACAAATTCCCTTATTTCTGGCTCGTATGTTTCCTTTTTAAACCAATCAGATTCAAGGCCTCAGACCACATGTTGGCAGAATCGCTGTGTGTGTTTCGGCGCTCACACACACACGCAGCCTGCCGCTGACCCGGCTCGTCGCAGCGGTGTCAGGAATACCTTAAATTATCTTAAATTAGACCCTGTCTGCATCCTACGTTGCGTCGTTAACTTTTGTTTTTGAAACATTGCGAGTCCCACACAGAAGTAAGCATGAGCTGACGATGGCGGTGCCGTTCATTTAGGATGTTTTTGAGATCCTGAGCTTGGCTTTCACGTCGGAACTTTGACTCACAAGGCTGGTCGGTCGGTCTCTCCTCCATATTTACCGCTGTTGCTTAGCGAAAACCCCGAGTTACAGAAACATTCTGGAGTTATGCTGATGACCTAATGAGCGATATCCCCCACCCTTCTCACATACTTTCATAGGAAGCTGTGTTTAGTATTCACAACAATGAACCTCGGACACATTTGTTTCATAATCGTTCCACAAGTTTATTGAGGTACTTTGTATGGGTATTTCCTTTACCTTCTACATAATACTTCTACTCCAATACATGTATCTGACAGGTGTGTTTACCTTTTAGAATATAACATGATGTTAAGATTATATTGGCTGACGCCTACTTTTTGGCCTTCTAACCCCTTGCAGTCCAAAAAGCTGTTTGCTGCTGTAGAGAATTCTACCCTCTAAACTTCTCTCATGGTCTCATATCATTGATTCTCTCAAGGTAGAATACCACCACTGCATCTGCTTTGTATTGAAGCTGAAGAAGCTTCGTGAATTCTTTGTGAGCCCACTCGATCTCAATGGCTCCTTGGAATCATCTTTTAACTGGTCGGACACGAGACCCTCCCTCTCTCGCTGTAACTGGCTGCTCGGCATTCTCCTGCTCCCTCCCGTGTGTCTGTACAGCTGGGTGACCTCTGCCTCGGGTGGGCGTGTTGAGTTCTAAACATACTGGAGGACCATCTCAAATGTTACCCTGTCTCCTGTGAGAGCTCATTGCACGGTAACCCAACGAGTTCAGAGACAGAGTCATAAACAGAGAGATACGAAAGAGAGATAGAGAGCTTTGTACATTGAATTTGGCTCTGGAGCTTTTTGACTTAATTGTCTGATGTGTTTCGACAACAGGAGAGAGTCATATGTGTGCTTTAATGGGTTCTAAGGGGGGGGGGGGGGGGGGGCAGCAATAGAAGATGTATTTTAATCTATGCAGGGGGGGGTGCAAGCGAAAATAACTGTTTGTGGATGCTTGCACAGAGCAGATGAATGTTGTAGAATATCATCTCAATGGGGGGTCAACCTCATCCGTGTGACTGGCATATCCCATTTGAGCAGCAGGATTATATGATCAGAAAGCCTAAATCACACTGACGAATCTGACAAAACATCCCTCATGCATTGGAAAGGGGGGGGGGCACAACGTGTAGTTCTGTCATGTAACGCTGTCATTCCCTGATTTCAGCAGATGGGAGCTAATTTGAATCATTCTGCTCCAGATCTGTCAGTTAGTCGGATAAAATGTTCTGATTTTTATAAACGTTGCTTATACATGTGTGAGCATTTGCCATGCAAGGTTATTTTTTAAGGATGGGTGGGTGATGCAGTGGATTAATCAGTTTTTTGGCTACTAGGCAAGAGTACACTTTTTGGTGGCATAATAACCCAGTGGCCTTAATCCTGCTCCATAGCGGGGGGGGATTCCACTGCTGCCCACTGACCCGTCATACCTCCCATTTGGACCCTAAGCCAGTTCACATGGATCGGAGCTGCAACAAGGCGCAAAAAGATCATCTGTGATCCGAGTAAACCTCAAATAGACACTTGGCTCTGAGGCATTATTTCGTATCCAAAGTAATAAGACAAAAGGCCATAACACAGAATTAGAATCTGTGAGCCGTAGTAGTGGGAGAGGTCAGTGTTCACTGTGGCCACGTTGAAGTCATTCATGGGTGCTGTGGCATCAGGTAGCTGCAGGCGTGGGAGCCCGGACGTTCCCTCGATGACACTCACACATGAGGTCACACAGAAGCAGCTCCAACCATGCAGACTTCAGCCATGCCCAGCTAGGCTACAATGTCTGCCCGGGTCGGCCTCTCATTCTGATGTTATATGACACTTCTGTGTTATACAGTTTGTTTGTGTCACACACACACACACACACCCTCAGGCCATGACTAGCGACTATACATGCTTGTTATTAAGCGAAGGGCCCACAGACATCATGCAGTGTACAGCGTTTGTGACCGTGCTTTCACTGGTAGTATATCTGGACTGGTGAATTAAGATGTGCAATTACAACGGAATGGTCACGTGTGGCCCTATTGACAGCATTGACATATTTTCTTTCCCATACATTATCATATGGTATTGTTTAAATAGAAAGTCAGTCTTCTAATGCCCATGTCTTACGATCTCCATATATTGGGAGATGCATTATTTATTTCACAATAATTATAAATGTTATAATATCCACATCAAATAATAGAAGATTTATATAACCACGTGTAGCAGACACTATTTACATCCTTTAAAAAGCAAAGTACAACATTGCTAATACGGACATGGACAATTGTGAAGATTAAAGAGATTATTTCCAAAACAGAGTCGGGGATATGGACCCAATGTGCTGAGAGGGGGGTCTTGTTGGTCGGATAGTGTTCGGGGGGTAAATGAAGATATTATAACATTAAAGAAAACTTAAATGCATTTCCTAGGATACTTTGGGAGGAAACAGTAGCTCTCTGGAGTCCTAAATATAGACGGTACATAACAGTTCCCCTCATTGTCTTGTTCAGCAAACCCGGCTTAACATCAACTGTACAAACGGTGTTTGACACGATGAGACGGAGCCAACCAGCCACAGCACCAGCTCTGCTTCAGCAGAGATGGTTTCTTGTGCTGAAGAGTCTAGACTGCACACATTCCATAACTGCATGTCTTTTGTGTGTGTGTGTGTGTGCGTGTGTGCGCGTGTGCGCGTGTGCGTGGTTGTTATAGTCGGTCTCTCTCTCTTTCCGGTCTTGCGTCTGTCGTCCTTTTGTTCGGCATAGTGATTCATCTGTTCTCTGTCCGGGATCATTTCTCATTCTCCGCTTGAAGCTGTTGTCTTTCTACGCCTCATCCATAACACTGTTTTCTGTCGAGCGCGGCCATGTGAACATTCACTTTTACCTTTGATCCTTTGTCACACCTCCTGGTCTGCCAATAGAAGCCCTTGTGTGTTCTCCCTGCAGTCAGTTGCTAAATACATCTTCACAGCTACTCACAGACGGCCCCTTTCTGTTCTTTGGCGTGGAGGGCCCGGCTGCAGGAACGGGGCCCTGCTGCCGTCTTTGTCTGCTCTGATTGACACCCGGTCGCAGTGGTTGTCAGTGACCCAGATTCAGGGTATGAGCCCGAAGGAGGCCCTCCTCTGTTTGTGCTCCTCTAATCTCTTTCTGTCCATCATAATAATGAGCTGGAGCACAATTAATGGCCTTAGTATCCTCAAAGCAAATCTGCTAATAATCCGAATCCTTAATTAGTTTAATCTTTAGCACAAACATAAAAGAGCTTAAGAAGTGTGTGGGTGTCGCCGTGCAGCTCCTCAGGCACGCTATTGTTGGTGACTCGGCGCAGCCTGTGAGAGGCGCGTTGGTGCAGTGTTTCAGTCTTGCCCTGTATTAGTTACCGCGTGAAGGTGATGTCCACCTCTGTGTCTGTGCCAGGAGACGCCTGCAGGATCTGCTGACTGTCGGAGGACGGGTGCAGATGTAGAGGCATTAGTGGGGAGGGTGTATAGGTTGTACTGCAAAATGCATGTGGTCAAAAACAACAATTCCCTTGCCATGCATTATACGGGTTGTAACATTTGTATAGATATTTAATATTATTGTTCTACAGCTGTTGGGAATCCCTCTCCACTTAGATAACTTGGTGCCATGTATATTACCCTTTTGTCCTTGGTTCCGGCAGCTGCATATGCTGAGTGTGGCTTTCGCAGCCCGGCCTCGCTGTAAAGTCCACAGGCATAGCAGCTATTTACTCAACGGAGTCAGTGGGACATGAATCCTAAATCTCTTCTCTTCCTCATGCTCCACTGGCCAAATTATGAACCCAATCAAAGCAGCACCTAACACCAGGAAATGCCGCTGCGTGGAAGCGAATGAGTTAATACACGAGGGAATGAATGTGTTGAGAATTTTGTTTAAACGCACGCATTTCAGTTAAGAAAAGCAGTTTGTGTCGACGCGGCCAACAATAGGTTTGTACTGTGAGAAGTGTAGAAACATCTGAGCATGTACATGGTCTGACTGTTAAACAGCATTAATCCTAACATGGTATTTCCTCTCTCTTGTCTTTCTTCCTGGTTCACCCACGGGTTTCTTCTGTTTATGATGGATCGCCCCAATCGTACAAAAGGAAACAATCTAAGGTATGTGCTTTTCACTTCTTTGTGTTACCAGAAAAAAAACTGGCCAACGTCAACAGAGCTTAAAATGTCTGCCGAAACGGGCATCTGTCTTGACTCCTGACTGTCCTGAAGCTGCTGCTGCACAACACGGTTCCCCCCGAGTGGATCAGAAGCATCCGGCACCGCTCGGTCTACCGTTGTGCCGCTGTCTCTGGGGACGTGATTGAGAGTGATTTAGGGGTTTGGTGGTCCAGCAGGAGCCGGATAGATGTCCATGTGAATGTGTCAGCGGTCTGAAGATCTCCCGAACACCCACAAAGGCTCCACAATGAGAGAGGGATGAGCGCAGACACTGGGGCTGTGTGTGTGTGTGTGTGTGTGTGTGTGTGTGTGTGTGTGTGTGTGTGTGCGCATTCAGAGCGGCATTGTTGGGGTGCACCCCCACCTCCACCCCTTGACAACACGCTGGCCGACTGGCTCAGAGACCTTTCACACACCAGGGACGGGTTTTGTGGTCGGTGCACTCGGCCGCTGGCTGGATCGGGGGAGTGTTGGCGCGGGCGGCCGGCGTGCTCGGACTCTGGGCCCTGTGAACCCGTGTTACCCTGTAATACCCTTCAACTAGACGAGCACGTGGCTGTCTACTAAGTTATAGTGGCACTCAAATTAGTCTCCCTGCGTTCTGAAGGGTAAACAGGGCCCGCGGTCCAATCACGTTTGACCAGTTTTCGTCCCAGAAATGACAAGACGGGCCTTGTGTTTCTCAGCTCCGTCATTATTTGTCCTGCTGATTAATAGTAATTGTCCAATCATGAAGAATTTGTTGCGCGGTCACACCCTTAGGCTGGACAGAGACAGATCAGAGGAGATTGAAGCCCCGGATACCAAACCCGCAATAATTAGGAATGATGGCACTTTTTGTTCCTTTTGAGTTGCACCCACTGACGTGTCTGAAGTCCCAAGAGGAGGTCTTGCTTTCAAAGCATTCAGTCATCTCAGCGTTCCCCGTGCTGACTGTGCAACCAGTGGTTCCCTTGGCCGACAGCCCCCCTTATGTATAGCAGGGCGTTCAATCGTTTGAGCCGTTTGTGTAGGGGAAAGTGCTTTGGCAGAGCAGCAGTAGTGCAGTGACAGCCGGGATTAGTAACATGCAGCAACGATGTGCTCGCTCTGCCGGATGACCGGGCTGCTGAAATGTTTTACATAAAAGCCTGTCGCCTATCTCAAGCTGCTCCAAGGAGACGTTTAAGAGGACTTAAGAGGTGCCTGCGGGACACAAGGGGGTCTCTGCTGCTGAAGCCCGCACCGCCGGGAACAGCGGCAGTCACGTTTCCGTGGAGACGAGGGTCACCGGGGGATGGAATTTCTTCTGGGAAGCACTGATTTATGAATTCATTTAAATCCAAGCCACTATGACAAAACTTGGGGCAGCTAACATTGGATTTATGCTCACCGTCACGTTGCGGTGCTAACGAGCATTACCTCGAACAATACTTGGACTTCATCTTACTCACTCAGACAACCTCAGTCTCACGGATTACTGCAGGGTGCCATGATACCGCACAATGCGCCTGTTTTTATTCAATAGAAGATACTAGACCCCTTCTAAGAAAGATCCCGTTGTGCTGTACCTGCCTAGACAAGTTGATAGAAGAAAAAAAAAGATGGTTTACATGCCGACTCTTCTGCAGGTGTTTGCTTTTGACCACTGTTTCTGGTCCATGGATGAGGCCAACGTCCCCAAATATGCTGGTGAGTCATACATTTCGTAACTAATCCTACACTCATCAAATCACATCCCATGTTAAGACGTATGCGCTTGGTGCAGCAATAGTCTAGTGACTCCCTACTCAAGGGAAAGCTGTTTCTGCATCATGCCAAGCTAAATACGGTCATTTGCATTTTGAGAGAACTCATTAAATACACAATGATGGTAGTTGTCTTTGAATGATCTCAAAACCGTTAAACCGTTAAATCAAAAATCTTTGGGATTTCTTACAATACATAAAATAATGTGTATAATATATAATGTGTATAATAAATAAACATTTTCTTTCATGCTTATTTAACGCTCTATCGTTCGTTTCTTTAATAACAGCTGCACAGAAAAGGTTACAGCTACTGTTTTTGTAAAATCTAGTATAAAAAAGAGGTTATTACAGCCAGAGGAAGATTTCCATAGTCATTGTACATACTTTCCTCGTCATATCACACTCATTCTGTGATGGAAATGTAACACTTGCATCTGCTTTGTGCTGAACCGACAAGGCAATCTGTTCAGTGAAGGGCTCACCCAGGGGCCCCCGGGGCCGAGGCTTTATTTAGCTCTTTAAACAGCTGTCCCATTCAGCAGGAGCATGACCGGAGCCACACACAACATTTCTATACACGGCTCGCCATTTTCCACACGACCAGACAGGAATTCATCATCTTCATGAATACTTATTCTTCTTGGTGTCTTATTTAGTGTTTCCTTGTTGATACGTACATGTGTGTGTGTGTGTGTGTGTGTGTGTGTGTGTGGGTTAATGTTATTGCACTGATTTGAGGATCCGCACCAGACAACTGGTAGCACTTATATGATTGAATGGTTTATTTGTTTACCAAAATCTCAATGGTGATTCTTTGTCCTAAAGGTCAAGAGGTGGTGTTCAAGTGCCTTGGAGAGGGAATACTTGAAAACGCATTCCAGGGATATAATGCCTGCATATTTGCCTATGGACAAACAGGTAACTCAAAATACAGATCAAATTTACCACGAGTACATTTTTTCATGCAGTTTGTGAAGCATTTTACGAATGACCTCCATTATACTTATGGGCCTTAGTACATTTGCAGGTTGAGTTGTCTCCAGATGTGTCCATTGTAAGGAAGGCAGCAAGGCATGTATTTCTAATTACACTGGTGAATCACTTAACTCATATCCTTCCTCCTCTCTGGATCAAATGAGCTCTTGTAGCCTTCGTCCTGTCTTAGTAAAGACACACAACTACTGAAAAAGTTTGTAAAGAAAAGCAATATTTCAGTGGCAATGTTGAATAGTTGGTTTGCCATTTTGAACGGGACTGAAATGTCTTAACATCTCACAAAAAGTTGTACATTCCTCATGGTTCCCAGAAGAGGCCTGACCTGTACTTTTGGGCCACCGTGACATCTGTGTACTTTTTAGTACACGTTTAGACAAATGCTTAATGTATTGCCATGCTCTGTGATCTCTTTGTCTTCAGAGCTAATTAGCAAATGACGTGATATCCTGTATCCTCTCTAGACATCAGGATGTTAGCGTTATTGTGAGATTGTTTGCATGCTGAATTTAGCATTTAGCTACCGCTGTACTTTTTAAAAATTTGGTTTATTTGATACGGCACAGTGCACATAAATCGAAACAGTTTTTTCAAAGACACAAATGGAATGTTACAGTAATTGAATTGAATTGAGCCTCTCGCTGTAACGGACACGGCCATCAGTCAAGTGTGATTCTGAAATGTCCGTGCAGGTTCAGGCAAGTCCTTTTCCATGATGGGTAATGGGGATCAGCCGGGTTTGATCCCTCGACTCTGCTGCTCGCTGTTCGAGAGGGTCCACAGAGAGGAGAACGAGGGCCATACTTTTAAGGTGGAGGTGTCCTACATGGAGATCTACAATGAGAAGGTCCGGGACCTTCTGGATCCCAAAGGGTAAGTCTGACGGGTGTATTTTCTTTCTGTAGAATAGGCATATGTGACCTGTACAACCTCGCTAAATGCACTAACTTGGTAACGCCTCTGACCTGGGCAGACACAGAAAAAGGTCGGCCTTGTCTCGCTCCAACTGCAGTACAAACTGTGACCTCCCCTTCGCATCTCCGCTTATAGCTCTGTTGTGTCTAGTAGCCTGAATCGTGGGACGGCGACAGAATGTTGTGAGTAGGAAGCTCAACCCATTCATTTCCTGCAGAACAGCGGCCAGCGGCGTCCTCTGACAACGCTGCATTCTTCGCCCGCGGTGTCTGACGTGAGTTGGCAGACAGGCCGCCGCGAGGGAGAGCGAGCCGCGAGAGAGAGAGAGAGAGAGAGAGGGACATCTGTTAGAGAAGCCGAGAGCAGTCAGATCAGTCTGCGGGCCGAGAGAGACGGACAACAGGGAAGTCCTATGTGTGCCGCAGATGTCAGGAGACGAAGCCGGAGCCCATTCGATGGCGACTTCCTCTCGCTCTTGCTTTTCTAGCTGCCTTTGTCCTTCTTCTGAACATTGGTTCTGTGATAGACACACGATATCAAGGTCAATCGTGACAAGGATCTCATTCACACTATCAGCTGGCCATGATCTTTCTAGTGGTTAGCATCCTCTTCAGGATCCTCTGTTTTTCAGTGGATGGTAGATTGGAATTGGAGTGGAAGAAGGGAGGCTGGGTTTTTTTCTATTCTGTAGCCGTGAAGAAGAATCAGTGAGTTCTGTACTGATCTGTAGGATTTATTCTCACCACGTCTCAGCTGCCCGATTAGTTTCAGTTTACAAGCTGAACCAACTGAAGAAACATTGGGTTGATGACTGAGTCCTCTCGACACATATACTGTACCTCATACATAATATACATCAGAGTTACCAATCACAGCTGTAAATACTCACCAACTAATACACCTTTCTCTTTTTATAACAGCTTCATATCTGTATTGGAACTTTTTTTGGCTTGTAAAATAATTTGAATGTTTTTCGAGAAGAAGGAAGAAGAAGGAGAAAGAAGAAGGGACTTGGAGCTGAGAGCCAAAGAAGGAAAAGCAGATTTCAAGATGGAGTAACACATTATGGCTGTCCTTAAAAAGTGTTGTTGTGCATTTTAGAAATTCAGAAACGTTTTATGTGAATGATTTTTTATCAACTCGGTATCACAGTTTTGTGAACGTTTTTGGTAAATGTTGGCTCCAACCACAGGGTAAATAAGTCATGTGAGTTAAGTCTGGAGAATTAGTTGAAACATTTTTATTTGTTCTGATGGAGAGAGAGAATTTTTGGAGCGTTTAATGGAAAGTATATATTTACTTCATAAACAGAGGAATGTCCCATCAAATACGCATTATAAAACCCTGTTGAAAGTGTTGTTCATTCTTTCTTTTTTAACATTTGTGCCTAATTGAAAATAGTACTAATTCCTCCCTTGTTTCTCTATTTTATTTTTTCTAAGGAGCCGACAGTCCCTTAAAGTTCGGGAACACAAAGTCTTGGGTCCATACGTGGATGGTCTATCTCAGCTGGCTGTAACCAACTTTGAGGTGTGTCTTTCCCTTTCTGTCATCACACTTTGCCAGAGCTGATTCATATCAACAACCACAGGCCTTATATGTCACTTTTAGACATGATTTATAGTACCCAGCAGAAATGTACTCTGTCCTGTCCCGGGTTGTCAAGTTGCTAGTTTTCATTCAGGACAACCATTGACTTTCGCATCCCTTCATGTGTAGAAACTGCAATCTAACATATTCCCAAAGTGGGATGTAGTCTTTGAGGTTTTGGCTAGTTTATATGCTAAGCCTTGGCAGGGCCTTTCTTAATTGGGTTTAAACATCTCCACCCAGTTTGTGCTCTGCTCTGCCTGATATTCTTGCAGTGGTTTTGCACAGCCGTGGCCCACTGTCTACTGTGACCCAGGTTAAACCACCTGGCACACAGACAACTGTCAATTCCATTTGAAAAGTCTGTTATCATAATGATCAATGTGGAAGTTGTACCTAAATGAAGTGAAATTTATTCAAATTGTCAAATGTCTTTATGTCACTCCTGAAAGGTCTCTTTCTTTTATTAACTCCCTCTCCATCTTTTCAGGACATTGAGGTGTTGATGTCAGAGGGCAACAAATCTCGCACAGTTGCAGCCACCAACATGAACGAGGAGAGCAGTCGATCACATGCCGTGTTCAGTATAATTGTCACACAAACACTTTATGATCTACAGTCTGGGGTCAGTCTTTCCACCAACATTCACAAGGAATTGTGTGTATCCTATTTGTCCACTCCTGGCTCATTTGATTGGCTGCTGTCGTTTTTGTGATGGTGAACAGAATTCAGGGGAGAAAGTGAGCAAGTTGAGTCTGGTGGACCTGGCGGGAAGTGAGCGAGTGTCTAAGACTGGAGCGGCTGGAGAACGACTCAAAGAGGGCAGCAATATTAACAAGTAGGTACCATTTCTTCGTATAAAAGTGAGGCAAATATATCAATTCACAAAGTGTTAAAGCTTCTTTTTTGGCTGTGTTGTTGCAGGTCTCTCACCACGTTAGGTTGCGTGATTTCTGCTCTCGCTGACCAGTCTGCAGGAAAGGGGAAAGCCAAGTTTGTGCCCTACAGAGACTCAGTCCTCACCTGGCTGCTGAAGGTTTGGCCCTATTTAAAAGTTATAATGTGTTGTTATTGCATTAACGCATTAATTAATGTCCCTGTGTTAAGAGTTTGCATAAATAAAAGTGCATAATAGACCACTTTATGGAATTTTGCGATTAATCGCGAAATAATCATAAGATTAATCGTGATTTAAAAATTGGAACCGCTGAAAATGAATAGTTATCGGCTATGCTTCCTTTCATACAGGACAACCTTGGCGGCAACAGCAAGACGGCCATGATAGCCACAGTGAGTCCATCGGCTGATAACTACGAGGAGACTCTTTCCACGCTACGCTATGCAGACCGAGCCAAGAGAATCGTCAACCACGCCGTGGTGAACGAAGATCCCAACGCTCGGATCATCAGAGAGCTCAGGGAAGAGGTTGAGAAGCTCAAAGTTCAACTCTCTCAGGCCGAGGTAAAGTCAAGGGATCGGCTAGAGACACAGAACATGATATTGATTGATTCATGCAGACCCGTCATAAATCACACGATAATCCAGGATACGCTGACGCCTTTATCCTTTATTCCCATCAGTCATTGAAGGCTCCTGAGCTGAAGGAGAAACTGCACGAGTCTGAGAAGCTCATTCAGGAGATGACTGTCACCTGGGAGGAGAAACTAAGAAAGACAGAGGAGATTGCCACTGTATGCTTAACCACCGTAAACACGCAAAACGTCAGTTCTAATTCCTATTTATACCTACGGTAACACTGTTATTATCCACAGGAACGCCAGAAGCAGCTAGAGAGCATGGGCATCTCTCTGGAAACATCGGGGATTAAAGTGGGTGAAGACAAGTGTTTTCTGGTTAATCTCAATGCTGATCCTGCCCTCAATGAGCTACTGGTCTACTATCTGAAGGTAATGCAGTTTCTACATCGGGATGATGCAATACTGGCAATATAACGTTGAACGCACAGTACGCGCTACTATTGTCACCCAGCTGCCTGATGCGTTTTTTGCCATTAGCCCTTACTGTATGTCTTTAAACCTATTTGTGAGATAACAAAGTCTCTGTTGCGCCGTTAAATGCAACTGTGAGGAATTTTCCAGTGTAAACTTAACAGTCTGTAGTTAATATAAGTGGTTCTATCAACCTGGGCGTGCTCCTCTTTGGCTTCAACCCAGGGAGTTTTCAACAAATACAAATAGTCAACCCAAAGATGCAGGCCCCTTTTTTAATGGCACCACTTAACGCGTAGATTTGTAGACTATTGTACCACATTCACCGTGCACGGAGGCCCTGACACGCATCACATGTGGCGCAGTGATCCAGATGACGCTCGGAGAGCTGAGATTAATCTAGTGAGAGCAGGTCCGAGCTCTGCAGAGCGCTGAAGTGGAACAAGCAGTCGGTTCTTTGGACCTGTGAGAGCAGAGGCATGTGAGAAAGCAGCCTGTGCAGCGCCCTGAACAACAAGCCTTTGTCTGGGTTCTGCAGGCCAGCCCGGCGTATCAGTGTGGAATGACTATGGTAATGTGAAATGGGTTGGGCGCCGGTCCTCCAGAAGCCGGGATGTTTGTTTAACAACGCCCACCATGCAGTGAAAAGAGACGCAAGCCGTTTCCCTTTTTTACACTTTGAAGTTTGTTTTTCTAAAAAAAAAAGACAAAATTCTTAGGAAACAGCATTTTGTAGGTTATGTCCTCAGAGTTGTAGCAAGATGGTGGGTGTAATTACTCTCAGAGTGTCATTATATGTTTTCTGAATCCATCCTCCTCCTGTGAATAGGAGCACACGCGTGTGGGCGCCGACACTTCTCAGGACATCCAGCTCTTTGGGATCGGCATCCAGCCGAAGCACTGCGTCCTGGAGCTCTGCCCGGATGGTGACGTCACCCTGATGCCCGTAGGGAATGCCAGGTGAGCTGCTGCACAACTACCTACAACACACTCTTTATCTCTGCGTGTCTTTCTGTGGTCCCTCTCATCATGGATGGCTGGACCTCACTGTTTTCACATGACCTCACTGTACAGGAATCTATGATTTGAGCGCCGAGCCGTGTCTCGCTGCCACTACAGAGGAATTGTTTCTCCTCAATTAGATTTCCCTGTTCAAAGATTAGGTTCATAATTCTCATAATGAGAGTTGAATTCCTCTTGTTTTCTACAGCACCTGTGTGAACGGCTCAATGATTGATTCTTTGGTGCACCTGTGGCATGGAGATCGTATCTTATGGGGGAACAATCACTTCTTCAGGTATAAATCGTTATCATGGCCAGATTCAAATGTGTGAAGAGTCACAAAATCAAAACACCACTGACTGGAAGTTGCTGCGCAGGATTAATCTGCCTGCACGAAAGCGGCGGGACCGTTTAAAGGAGCTGGACAGAGCTTCCCCGAGGGAGAGCTTTGTCGAGGCAGACGTGGAGACCGCCAGCGAGGCGTCTTCAGAACAGGACTACAGCTACGAGTTTGCTCAGATGGAGGTCATGATGAAGACTCTGGGGAACAACGGTATGATCATAATAATCTGTTGCTGCACTCTGCATGACATTTAAGGCTTTCAGGTCACTGCTTTACACAGTATTTATCACCTTTAGCTTGTTGCAATAGTCAGATGCTCTGTTTATCTCAGAATGGTCTGATGCTCTGCTGCAGTATCTCGTATTTTGAATATAAAAAAGATCTCTCTCTTTGTTAATTCCAACGCTCAACTGAACAATTTGTCAGCTGTTTGTTGCAGTCTGCAGGGACCTGGTTAAAAATGCTGTGCAGTTAATCTTTTTTTATTACACAATAATGTATTAGAGAATTAGTCTATGAATGTCAGATAATGGTTAGAATTGGCCTTCAAGCCTTTTTTTTTTACTGAAGAAGCTTTGTTTGGAACTGTCCCTGTTAATCCGGTATTCTCGTGTGGATGATGAAATGTTTTGTGTCTCGTGCTTTCTAGACCCCATGCAGAATGTGGTCCAGGTGCTGGAGAAGCAGTACCTCGAGGAGAAGCGTACGGCTCTGGAGGAGCAGAGAGTGATGTACGAACGAGAGCTGGAGTCGCTACGGCAACAGCTGACTCCCGAAAAAACGCAGCAACACAAACGCAGCAGCAGCGAGCGCCTGGCCTTCCCAATGCACGCGGCACACGGCAAGCTGCGACTGTGGACCGAGGAGCGGTTAGTGGAATCTAGCCTGTGCAGGGCAAGAGGGCCCGAGATGTGACGTCATCTTCCTTGTTTTGTCTCACGTTTGACAGCCGCGTGAGATGTTCACCGTATTGACCTTTTAAGTAAATCTAGTTAAACCTAGTTGCGATGTAAACTCAAGCAACTGTTTTGAGTTTATTAGATCGGTAACTGTCTTCTCAACTGTGTCATTTTTTACACTAGCTGTTCCTGTAAATTAGGTGCCAGTTTAAATCCACACCCAGAATGAACAACAGGTGACATGAATGAATGATCTCTGTGTTCTGCTTGTCCGGGTCTTTGCGTTTCAGGGATGAGCTTTTTCGGCGGAGTCTTTCTCGACTCAGGGAGCAGGTTGTGAAAGCCAACACCTTGGTGCGAGAAGCCAACTTCTTGTCAGAGGAGATGAACAAACTGACGGACTATCAGGTCACCCTTCAGATTCCCGCCGCTAACCTCAGCGCTAACCGCAAGGTAGGCCTCTGAATACCCTGCTGTCACACATCACCTCCCCTAATTATGTCACGTCTGAATACCTGCTGAAATACAAGAAGGGTTGCAATCTGTTTTTTCACGTAGCGTGGAGCAATAGTGAGCGAGCCGGCCATTCAGGTACGGAGAAAGGGAAAGGGGACCCAGGTGTGGACCATTGAGAGGCTAGAAAACAAACTGGTGGATATGAGAGACCACTACAGGGACTGGAAGGAAGGCGCAGAGGAGATGGTAAGGAAAAAAGGAACATGCAAGAGGAAAAGATGGATTTACTGGATTATTCAGACGTTCTCTGTATGTTTTCAGTACAACAAGGCCAACAGTAAGCACTGTGATCCATTCTATGAGGCGCAAGAGAACCATAACCTGATAGGAGTGGCCAACATTTTTCTGGAGTGCCTTTTCCATGATGTCAAGCTGCAATATGCAGTCCCCATCATCAGCCAACAAGGAGAGGTAACGGTGCATTAACATAAACAGATTAGTGCATAAATACGCATGAATATTATATATAGTACTGTAGTCATGTTGAAGCTTTTGACTTATTACATATTCTTATTGCAATGATTGTTTATCAACAATCCCACTGAATAAATATTTTGCGAGCAGACCAATGCTCATCCTACCATATCGCAGCAACATTCATATTGACGTATTTGGTAAAAAGATATTGTGTTATTTGATTTTGCCCGTATTGAAGCGGCCTACCGATTTTTTTTTTAATGGGATATATACGAGTCCTGGGGACATGTCTCCTTGGCCTGTGTGTACAGGTGGCAGGCAGGTTGCACATTGAGCTGATGCGAGTCAGTGGAGTCGTACCAGAGCGCCTGTCTGGGGGAGACGACTCGTCAGAGAACTCCAGTGAGAGTAGCTGCTATGAGGTGATGGACACCAACGGGGACATCGTCCACATAGCCAAGAGGCTTACATGCAGGGTAAGTCTAAACAAAAATGGGAGTTTTTTTTAAATGCCATGGGATTGTTTAGCTTATTTTTGTTTGCAACATCATTTAATGAAGAGACATTTCTCTAAGATGAGCCTGTGTCTTTGCTGCAGGTGCGGATCAGGGAGGCCACAGGTTTGCCAATCAACCTGTCCAACTTTGTCTTTTGTCAATACACCTTCTGGGAGAACGGTGAGCCCACTGTGGCTCCTCCCATGGTCAGCCCAGATTTACCTTCCCCTCGAAGCCCAGATGCCCAGTTTACGGTCCAGTTTGATCACTGCAAGGTACATTAAAGGGCCTGCTTGTCCCATCTAAAAGATGCTAACGCCTTACCCGAGGCATTCACAATTGTATTTCCTTTTTAACTTTTAAAAATTGTTTTTGAAGTTAACTCTGTTAGAAACCTCTCTTTCTCCATCTGCAGGACTACATCGTGCATGTGACGGATGAGTTTTTGGAGTTCATATCAGATGGAGCATTGGCCATAGAAGTGTGGGGTCACCGCTGTGCCGGGAACGGACGGTCACTCTGGGAGTTGGACGCATTGGAGGCTAAGACCCAGACGCTCCGGGACAGGTACATGCATCACATGTCCCACTCAGACGTTTGAACTGTGTCAGACACACACACACACACACACACTGACAATTCTCACCTAGCCCCTCTTGGCTTTTGCTTTTTGTAGGTGGAGTGAGGTGTCTCGCAGAATCGAGCTGGGGACGTCCATTCAAGAGCTGAACGAACAGGGAGAGTACTCATCGGTGGAGCTGCTCCCTGGCAAAGACATCAGCACCGGAGGTGTCTTCCAACTCCGACAGGTCAGATGAAGACCATGAGCAAGTGTCCCCTTGAGATTAAACAGGTTGCCCTAGATCAAAAACACACTTTAAGACTCACTGTGGATAACTATAATAAGTAATAACTTGTTTCTTTAACATACCATTAGAATAGTTGGAGTGTTTCTGTGTGGAGTCTGCATGTTCTCCCCGTGTCTGCGTGGGTTCTCTCCGGGTTCTCCGGCTTCCTCCCACAGTCCAAAGACATGCTTTGGGGATCAGGTTAATTGGCGACTTTAAATTGCCCGTAGATGTGTGAGTGTGAATGGTTGTATGTCTCTGTGTAGCCCTGCGATTGGCTGGTGACCAATCCAGGATGTACCCTGTCTATCGCCCGAAGTTGGCTGGGATGGACTCCAGCCCCCCCGCAACCCTGTGTGCAGGATAAGCGGTTTGAAAATGGATGGATGGATAGAATAGTTGGTTTGTGGCTCAGTGGTAGAGCGAGTCGTCCTTCAATCAGAGTTTCAACTGCAGTGTGTGGCTGCGTCGAATGAATGATGCCATGTAGTGTTAAAGCCCTTTGAGTGAACAGAAGGCTAGAGAAGAAAATACAGACCATTTGCTGTTTGAGCTGTTTAAGAGACTTCAAGCAGAGGATGACATTTTCACAGATTATGCACGTCATGTGGCACCGTCAGGCATAGTGACAGTTTGAGCAAATGCGACAAAAAGTCATTTTTATTAAAGTTAATAACTGAAGCTTCATCGGGATGGTGGGTAATTATGTTACTATTAACTTTCTTGTACATGTCGTACTTTGAGGTGCAGCGCTGACAGCGGCATTCTGATGATTCTGACGGCATTTGTACAAGCAGGGTCACTCTAGGAGGCTGCAGGTTTGTGTGAAGCCGGTCCAGAACTCAGGGACTCTGCCTCTGCTGGTGGAGGCGTTGGTGTCCGTCTCTATCGGCTGTGTGTCTGCTCGCTCCACCAAACTACAGAGACCACTCGATAGCTACCAGGTATGTGGAGCACACACACGCACACACACATTTTATATAATCATGTGCAACTTAGACTGCAAACCTACTGTATTCAAAATGATAGGATGATGATTTGTACGTCATTTCCATTCTGCGTTTGGGAACGGTGTGCTTGCGCCGTGCCAGTGTTATACAATATTATGCCGAGTTACCCAAATTAGTCCATCTCTGGTTTCGTGCCTTGAGTGGGTTATCTGGTAGCTGGCGGTGAGGCCACGGAATGCACAAACTCATTAGTTGCCCAGTCTGTTCTGTTAACATCCACTGATGTGCGCTGATGTAGAAGGGAAGCCTTTTCTCTTTTTTGCCACATTCAGAATCATTTTACTGTGTTCTCTCCTGCCAGAAAGAGGAGGAAGACGATATGGATAGTTATCAGGTACCCTTTCAAGTCCTCCTCCTCCTGCTGCTGCTGCCCCTGTAGCTCACTGTGCAGCCTGAAGGAAACCAAAGTGTTTGCGACTAGGCCTGTTGCTGAGGGCATGTGAGGCAGGAGCCACAGGGCTGTGCCAACTACATTAATGCTTTGTTAAAAAGCAGCTGCACATGTGGACGATTATTGGTGCCATAATTATCAGTCATACCAACCAATTATTCTTTGGCGGCCCTCTATGCAAAACACAGTTCCACCCATTGGCTGAGCTCCCGGCCAGTAGTCTTTCTGCCAGGGACTGTCCCGCGTTCTCTTTTGCCTTCCCCATCAGGTTGCTGCACACTAATGCTGCTATTTGCCTCTTGCTACTGAAGTGCTGCCGGAATAATAAACCCCGCTGAAAAATTGCATGACTGCTTGATTTACAGTACTTTGCATGGTGGAAGCGTGCTGTCGTCAGAACAAGCGGAATGAGTTCTCTCTAAGGTGTTTTGGTTATCGTGGACATTGCGGTTCCCTCACAGAGTAATCTGCTGTACTTTTAAGTGTGAATGCATGTGTGTGAGTTGCAAAGGGGTCAAAAGGAGGTCTTACGTGTTTGTAATGATTTGACCATAAATGTTTTCTCACAAAAAAGACACTGTGGGACTTAAATTAGCTTAAATAAGCTTTCACTTGGCTTAGTGGGTTTATAAAGGAGCAGTTATGGTTCTACGTCAGACAGATCATCACCCTCGTGCACGTGCACCCTCACCTTGCCCTGATAACACAACACTGAGCCCTGAAGCACATCCACGCCTCGCAGAGCCAGCTGGCTCTGAATGTAGTCTCTGCCTGTTTCCAGGAGGAAGATCTCAACTGTGTCAGAGAGCGCTGGTCCGAGGCGCTGATCAAACGTCGGGAGTACCTCGATGAACAAATCAAGAAAATCATCAACAAACAAGGTGAGTCGTTGGCCTTGTGCTACAGCCATCACTTCCCTGGACCCGAGCCGGACCGCTTCTGCTTTTGTCCACGTGCTGGGATGACACCTTGCTCCTCGTTGATGTGTTCAGAGAAGTCGGAGGAGGATATTGAGCGTGAGGCTCGGCTGGTGGAGCAGTGGGTGGGTCTGACTGAAGAGAGGAACGCTGTGCTGGTACCGGCATCTGGCAGTGGCATCCCCGGAGCGCCCGCCGACTGGTAAAACACTAACGGTCACGTGTCAGACTCAATTCATTTGAAGCCCTTTTTTCAAGGTTAATCACACTCAACACCTTATAGGACCCCACCTGCAGGAGTGGAAGCTCACATCCCCGTTCTCTTCCTTGATTTAAATGGTAAATCAGACCGATCCTTTATATCAACCGATATTTCACCGATATCTGCTTTGAGGCCTGAACGAGTACTAACTGTCTTTAATGCCATCAGCGGATAATCTGACAGTAAATGAGCAGCTGACAGGCCCTCGTGCTGCCGGCCTTAACTCTATTCTGCCCAAGGAGCATGGGAGCCAGTTCTTCTATCTGCCCATCATCAGGCACAGTGATGAGGAGGTAATGTGGAAGAAATGTGTTGGATTTTCTAGGCAATTACAAATGGCACAGATTCCTTCTCTGTAGGAAGTTGTGGATCCGCGTTAACAAAACACAACTCTTCCAATTCGCCAGGTGTCGGCGGTTTGCTCTTGGGACTCGTCCATCCACGATTCCGTGCACCTCAACCGCATAACATCTCCCAACGAACGCATTTATCTGATCATCAAAGCCACTGTGCAGCTCAGCCACCCTGCCTCCATGGAGCTGGTACTCCGCAAGAGGATCGCTGTCAACATCTACAACAAACAGGTCGATTCAAGAGGGATGAGATTTAATAAGAGGGGCTCACTTCACGGAAGAGGCGGTCGTTCGCTGCAATGGATTTTGTTTTGATGATCAATATAGGTTCATTTTGTTTTACAGAGTTTCACTCAGAGTCTCAAGAGAAGAATGTCCTTAAAGAACGCTCTTTATTCCTGCGGTGTGACTTATGAGATTGTTTCCAACATACCAAAGGTACAACTCGTTCATTCTACCTCTGTGTCTGACAACGGCTGCTTTCAGAACATAACACAGATAAATAACCAGTTCGGCGCCTGTTGTCTGTTTCTTCCCTTTCCTCCCCAGGCCTCAGAGGAGCCAGAGGAAAGGGAAACCTTGGCTCTCATGGCAGCTCGTGCAGATAGTGAGCAGACGCAGGATGGAGAAACCTACATAGAGAAGTACACACGGGGAGTTCTGGAAGTGGAGAACATCCTTAGCCTGGAGAGGCTACGACAGGTATTTTACACAGTAGCACACTGGCATGCTTAAACGGGAACAATCTGATTTGTTTGGCATGTACATTACATGTCATACAGCTGACGCTTTTATCCAAAGCGACTTACAATAAGTGCATTCAACCATAGGGTGCAAAGTCAGAAGAACAAGAAACAAGAAAGTGCAATTTCCTTAAATAAACCAATTTACAACTTGCTATAGATAAGTGCCGTTATAAGTACAATTTAAGTGCTACAATTTGTTAGTCTTTAGTGGAGGTAGAGTCTGAAGAGGTGTGTCTTTAGTTTGCGGCAGAAGATGTGGAGGCTCTCTGCGGTCCTGGTGTCCTCAGAGAGCTCGTTCCACCATGTCGGCGCAAGGACAGCAAAGAGTTGTGATCTAGTCGAGTGTTTTGCTCTCAGTGAGGGAGGGACGAGTAGTTTTACAGATGCAGAGCGCGGGTGGGGATGTAGGGTTTCACCATGTCTGGGATGTAAACTGGACCCGATCCATTCACAGCATGGTACGTGAGCACCAATGTCTTGAACTGGATGCGGGCAGCCACCGGTAGCCAGTGAAGAGAGCGGAGGAGTGGAGTAGTGTGGGAGAATTTTGGAAGGTTAAAGACCAGTCGAGCTGCTGCATTCTGGATGAGCTGCAGAGGTGGAATGGCGGTAGCGGGGAGACCTGCCAGGAGGCAGTTGCAGTAGTCCAGGCAGGAGATGACAAGAGCCTGAATCAGTACCTGCGCTGCCTTCTGAGTGATAAGGGGACGTATTCTCCTGATGTTGTAGAGATTATCTACAGGATTGTGTTGTCGCAGTGATGTTGGGAGTCAGGGAGAGTTGGCTGTCGATTGTGACGCTGAGGTTTCTAGCGGTTAAAGTGGGCGGAGTTGCCAAAGTTGATCGTCAGGTCCTGGGTCGGAGAGTCTTTTCCTGGAAAGAGAAGTAGTTCAGTCTTGTCGGGGTTGATTTTCAGGTGGTGGGCGGACATCCACTGAGAGATGTCAGTAAAAGATGTTTTTCTTTTGTTCCAAAAGGCTGTCACTGTGAAGGAAGCGCTCACAACCAAGGGACGACACCTGAGAAGAAGTATCAGCACACCAAATGTACAGCATGTAATGAATGCATTACTCACCGCACTGCCCACAGAACCATATGGATTCCTTGTTATTCGGTGTGCTGATAACATGACGTCTCTTGCTCTTCAGTCTTCGTGTAGTAAAACAGACCTGACCGGCTGTGAGGATGAAGACTGCAAGGTGAGTCAGGTGCATCTTAACATGTTTATCACAAAAATGTTACAAATAAAATGAACTTGTATTGGCTGCAATACTCTTGTCAGAATGCATAGACTATCATCTCAGAGCCAAATGTCATTGGGCCCTTTCTTAATAAAAACACATAAAGATCATTCATCCTCATAAGCCCTGAGCTTGTAGACGTTTTATGTCTTTTTGTTACTTTTTCTTTACGTAACTTCCCAATTTACCCCTTATGTATTGCTGTCTAGGGCTACTGTGATTTTAATGACGGCGCCGACTGCAATCCCCCAGAGGCCTTGCTTTGCACCACACCCATCAAAGGCAGGGAGAACCCAGGTAAAATGCAGAAACGCTGCAGCGGTTGTGTCGTTCCTTGACTTGTGGTCGACATTTTTCCGTTTCGCTGACATATATCTGGGTTACGCAGGTTTGATTCTGGAGAACCCCACGTTTTTCAACTCCAGCCCCTTCAAAGTCCTCTCCCCTCAGCCCCCTAAGTTCCTCAAGTGCCTGCTGCCTGTTAAAGAGGAGAACAAGGTGAAGAAGGTCCTGGAGGCCCGGCCGCTGCTGGGACTAGAGGTAACCAATCAAATCCATCTTTTTTCCAGAGGGGAGTATTCACGCTTTTTGCTGTGTTGTTTTTGCAAAACCATTTTGCTGAAAACATTTTTCACCCCATTTCACATCATATCAAGTTACATTTCGTTACATTTCGCGATGAACTCACTGACATTGATAACAATAACTAATTGCCCAAAGCTGCCTGGTGCTTTGATTGTGAAAATGGCAGACGACCACATCTACTGAAATGTCCCTTGATTGAAATGAGTCACAGGAGCATGTCTTCAACTGGGGGGGGGGGGGGGCACAAAAGTCTCACGTCGGACTTTGTATATGTTTATCGTAATAGTTTGTGGCCTTTTCAACCATTCAAACTAACCGTACATAATTATTTTTCATCCGTGCTTGAAGTGGACTCAAAGAGGCGGGGGTAGACTACGAATCAGTCCATGTGAGGGACGCTTTAGCTTAGAGGCAAAGGTCTCTAGCAAACATCCAATAGTTCAGTTAGTAGCAGGATTATACTGTATGTATAGAGCTGAGTTTTCTATGTAAAATATGAGAAAACAAGCATCCAGAGCCTTATAAATATATATCATAACAAGTCGTGACCCAGTAAAAAGTAACGTTGCTCACACCAAGGACGCTTCAAGCACTGTTTTTTGTGAAATATCAAACTGCATGGTACTAACTGTGTAACTGGCCTGCCCAGCTCCATGCATGCTGTGCGTGTGTGTGTGTGTGAAGTGTTGTTCTGACCCATCCGCAGAGCATGCGCTCATGTGTGGACAGCCCTGCACTGCTCCCCCCTCCCTGCCCCTGGCGTCGGCCCAGGGCAGGCAGCGAGGGCCACTGCAAGCCTTCCACCTCCACCACTCCCACCAGCAGACAGCTCAGCCACACACTACCACACACTGCTGTAAGTGCTACACACACCAGCTCACACTGCCACATGGGGGTTATTGTAAGAGTCACACAAACACACATCCTCCCCGCGGCACACTGGCGTGACACAAGCTCGCACTGCTGAAAGCATCGCACTGTGCATGTTCAACTTTCCTCTGTGCTAGTGACGGTTCATGGGAAGTGCTGAAAATTGTAGGAAGAAATAAAAAGGTATCTATATCGAATTTTATTATTTTTATTTTCTTAGCACAAATCAAAGTTTATCACGTTTTTAGTTTTTCTAGTCTCCTACAGTATTCTTGATGAAACCCCTCCCCACAACATTCAATGGGAGACGCTTAACTCGTGCGAACCTTCGTCGAGCAAAGTGAATGTCAGCATAATATTGTACAAGCATATTTTATAACTCTCTAAACCCAAACAGCACCAGTACCTTGAGACCAGTTTTTTATTTTGTGTTATTAGTGGTTTCTGTGGTGTTTAAAAAGTGGTAACATAGTCCTGCGCGACCTCACATTGCATGTTTCACCTTCAGCAGCGTGTCAGCTCACACATGAGGACAATGGTACAGAAGCAAACACCTAACAGCATCGTTCAGAAAACATGACACATCATTCATACTACGTTCATGTGCCATTATCACATTTTTCATTCACAAAACAATGCTCTTTATACGTGCAAATGGCCCACACACGCATTGTCTGACATAATGTCTTGATTGGGATGTTTCTTTTGTCCTGCTGCCCTCGTTTTGATTGCCAGGATTCTGATGAGGAGGAGGCGTGCGTGGGCATGACTCTGAATCTGGACCAGTGTCCTCGGGACAACAGCCGCTTCCCGCCTTACATCCCAGAGGACTTTGCAAACTTTGAGACCTACAACGCCAGTCTGGAGAACCACGAAGGGCTTTCGCCCTCCCGGTGTGAGTCGAAGGGAAGCCGGTGTGGCGACGGGACCGGAGAGCGGGAGGTGCCCCGCAGCCCCACAGCCAGCAGTTGCACCAGTGGCTACTTTTCAAACAGCGCCTCCAACGCGACGCTGTCCGACATGCCTTTCAGTGCCAGTGAGAGCTCCGACCACCTCAGCTGCACTTCCAGAGACCCCAGCGACCCTGCCGCAAGAGGCTGCACGCAAACCAAAAGTGCTTCTGTGGACCGCAGGGACGAGCAGCAGACGTGCCCCGTGCCGCACAACTGTGTTCCCAGCGCCAACCAGGAGTTCACTGACTTTAAAGGGGCAGAGGACAGTATCGGAGACAGCGATTTAGAACATTTTACAGGTGGATGGGAGCACGAGGGATTGGACAGAGGAACACGTGGCACCGGCAATCACAGCTCCTCCGACGCCTCCGGTGTTATCGACGCATCCGTGGACCACGCAGGGTGTGTTTGTGTAGCTGTGTCCCGCCCCGACTCCCCCGTAGTGCGCCCTTCAGTCAGAGCCCCAGTATCTGCGCCTGGCAAAGCAGCGGCTCCATCCACAGCGGCACCATCCGCAGTTGCACGTTTACCTGCAGCCCCAAGTCAGCGAGCGGGAGGAGAACCTCCGATCGAGGAGCCGGCCCAGGGAGATCTGCCCCACGGGAGTCCCTGTCCCAGCCCCAACCCCAGCAGCGCAGAGCCGTCAGGAGATTCCAGCGGAGAGGAGAGCACCCCTGTGGCTCAGCTTCCTGACTGGATGGCACCAGGGGAGCAGGTGTGGGTGGGGAAAAGGAGAGGCACAGTCTACTACGTCGGAGGGGTGGAGTTTGCAAAGGGGATCTGGATCGGCGTAAAGCTTGACATGGCAGTGGGTAAGTCGACTTTCTGTTAGTGGAGACTGTTCTCGGGGCGTTTGCTTGCAATATTCTTCTTTTTTTTTACTCCTGTTGTATAAGAGGTCCAACATGTCTTATAGTATAAAGGTTTTACAATTATTCTACACATCCGTAACGATTGATCTCCCTGCAGGTAAGCACAACGGGACTGTCCAGGGCAGAGTTTACTTCCGCTGCCCCCCCGGGCACGGCGTGTTTGTGAAGCCGTCTCGTCTCAACAGAGGGCCGCCCTGCAAGGACACAGAACCCCAGACTCTGATCAGATAGGACCCAGCGAAGGGACCCGTTTCCTGGGAGACGGCCTGAGGGTCGTGGTCAGATCCGGTGCCTCTGGGTGCACCGCAGGCTGACTTCAGCATGGCTCCTCTCCTCGCGATGAAGATGCTGATGTATTTTGTGGGCGTGTCTGCTCTCCTAAAGCCTATATGACCTCTTCATTTAATGAAGGTATATCCTAATTAGTGTCCACTGAAGATTCACTATGCACATATATGAGTTTCCTATATGGGGATATTTTTGATAGAGAACTTAAATATGACCCAAATACATTTTCCTACATTGGTTTCTGAACGTTATAAATAATATTTTTGTAAGACAATGCATCCTCTGAGGCTCATGGCGAGTACTCTGGGATATGAAAGTTAAGAATGTACTACTGTTTATACACGTTGATATTTACGTCAATATAATCTGTCAGGGGTAACCAAAGAACTACGGTTCCATGTCTGCTGTTATCAGTCGTAGGTTATTTTTGTAGTGCGCGTATGTGTGGATTTAAACACTATATATCTGTGTCCAAGTAAAGCTTAGTGCCATATCTCTAGGAGTGATGCCACATACCCTGAAAAGAGGACAAATCGGCTAAAGCCGCGTTGCTTTCAGCTTGTGACTGAAGTTGTGTCGTGTTAAATTATCCTGTTGAAGTACTGTAACACTGTGGAGGAAATAATCCCCATCCAGCATGAGACTGTTGCTGTTTGATTGCTTGCACTGGAATGGATTCTTTGAGAGTCTGACTGTCTTCCATATTGGACTGATGAGATGTTTTCTAACATAAGTGGCTGAGGGACGCCTGTGTCATCGTTTGCAAAAGGGCAGTACAGCAGCTGGGCTTTGTTCGAGGCCTGTTTCCACAAAGGCCGGCACATAAAGGCTCCAGACTGCTCCGTGAACTCCATAACAAGTTCCCTGAGTTTTAAACTAACCGCATGCACCTGAAACCTGTGTATTATGACGCTGGGGGGGGGATTCAAAATGCCACCCAGTTTTGCTGACTGACTGAATATCTTTTTGTATTTAAGCTGATATATATAACAGAACATTTAACAAGGTACTCAGTAACGCATTTTATTAAAAGAAGGATTGAATGAATGGGTGATTGACACTATCCGGCGGAGTAAACATAGTTTAGTTATGAAGAAGAGCTGTCCTATCTACTTATATTTCTACGCAAGTGGTGAACTGTGGAACCGACGAGTTATATACGGGAGCTGTAATTTCAAGAAGATGAAACAAACCCAGGACCTTACCTTAATGAAGAGAACAAAGCTGCTCTCCCTCATAAGGAGTTGTAAATTGAAATGTATTTGAACATAGTATTTACACTAGAATAATGTACAGAATTGTATTTATATGGTATCACAAAATGTTTTAATTGGTACAAAATGTTCCAGAATAGAACATTTACAATCAGTGAACTGTGTTGACTTCCTTTTTATCATTCAAGCTGTTTGCATATTTTAATGGTGTCTCACCGACACATAACTAATTACTCTCAATCTAAATGCAATATTATTAATTCATAATAATTTCTCATGTCTCATGCTGTGAGTTGTAAGTCCTTTCAAAGTTTGGTGTGATTGTGCACGACTCAACGGTTTTATGTCTTTTCTTGGGGTGCAGCAGTTTCAAGAAATCCATAATATGCTGTGCGCTCTAAAGGGACTTTATATATATTTGTCGTTTCTAAAGTGTACGGAGAGTAAATAGCTGATGGATTTTACTGTTACAGAAATGTTATCTGCATGAGAATTCTCAAAAAACAACTATTTTAGAAAGAAGGTAAAAATATCCCCTCTTAGATATCGGTATATGTGGAGTCTCCGGCTCCCGGCTAAGTTTATGGTCTCCTTGAACTAATTGTCCTCTTTGTGCCCGATGTAAAGGTCAGCAACACAGCCATGTAAACAAAACATAAATAATTCCGGCTGCCCCATGCATGAGAAGTGACACTAAATATACCGTTATTATTCTTGACCACTATTAGTACTGGCTGTCAAATACAAAATGCATGGTTGCCTCATAATAGGGACAGTTGTGCACATGATGTCAGATTGGAGTCAACTTAATCATAGTGCCCTCATGGGGTCAACTGGTGTATTTTTTTTTTTTTCAAAACATGTGCTACATTACAAAAATGAACATAAATGAGAGAGCAGCAGGATCTACAGATATACTGCTGCTATGCTTGGACTTTGGGCCGAGGTTTTGTCCATGTGAGTTATGTAAAGGTATCGTATTCTCTTACATTGGACCAATTTTAGATCAACACATAAGGTTTCAGAATTTTAACAGAACTATATTCCTGTTTTTGCAACATTATTTAGACCCCTGTGTTGCACAGGATCAACTCGTTTTTAACTGGTCAGGGGCTTGTACTTATGAGTTCCCTTCATTTAGTCCAAATGAGAAACTTACATACGTTTCCAACCTGTGGAAGAAAGGCTTTTACACTGAATGGTAAAAATAAAGTAGCCCCCACATACCTGACAACACCAATACATCTAGTTTCAAGTGGTAAACGTCTTCCACCAGTTTGCTTTGACCAGTATCCCTTTTCTCTGTCATCGCAACCAACTTTATTTAGAAAATGGAGGAGTTTCTGTCTTCACTCCGGTGTGCACAGCGCGTCCATTGGCGCTGTCTTAGCAGCTGTGCGCCAGTAGGCCGCCCGCACACAAGGGTGGAGGTCTGGATCTGGGTGGAGTTTAAGAAGGCTATCTGTGACACACACTGACAACTGGGAAACCTCCCGCACCAAACTAACAGGTGTCCTCCTCCTTCAGAGCCACTGCGGTCACATCTCCGGGGGGGCCGCCTGTCCACGACGCACAGTCTCCGTTCCAACCGACCCGAACGCTGCGCTTTGCTTCATCTCACTCACTTCGAAAAGGGAAAATCGCTTTAAACCCCCAGCTAAAAAAAAAAGAAAGAAAAAATGATGCACTCGGCACAGAAAGACACCACGTTCACCAAGATCTTTGTGGGAGGTCTTCCTTATCACACAACGGACTCAAGTCTCAGGAAATACTTCGAGGTGTTTGGAGACATCGAGGAGGCGGTGGTCATCACCGATCGGCAGACGGGGAAATCCAGAGGTTATGGATTTGTAAGTAAAATATATCTCCTACTCGTAGTTTGCTTCTTGTTTGCTTGCACACGTGCATGGATACGGTCCATTGATCCAGCGTCGGCACCCGTAGGCAAGACGGATCGAAGCAGCTTCCAACCCTGCGGCGACCGCCCGGTTAGAAATAGGAAAACGAACCGGTGGAATACGAGCCCACTGCTTCAGCTGGGCCGTGAAAACCAAATAGTCCACGATTTGTAGGTGACACCTTTATCCTTGTGGCCACCCATGAGGTCAGCTGAAAGATGTGCCGTTTCCTTCAGGTGACCATGGGAGACCGGGGCTCTGCCGACCGGGCCTGCAAGGACCCCAACCCCATAATAGATGGCCGGAAAGCCAATGTGAACTTGGCCTATCTGGGGGCCAAGCCCAGGGTCATACAGCCAGGTGAGGGACTGGACTACAGCTTTGTTTCCCAACTTCAAGATAATCAAGGTGGCATTCAAAGACAGTATTTTCCTCTCATTGTTTTCACGTTGTTTGTAAGGTTGCCAATCGCCGTTGTGTTTTTCAAATTAAAATATAACGACTGTCTTTTCGTTGTAGGATTTGCATTCGGCATGCCTCAGATCCATCCAGCTTTCATCCAAAGGCCTTACGGGTATGTCATGCTGCAGAAATTACAATATGATGGTCTGAAAGTAAGGAAATCTCCAATTGTCTTTTAGTATGTTTTTGGTTGTTGTTGTAAAAATGTAACTTTGCTTCCATCTATTACATCCTGAATGAGGACGTGTGAGTGTGAATGTGTGCTTCTCATCTTGGTGTTGACTGTGAAGGAAGTAAACATTTGTCCCCAGCCAATACAGGACTTGACTTCATGTTGTCTTATCTCTCTCTGATCTGACAGGGTCGGTAACGGTTAAAATAGCTGATGAAGGGACATGATGATTTGAGGAATAGCTGAGTCTGCATTGGGCAGAGCGCTAAAGTGTTACCTGTATACTCTGACATACACAAACGAACAGAAATGGTGACTAGATGCATGGAAGTCTTCTGTTTTCTTTCCCGGTTTTACATAGTACATAGATTGGTGTGTGCCTTGTTTTCAGTATGATGTGGTGTTCAGCTTAACTGTGTGCTGATTTCTACTTGCACTGGGGGAAGATGGTGGGTGCAGGAGGGTTTTTTGTGCAGACGTTTGTGAGTTTTGATAGGGTGATCTGCGACGTGGCGTTGCCTCTCTTCTGTGTTTCCATAATTGATTTATGCTTCTAGCCTGTGGTTTTTCATTTTCCCAGTTTCTTCTTAACATCACATTGGTTGTGTTTTGTTGTGAAAGGGGGAGGAGGGGGAGGCGACAATCATTCGAAGAGTGTTCACTTCAAAATCCATCCCCCGCAACACAACAAACACTGGCTTGCATGTGGGAGGTTTTTTTTTCTGTTTTCTTACTCATTATGCTGTGTTTTTCTTTTCTTTTATTAACCCATTGTTTTCACTTGAAGCTTATATTATACACGGCACTGAGTACAGATTTTTCTTTTGTATTTCTCCCACCATTCCAGCGTTTTTTTTATGACCACGCAAACACGGATACTGTTATCAGCGCGTGAAATAACAGGAGAAAATGTTTAATTGCCCCCATCTGGTAGTAATTAGCACCGCTTAAATTATTTAATGCAATTTAAATGAATAGGTCAAAACTTCAAACAATGCTGGGTCACCGTGTTAAAACAATTTTTCGATCCCAAGTAACTTTTGCCGTGATCACGGCGTCATTATTTTACCTTTTGCAATGGACTCAAATGTCGACTGCCTTTTTAGAGGGTGGAGACGGAGATCTTAGTGGTTCTCTCGGGCAGCAGCTGTTGGCTCCAGTGATCTACACGGCCTCTCAAATTCAGATGGAAAATGGGAGTCACTCAGCAGCGCTGTTAATAATGGATGGCACAGACCGGGCTGCTCGGCCGTGGACAACAGGTGGGCCCGAGCCGCGTTGCCCGTGAAGTCTTTTGGTCACGTGCTGGGGATTACCCATGTGTCCCGGCGATTTACAAAGCGCCTTTATTTAGCGCTCGACGTGCAGTACCCAAAAATGTTCCTCCCTTCTCGTTCACTGGAGATGGTTTAAGTCAGCTGTGCCCTTTTAGTTCTTGAACCGTTAACACCAATACAAGGTCGTATCTCAAACAAGGGGAACCGGCGTGTTGGTTCCTGTCTTGTCTCGGTGAAAACTAATACATGTTATTTTCATATTTCGCACGTTTAAAACCAGATCAGCATTTGCCGTGATCATTATGCAGCTGTGCTACAAATGGAGCGCCGCGTTTTGAGGTGAATTCAGAAACGTCACTGAGGCAGTAGAGCGTCGATTGCGGCCATGACGGTCTATGAGTGCCCTGCCATGTGTTACTGAAGGAGAAGATCAGTCTGTCCTTTGGAGATGACAAGGGGAGCAAAAATAGCATGCTTCCAGCCCCCCTTGTCAGTCAAGTTGTTGTGTGTATGCTTGTGTGGGGGTGTATGTCTGTAAGAGGGGGGAGGGGGAGTTTGTCCACGGCCAGATATAACAGTTTCACACCTGCTCCTCAGTATATTTGCACAGGGTGACTTTAACACAACTTTAAAGTGGGGGACATATTTACCCAGACACCCTGCCTCGTATTCAATCTGTCTATATACAGAATATTCCTCTAACGGAGAGCTCCCATCATATCTAAAATTTCACCTTGTAAAAAGAACAAAATGTATTTATTTTTTTAATTATATGAGCACAGCAGGGCCTCAGAATAAGCTAATACAACTTAGCACCCACTAGATTACATGGCATAGTTTATCATTAATTCAGCAGCTGCATTGCAGTTTATTCTACACTAGGATCTATTAACATGTGTGGGCATGCCTGTATGTGTGGTGTTGGTGTGAGATTATTTGGATAGAAAAGTGTCCATTTCTCCTCATGATATGTTGTGGTGTTGTGCAATAAGCTCGCATTTTGGTCATATACCATTTTCAGTGGGACATTGGGTGCTGGGCTGTGTCTTCTTGTTATGCCTCATCGAGTTTCAGGATCAGGTGCTTTTTGAAATTAAAAGCCGCGCTTGTGTTTCTTTTGTGGTTTTGCTGCTTCCTTAACTTTTACATTTCTAGGTGGGGGTGGGGGTGTCAGTGGTTAATGAATGGATTTGCTGTGTTCTGAGGACTTGATGTTTTTGAGGCGCCTGCTTTTCAGTTTTTCCAGAATTTGGTTACAGCCTAGGAAGGAAGGAAGACTGTGACTCTGCTTTGACCCTGTGTGCCTGTGTGTTTGTGTCCCACAGAGTCCCTGCACACTACGTCTACCCTCAGGCCTTTGTCCAACCCAGCATGATGATCCCGCATGTACAACCTTCTGCTGCTACGGCAACAGCTGCTGCTGCCACTTCCCCATACCTTGACTATACCGGCGCGGCGTATGCCCAGTACTCCGCAGCTGCCACCGCTGCTGCCGCCGCCGCTGCTGCATATGAGCAGTATCCATACGCAGCCTCACCAGCACCGACAAGCTACATGACTACAGCAGGGTACGGATACGCTGTCCAGCAGCCACTCGCCGCTGCTGCCACCCCGGGAGCTGCCGCTGCCGCTGCCGCATTCAGCCAGTACCAACCTCAGCAGCTCCAGACAGACCGCATGCAGTAGAGGAATAAAGAATACATTTGAGGAGGAAAGCGGAGGAGGTCACGAAGTTATTGAGGAGGAAGGTCGCAAGGTTTTTGAGGGGGAAGGTCGCAGTTTTCTGAAAGTTTTAGCTTAGCAGTCCTTCTACCAAAGAGCCTGAAGAAAACCAGCAATAATGTAGAGAAAAGTGAGGGATTGATGTATATTTTATTCATGTCGTATCAGTATTTTGTCACTGTTGAACGTGTGTGAATATTTAATATTTATTCAGCAGGAAAATATTTAATGAAGTACACTCAACAATTGCTGAATTTTGTATATATGTTGCAGTGGAATTTGTATGCAATTTCCAAGTGCATTTACGTCTTATGATCAGGTTTCTTCCCAAAACTAACTGAAACACTTGCATACATACAAGAACAAGTTTGTTAGGTCATTATGCATTATGTGTTTCATAGTTTGGAACCGACAAAAGTTTGGAAATGCTATGCACACGTTGATATAGAAGTTAGGATTCTCTTTTTTTTTTTTTAAATAATCGTTTGGAGTGAGATAGATTAGACATTGTCAACTAGTTTCCATTAGAATGTATTTTCATAATAGTTTGTCAGACAAAATGTCAGCTTAAGCTGGTAAAAGCACTCTCTTTTCTTCTCCTTAAATTGCACCTCAAGTAAACTCAGCATAAGGGAAGAAACATTGTTGAATGTGAATCTTTCATTTTGACAGAACGTTTCATAATGTGCCTTTTTAAAATTATGCTATTTATGTATTTATTTTGGAGCCTCAAAGTAATAAACCCTTTATTTTGTGTTGGTATGAAGCCTACGACAGAACCTGTCCACATCTGCAGTTGCATTATCATCAAAAGCATGTGATGGATGTTTGAAGTCGGGTCAACAAAGTGATACACTGTATAAAGAACAAAAGATGAGTGGAAAAAGTAGCATTAACTCCAATGCATTTACTGTTGATCTGATGTTGTCTCAAATAGATTCTTGATTCTTAAATGTCCCTTTTTTTACTTGACTGGTTTGATAAAGGACAGCCTGAGAACTGTTAACTTTTTTATTAGACATTAAATGTTTTCTAATGCAAGGACATCGCTTGTTTCCCCTTGCACTTGGTAATGCATGTCTGATGAATAGTGCAAACATTTATTTTGTGAAATAAAAGGAAATTTACCTTCAACTCTTGTATTCTGTGTTCTGTGAAAGGCCTGTTTTGCTCCCAGCCCATCATTTCTGGGAGGGAAATCATGTTCTCAGTTGTGGCAAAGAATATTCAACAGTGGTTAGTTGGTGTGCTGTTTGTTGGAGTAGGGCAGTAAAGATTAGTCATTAGTCACCTTTTAGTACATAGATATCATTATTTAGTCGTACAATCTGTTGCACTTTTATTCTCTTTCAGAAAGAAATAGTCAAATCTTTACAAATTCCAAATCAAATGGACAAGATATGCAACTGGCAAGTGTGATAACTCATTTTTAGGTAATTGATGTCAAAGATGTAGTGCATTTCTCTATTTGAATTTAAAATCAGCTTGTGTGGTTATGTTTTCAATATTTCTAGGGTCTACATATTTGATGAATTCTGTTCAAAAAGTATTGATACAGCGCTTCATTGTCTCTTTTGGTTTAGCCGACTCAAACAAATGGGCCTATAGTTGATTGAGATCACACAGTACATTTCCTGTTTTGTTCGACCATAAACAATCCTTCACTACAAACACAATAATCATTAGACAAAAAAAATGAAGGCGGTTTTGTGTCATACACTTAGTGCCCTCTTGGGAAATTTCACCATAGCTGTGGTAGCCTCCTGACACCTGCTGGTTTACGCCAGAAACTTGTCATTACCAAGCATTAGGAGGCCGAGCAATTATGGAAGACATTTTTACTTGTGTAAAAGTAGCAATACCACTACAGAAATAAGTAAAAGTCATGGATTTTACTTAGACAAAAGTAGTAATATAATTATAATACACATACTTTATTGCAAAGTGAGCTATTTAACACAGTAAATATTATGGAAATAAAATTGTTGATAAATTCAAATATAAGGAGGAAAGTTAGGGCTAATTTTAACATGGCCTTTGGCTTCATGTGCCATGTGTAATAATCCAAAAATATGCATTATGGGCTATATTTTGTATAAATAACATAAATCCTAGAAATAAGACGTTTCTAAGCTGTCGTGTAAACGTAGTGGGGTAAAAAAAAAAGGCTGCATTATTTTTCAATGAAGCATAAAGTTGCATAAAATCATTGAAGAAAAGCATAACAAATGCGCATGAGCACACTCATGTAGTTTTCACCATCGTCTCTGAGGTGTTTTCCTTCTTGTGGTATGTTCTTTGACTCTTCACTTCACTTCACGCATTTCGTCACCGACTCTGTTCTGTGCTGCATTCAAGTTGAATCGTAATGATGGTATCTGACGCTTCATTTGGTAAAAAGCGCTCATGTTAACAGCGGTGTCGTAAATAGGAGTAAACTATCCGAAACCAGGTAAACATGTCTGTCTTTCAACAGCTAATGCACGCTCATTGTAATTAGACCAACATTAAATGAAGTACACCCAACTTGTATAGTTCTATCCCACTTGGCTCCCAACCATCTCTGAAGTGCCCTGAACGCGACATGCGCATCGTGGGGGCGGAGAGCTACCACCATCAGTTTACGGGAAGTGAACGCCAACATATCCAAGTGAGAGAGCATCTACCGAATAAATACTACGAATTATTTTCGAGGGGTTGTTTTGAGATTTAAACGTTGACTGCGAACGATGTAAGTAGTTTTAAAAAGAACAAACCATTATAACTTTGTTGCCTTTCAATTTTCCAGCCGAATCTCTTCCGTTATTGTTTGGGGAAAGAACATGGCCGTCTTGTGTTGCGTTGAACGGTGGGGTTTTTTAGGTGTCAGTTATCCCTGTAGCCACCCACCTTTTTATCAACCGTGTATATGTGTAACGTATGATAAAATACTTTGTTGTAATAATAAATAAATTAAGGACACGGGGAGAAACTCCATAGCTAATCGGAAAATGTATTTGTGACGTTATTAAACATGGACTCAAAACATTTTGTTTAAACTTAAAATCAGCGACGGTGTTGGTGGTGAAGCACACCGGTTGCACAGCGCATGTAAATAGTTGTTTGAATTAAGCTGTCAATGATTATAAATTATGATCTATACCGGAAGAGACCAGCGTCATGTGACGTCAGTGACGTGACCGCGTCTTCCGCTGTGGACCTCAACAATCTGAGCTTGCGTCAACCATTACAATGTTTTCAAACAGTGCTCTCTATCTTTAACTGAATGTTCTTTCCCTTCGATTTCTTTTCTTTTCTTTTATAATTCTCCACCCATCACAAAAACCCGACACATCAGCGGGTCTGTGCTCCCGATCTAAGCCAGAGATGACCACCGAGAAGACGTCATACGAAGGGGTCCCCTCTCCCCCCTCGTTTCCCGGGAAAACGGTGTTTCCTGTCTCGTTTGACGGGGATATGCCGGGCATGTACGGGGCCCCTGCTCCTAGTGGTTTCCTTGCCCCTGGTGGTCCACACTCCGGTGATGCTTTTGCTGCTCCTGGAGGTTTCCCTGCTCCTGGTGGAGTCTACCCTGCCCCTGGTGGTCCAAACTCCGGTGATGCTTTTGCTGCTCCTGGAGGTTTCCCTGCTCCTGGTGGAGTCTACCCTGCCCCTGGTGGTCTACACTCCGGTGATGCTTTTGCTGCTCCTGGAGGTTTCCCTGCTCCTGGTGGTTTCCTTGCCCCTGGTGGTCTACACTCGGGTGATGGTTTTGCTGCACCTGGTGGTTTCCCTGCTCCTGGAGGTTTCCCTCCTCCTGCTGGTTTCCTGGCCCCTGGTGGTCTACACTCCGGTGATGGTTTTGCTGCTCCTGGTGGTCTACCTGCTGGTGGTGGTTTCCCTGCTCCTGGGGGTCTGCCTGCTGCCGCTGGTGGTTTCCCCGCTCCCGGTGGTCTCCCTTTGCCCCCACCGACTGCTTTCGGGCCAGGTGTTCCTGGAGCTTTCGGAACGGGCAACCCCTCCACGGCACCATATTCCCAACCAGGCAAAGGATTCAATGACAACTTCAGTGGTTCGTATGTCTTACATTGTTGCACATACACGTATATCTGTAATTGTAATGATACATGAGTAACGTAATTTTAACCATTCTGGTTGGTACCGCTGCAGATGGAGTTTACCACAGCGAGGAGCCACCACCCTTTCACGAGAATCAAGACTTTGATTTTGGATTAGATAACAAGAGCATACGAAGAGCCTTTATTCGAAAAGTAAGCAACTAATGTGGCACTACGGCCGGGAGTATGAGGCCCCCGCTCACTTTGTTGCATGTCTTTCGGCATTATTATTCGCTACTGTGGTATTATGCTACTGTGGTATTTATTTATTCATTCTTATCAATGCAATTAAATACTTTATTTTAGTTTTACTTGCTGTCAAAAAAAACAAACAACTCAAAACATAACCTCTGTTTTGTAATGCATAATTTACTTTGATAACGTTTGAAAAAAACGTTTTTTTAAATTAGAAAATATGGTCTGTTACCTGCTGCCTAATAATCCCCTCTTTCCCTTTAGGTATTCTTGGTGCTTAGTGCTCAGCTGATGGTGACATTCGCCTTTGTGGCTGTTTTCACCTTCGTGGACCAAGTCAAGGCGTTTGTCCTGGTGAACACCTGGACCTACTTCTTGTCATATGCCGTATTCTTTGTGTCAGTTTGTGTGATCAGCTGCTGCGGAAGCTTTCGTCGAAGACATCCGTGGAACCTTGTTGCGTTAGTAAGTGTGCTCCGATTTTTTCTAAGTAAAAGGATGAGGTACAGACCAGAAGTACACGTTAGCTTTTCTGCACGATGTATATGCAAGCCTTCGGATTCAAGAATTATCATACAACTTTCTTGTAAAGACATTTTTCAAATTTTTGTTGTTTAAAAATATATGATAGGAATGATGAATTCAATGTGGTACAGTGAAAGATGACACTTTGCTTTTTCAAAGCTTTTATTTTTCAACTGTAAAGCTTTTAGCCTATAGTTATAGACCTATACCTATTCTTAAAGGTTTACAAGAATTATATTCAGAATCTAGAAAAGACAAAATTCCATTTCCTACTTATGCCATGAAACTGAGCTTCACTAAAACAACCAAGATGCTGATGTATTGTGTTTCTTACTTTCAGTCAATCCTGACTCTCAGCATGTCCTATATGGTGGGCATGATCGCCAGCTTCCATGACACTGACTCCGTTGTCATGGCAGTGGGTATCACAGCAGTTGTGTGCTTCACAGTGGTTGTCTTCTCTCTGCAGGTTTGTATCTGTCTATCTATTCTTATTTTTATTTAGCTTATTTTATCATTGCACTGCTGCTGTTTTCCTCTGTTGCTGTTTCCAATTCAGCTTGTTTTACAGAGAGCTTTTATCCAATCAGATTCAGCCCCTCTGTCGGTCCTCTAGATAGCTTTGCAGAATAAAGTGTACGGTAATGATATTGCTGATTGCCAAAGTCTTTAGCAAATCAGATCTTTAGTTTGACATGGTGGAGTATTCTTTGACTGGCAGGTTTGTCTGCATTAGGGTACAACGCAGCATTATCGTGCGCTGTGATCGATCACTTTAAATGTTAGGATTCTGTGAAAATGAGGTGTTTACACAAAACAAATAATTACCTGTAACTGTGGCGTCACAATGAGATATTTAGTAACACGGCACATAAGGCCCAGGTGGGAAATGCATGGCCCGCCACTGATGTAATGTAAATTGATCATGCTAAAGTGAGCGGAACGTTTTTCTTTGCTTCCTCCAACAGACCAAATACGACTTCACTTCCTGTTACGGGGTGCTTTTCGTCTGTTTAATTGTCCTGATCGTCTTCGGCATCCTCTGCATCGTCATCCGTAACAGGATTCTTCACATTGTGTATGGTGGACTGGGAGCTTTGCTCTTCACCTGCGTAAGTAATCGAGTTGCCCTTTTGAACGCATCATAACACCGCTCACAGCATTGAGCCATTTAATGAAAGTTACAAATACTATCTTACTTTCCAAAGGCTATGTCTCATTAATCTGGAAATTTAACAAAACACTTAAATAAGCCTCCTTTTCATTGTGAGGGCTGAATAACATTAAGGGGTGTTTCTGGAAAGACACCCGTTGGTCATCATTTGTCAGTCACAATACTCATTTTAATAAAAAAGACAAATACTTATACTAGTCCTGTTGTGAATGTCTTCTATTTTACAGTTCTTGGCGGTGGACACACAGCTCCTGCTTGGAAACAAGGAACTGTCCCTGAGTCCAGAAGAATATGTCTTTGCAGCTCTCCACCTGTACACCGACATCATCAACATCTTTCTCTACATTCTTGCCATCATTGGAAGAGCAAGGGGGGGCTAAGCAGGAGGAGAAAGTGGTAGAAATCATGAAGGGAAGTTTATTTTCATTTTGCCTTGTAGTGTGCATTGATCACAGTTCGTGAATATTTGGCTTCAACAGTGTAAAGGTTTTTAAAAAATATATATATACTGTCCATGTTGTGGTGTGTGGGTTTATTAAAGTTTTATCAGGTGTTTGACGTGTTGTACAATAAGTTATCTTTTAATTTAGAAAACATGCCATATGATAAGACATTTTTCCAGAGCTTTCAACTGTATCACACATTCTTAATTAGTAGGAGACCTGGACATTAGTTTCATCCATTGCCCTTTTAGGACTTCCTGGCTAGCTGGGACACCTTGGCACTTGGTTTGGAATCATTGTAGGAAACTACTATTTTTCCATTTTTAGATCAAGATTTGCGTTTCCAGTTTAACATTCAAGCCAGCAAGGGAAATTTAAAAAATCCAAAGAGCCCTTTGATGTAGAGGGTTCTGTGCTTGTAAGGTGGGATATGTGGGGGAGACAGCTGAGTACTTTGAACTAGTTGAAGCAAGTCTCGCTGGACTCTCCTGATCTCCTCCCTGTCTCCTGACCTGAAAGCTGAGTCTTTTTTACAACTGGGAGCCCCAAAATGGACCTGGAGCAAACCCTTGCTTGCTGCTTTGGTGGACACACATGAACATCTAATCCAGGCTGTTAAAGTCGGTGTAGTGTAGTCATTAAAATCAAAAGACCTGACTGTTCCAGTTCTAATTGCTTTTCTTTGCCACTAGATGGCACAAGATGGCTAAAGCTTTTTAGGGCAGTGGCAAGATAATAGGAATATTGAAGTGAAAACAATTGCTAACCGAAATGGGCTGAGAAAAGATCTGGAAAATGTTCCTCTTGTGTATTCTCATTGCTAGTCACTATCGTATTGTTAGTAGTGACAATTACATCGTAATTTTAGTTAAAAGTTAAAAAGTACTTTGAGTTCAACACACAAAATCTATTCTAAATACATTTGGATCTATATTGAAGCTGCACATCCACAACCTTTCTGCTGAAGAAATACTCCTTTAAATATGCCGCTGCCTGCCAAGCGAAAGGTATATACTGTATGGCCCATTTTATGGATTATGAACTATGAAAGTGTGTCATGAACCAGACCTGAAAAACCTGATACATGAGCAGGTTAGGACAGATGACAGATTGAATTTTTAAACTGTCATTTTATTTAGAATTCAGTGGGAATTCAAAACGTTGGATTCATGTTGAATTTAGAAAAATGGAGTTCTATCATTTGAGGGACTAAAATCTACCACCGGGAGTACGTCACTATCTAATTGTTCCAGCAGGTTAAATAATCTTCATAAGGCTACTCATTAATCTGTTCCAAAGAAAGAGTGGTGGAACACCCAGTAAGCACACTGACCTGTAACAAGTTGCCTCAGGTAAGGTCACGTGACAGGCGAGCCATGACGTCGCCATTAAGGCGTGGCTTAATAACGCTTTTGTGATGAGCCGCAGAGAGCTCGAGCGCACCGGCTTTACTATAAAGGGAACCTAACCGAATATATTTTGTTCTAAAGTTGGAAATTGTTAATTTCCTTTTACACGTGACAACCCAATGAACGGATGTCGAATAAACACATGAATAAGTATTCTGTTGGCTGTACGGGTCCATCAGACGGAGTGTCCCGGTTTTCGTGCTAAGGTAAGATCATCTCGGTTGCCATGTTAGCCGAGTGATTTAAGCTAACATAAGCTAACGTTACGTAACGGGTGGCGTCTCTCAGTTGAGATAATTGAAATGTCCGTAGACTATTTATATATATTATACACGTGTAGAACGTGAGGTGTCATGGCCAGGTGCTGTAACAATACGGCAACGTTGTACGGTAACACACACACACCGTTTCTGTGAAACTGTCCTCACAGCTTACCTGTACACAGAAGATCCGGGTACTACCGAGTCAAACCTACCTGTATGAGTGCCTGTGCCCCGCTCCATTCAGTCTATGGTGACTACTGACGAGGTACGATGACACCGAAAGGTCTCCTCACCTGTCAACTACAATGTGGTATCCTGCTTTAAACGGGACTTTGTTTAACCAGTGTGATGGAGTTTGCAACTTCCTGAAGTCACAGCCCAAAGTCTGGTAGCAGGTCCTCTATGAAACCATAATGAATGGATGTTCACTGTTAAATGTATCCAGAAAATGTAATTGTATCACATGTAAATATTTTGTACTTGAGATATTATTTCTCAAATTAAAATGTCAGTGTTTCATTTGAATGTTGACACACCTGATAACCGCAGTCCCTAATTCATCTGTAAATACTCACCAAGGTGTGGTGTTCAGGCTCACATTGCCAGCAACACTGCAGATGGTCACACCTGGATTTTGTGCTGTTTGCACCATGTTTTTCTCTTTGCATCAGAGCAGTAAGCTGGTCTGACTGCAGCGGACTGTATTGCATTTCATATTTTCCCAAACTGCATGTACAGACATGCAGCCAATGTGAGAAGGAAGTTACTCCCAACATGTACATGTTAATGTAATTTAAGAGAATAGAGCCATCACATGACAATGTTTTTTCTTTCCCCTGTCCACTAGTGTCCACTGGAGCCCATGAGAGAAACGTTGCACTGGAATGAGGCTAGAACGTCCTGATGTTGCTCATCCTGATTGTTGCTTAGAGAAGAGGCAAAGGCATGGCCCTGCAGGTATCTCCATTTCCTAATGGGTTTGTTGCAGGCATCCATGCCTTGGGATGGGCACTTGTCCTGCCTTGCTTCTGGTTTCTTGATCGCATAATTGCTTTGTGCAAGTCCACCACCCCAGAACGAAGCCAGCGGCTAGAGCAGGGATGCCACCTCCACCCCCTCAAGGTCTTCTTTGGCTCCATTATCTTCTTCATTCTTTTTCTCGCCACAGCCCCCTTGGGTCTCCTTGGATTTATTATTTGGGCACCTCTTCAGGCTTGCCGCAGGCCCTTTTCCTACCACAGAGAGACAGCGTCCTCACCAGAGAACGAGACGCACAGGGGCTTTGAGCTGGTAGGAAGGGCATCGTTTGGATTTGCCACAGCCAACCTGTGCCTGTTGCCTGACAGCCTTGCTCGTTTCAACAACCTAGGGCACACACAGCGCAGGGCGACTGTCATCGGCCAGCACATCGTGCAGGGAGTCTGTCGACCCAATATCCGCATTTTTGTTGACTCCCCCAGCAGCTGTGGAACGCTAAGCCCATCCTACAGCATTCTTCCCTCCGTTAACTCCTCTTCATATGGGGCCACGGATAAACATGCCCAGACCGTAGTGAGTCATCATTCTGATTCAGCTGAGGTCAATTTTTCAATCCCCAAGTCCAATAGTGACGTTGTCTGTTTGCCCTGTGATGATACAGAAGAGCCCTCAGCCGAATCCCCATCTCCCGTTCTAAATGCCAATCACATCTCCAACCAGCAGGGCGGAGCAGGTCACCGCAGTGCTCCCCGAGCTTTGCTCTCCCAGGGTCTCCGCCAACAGGATGACGTACCCTGGGAAGTGTCCTCGTTGTTTCCAGCCAATGTGGACATACTGTGTTTAGAGGAGGTGTTTGATAAGCGGGCGGCCCAGAAACTCACCCAAGCGCTGAGACCCGTGTATGGACACATACTGTATGACGTCGGCGTGTATGCCTGCCAGCCGCCGTGCAGGTGTTCCTCTTTCAAGTTCTTCAACAGTGGCTTGTTGTTGGCCAGCCGGTTCCCTGTGCTTGATGCCCAGTACCAGTGCTTCCCCAACAGCCGCGGGGAAGACGCACTGGCTGCCAAGGGCCTCCTCTCTGTTAAGGTGCTTTTCTTAATGTCATGTATTAAGCCTCTTGTTCATGCAGTTGTCATTTTTGGTGTTGCACAATCCATATTAATTTGCTCATGTCTTTTGTCACAGTATGAGTAAAGTAAAAAAAAATAGATTGTTTTTTTTTTTAAATGTCCAGGTGCTAATCGGCCAGAATCAGAAACAGAAGAAAGTGGTTGGCTATTTTAACTGCACACATCTCCATGCACCAGAGGGTAAGTCTTATTTTAAACGTTTTGTATTTTTCTTGAGGAAAAATAGAAGATAGTTCTGTGATGGCTGGTCTGTGTTTGCTTTAATCAGGGGATGGAGAAATTCGCTGTGAGCAGTTAAACCTGGTTACCACGTGGATTGGGGATTTTCAAGCGGCCACCAAACTGCCCGATGAGGACGTTGCTTTCGATGTGCTGTGTGGAGATTTCAACTTTGATAACTGCTCCCCTGGTGAGGCTCTGGCAAATGTATTTACTTACTGATAGCATCTTAAAGAATACAAATGTTGTACATCTCTGCGTGTTTGTCTAGATGACACCCTGGAACAAAATCACCATCTATTTGAGGAATATAGAGACCCTTGCAGGGCAGGGCCTGGAAAAGAGAAGCCCTGGGTCATTGGTTTGTACCTTTTTTAAAACATTAGACTACAGCCAATATTACACAGATACAAGACAAACAATGATAAATAATGATGTATTTCATTGGTTTGCATCTAAAGGTACTTTGCTGGAGCAGCCAACGTTGTATGAAGATGACATAAACACCCCGGAAAAACTACAAAGGTGCACTCGGTTCCAGCAGAGTCCTGCAGAGCAACTACCATGACATGACCTGAACTCACTCACTGTTCATTCACTGAGGCTGATCTTGTCTTCACTGTGTATCTGTGTAGAACGTTGGAGAGTGAGGATCTGAGAAAGCGCTACGTCTCCCCTCCTGTTCCCGTAGACGACCACCCCTTGGTTTACCCCGAGACTGGCCAGCCGTGGATCGGACGTCGGATCGACTACATCTTGTACCGCGAAAACTCCATTTCAAAACACTGCCGAACCGTATGTGTCCTTGTGTGTTTTTATTCTTCCCTATACTAATGCACTTCCCTTCCCATGCACAACATCCCCAATTTGCCCACAAGAGCTTTACAGTCTGCACACACGCAATATCTTCGCTCCCCCCCGAAGACGCTCCATATGAAGAAGAAAAAAAAACCCGGTGGAGACCAACATAGCAGGAATCCCGCTTCCATGCTGGACAGAAGTTACAACAGTTACAACACACGACACAGTAACAAGTCTGCTCCTTGTTCTTGGTCGCTTCTCTTACTCTTAAGTTACTTTGAAATGCCACAAATAATTAATTGACCATTTGAATATGGAAAAACTAGAGTCAGTAGTTATAGAAAAAGTATTTTATAACAGCAAGTTGTCCCCTTGTAGAAAGCATAAAACATGATAAAAAACCATTCCTCTCTCTGTCTCCATCCAGGAAATTGAGGAAGTTACCTTCATAACTCAGCTGGCCGGCCTAACGGACCATATTCCTGTGGGTTTAAGACTCAACGTTATCATGGACTCTTTGGAATAAAGACATCAAACAGCACTGCGCACAAACAAAGGGAACAAAATATACAGTAGGGACATTATTATACTGTACAATCATTTTAATGCTTTGTCAACATACTTGAATTTGGGTTTTATTTCACCAATTTTACTTATGCCTCAGGTAAAATTAATATGGATTTATTAAAATTATATGTTTACAATTTTTATATAATGCCCAGTTACGAGCAGAGGTATTGGTTTTGTATAAGAACATATTTCTATGGATTTTTCACTGATATTTTTCTTACCCAAATAAATGTAAATAACTCATTTTACACCGTGTTGGTTTTCATTTGAAGTAACAGTGTTTGACCGGGCCCAATGCCCGCCTGACGGCCTGAGGTCGCGTTTTGGTCGACAGAGGGCGCGCTATGTTCATCTCAGGTGGGTGACCCACGAAGAAGACTTCTTGCCAATGAAAAGCAGACGACCAGAGCCACTTCCGGTTTGTAGCTTCCGACATGATCGCGAGGACATCAGAGCTCCTGCCAAGAGTCTGCTCACACAGTTATAAAGGACCAGTGCGGTGATATTTTATCATTGTAGTTAAAATCATGAATATTCTCAGCAGCTCTAAGAAACTGGTGTCATCGGTGTTTAGAAGAAGCGCTTTTGTGGAGCAAGCGCTTGTTTTCAGAAGCATCGGTTCTGTCCCCAAAGCTCGTTGTCTCAACCTGTGTTGCGCTCAAAGATTGAAAGAAAGTCTCCTGTCATGCCGTCACGGGAACCGCGTGACGTCACTCACCCGACACCTCGCGGCTCAGAGACCGTGTTCGCCGCTGCGGGGGGGCGACGAGTGTTCAAACAGCAGCACTGACATGTCCCATGAGGAGGACATGGACGGGGACAGCGGGACCCTCAGTCAAAGTAAGCAGCTACAATGGCTACTGGACCGATAGATGAGCTCATCGATAAAACAATCACAGTCTGATCCAATACGAGTTTATGCGTTTATCGGATAATACTAATTGATTAAACTCACAAGACATTTTTCAATCATCTTAAATGTGATCGTACATTGATTACCTTTTGTATTTTGCACTGTTGGGTTCGATCATCGATTTTACATCTTCTGATGTAACAAATGCGTTATTTGATCAATGAAACATTATAGTTTACGACAACCTAAAATTTGTTTTAGTTTTATTGACAAACCTGTCAGCATTGGCATACATTTGTTGTTTTTCTCCAGATTCATAACTTTTCCGTCCTCAGATTCTGATTCCGATCAGATTCCTGAAATATTTTTAAAGAACTATCACAACCTGAATGGGACGTCTTCAAATAGATTTAAATCACTATTCAAAACCCCCAAGATATGTAGTTTGATATAAGAAAAAGCAGAAAAATCGTCCAAATTAATGTTTTTTTATTTAAAAAAATATTGAATGATAATGAAAACGCTCACCCTACATTGCTTTGATTTTTTGCATGTGATGACATTTCAGCCCGAATATACCAAGCATTTAATGAAAAGGAATACACAACAGCATTGCCGTCATATTGTTTTATCACTTGTTTTCTGTAGGAGCCCCTGAAGCTTTCACTCTTGACGTGTTGGTGTCTCTACTGCGTCAGGAGAACGCAGTGGACATCTGTGTGATTAAAGTACCTGAGCAGATCAAATACACAGAGTATTTCCTCGTTGTCAGCGGCGTCTCAACGAGACACATCCGCGCAATGGCCCTTTATGCCCTCAAAGTGGTAACTAACATGCGTCTTCTCATTATCAGTGGTAGTAGTATGTGCAACGTGTGTTTGCTTTATAAATATCCCAATGCATTGTGTTCTCTAGTCCAAATTTCTAAAGAAAAGTGGAGCTCCGTCTGTCAAGATTGAAGGGAAAGATGCAGAGGACTGGATGTGTATTGACTTTGGTATGTAGAACTGAGAGACTGCTGCTTGTATAACTTGATGTTTGTTGAACGAGTTCCCACTGGTGTTCACTCTCTTGCTCCTCTCGGTCTCAGGAAATATGGTCGTTCATTTCATGCTACCAGAGACCAGAGACGTGTATGAATTGGAGAAACTCTGGACTCTCCGCATGTATGATGAGCAGTTGAAGAGCATGCCCACCGAGACGCTGCCAGAAGACTTCATCTACGATGCTGAAGACACAAAGTGACTAATCATCTGAGCGCTGCGCAGACTCAACTGCTTCCTTTCACTTCCTCCATCATCTCTTTTTGCGGTGTTTGAAATGGAAAGGGTTTAAACGACAGTACTTTTGTAAGCACTTCTTCCCGTCATAATAATTAACCTTTCTTTTCCCGTTATTTAACCATTCGAGGACGACAGGTGGTATCTGTATAGTAACGGTATTTATGTTCAACTGATTCTTGACATTGTGGTGGTTAAAATTAAATTCTTTTACAACCACCCTAAATATCTTTTGCATGTTCTACATGAAAGTTAAAAAAAAAAAAAAGGTTTTATTGCAATAGTGAATTTGAATTGTTTATTATAGGTACTAAGTACAAAGAGTGGACGCTCTTTTCTTCTTCTTTTTTTTCTTTTTTAAACCCAATATTCAAGAAACCACAAGAACTAAAAAGTTCTGCTGAAGCACATCACTACACATACTGGCTCACCTGCTGTACAAGATTCCTTTTGGCTGTGCGGGGAGAGCAAATGTATTGTGAAGACATTATTTGTGGAGTTGCCAAAGGTGTAAGTGCTGATGTGCATTCACTTTCATGTACGAAGAAGTTGCTCAGTGAATCGGTAATACGAGTGGGTCTATTCGCACTCGGGCGACTCACAAAGCTTCTGCAGGCTAAAACTCTCTTCTGCAAATCATCAGCATTTGGAGTTCTTGCCTAAAACAATGTACTAAATGATTTGATTAAATTATAAAACTGGATTTTTCAATTATTCTTCTATTGACATGAGGAGGAAACGCACTGATGAATTAGTGCACACACAGCGGACACTAACAACTATTCTACCTTTTCACCTCCTCAAGTGACCATTCCGGCTCATTTACTTGTTTTAAGTCACGCTGTGTGAGAACATTAGCTAAATGCAAAATGTAATGAGGCATGAGCCACCAACACAGAGCCTGCTGGGACTTTGGGGTTAGAATGTTTTTGTTCATGGTGCAAAGAATGACTCACGCGAAAAAGATTCTCAAATAGAGATTTCATATTTACCTCCCATACAAAAATTTCTCATCTAAAGCCAATAAAAATGTTTCAAACTTGTAATGCTGACACGTATGAGATTATACAGAAGAGATACAATTGAGGGAAATTTTAATCAAGTGAAGGAAAAGAGTGCCATAGTGTCTGTGAGCTTTAATGTTATCATCAGCCTCACAGTCATTTTACCCACTGGTGTGCGGCCATTAATGGCAGTAGTGCTGATGTTCTCCATGATGGAGGAGATTGAGCGAGTTGGGTTTGTGTTGCTGTGTAAAGCTTTAGTTGCAGCCCTACTTCCATCAGTGTATTTCAACCACATGTTGCACAAAAAATGAATTATTACTATTTATTCTTTTCCCCCGTATGAAATTCATTAGGAATTAATGCCACTTCATCTTCAATCCTCTGATAAAAGCAAATTCACTATATAAAGTAATTCTAGTACTGCATTTAGTGTAAAAGCAACAAGTAAAAGATGTTTTTTAAGTAAAGAGTGGGTTGTCGCAGTATGTGGGGCTCACCCGGTGGAAAGCATTTCTTTCAGGAGAACAGACTAGTGTATTAAAGAGCACATCAACCGTATTAAACACTGCATTACTGAGCCCCTGCACTCAAGGGGCTTTCTAAGCGCCATCGGGCGAGGTGTAGCACAGACAGAGAAAGAAGATTTAAGGTTCCCCTATGTAGTAAACGTAATTCTGAAGCTGGTACTTATATACACATGTTTTGGGAGTGTGAAAATATATAAACATTTTGGAGAGAAGTGAAGGAGGAAGTGGTTTCCCTGATTTCCGGATACGACTTGGAGCTTTCGCCCCCTTGATGTATTCTGGCAGACAAAGTGGGGCATGCAAGGAGTAGAAAAAACGCTAAACTGATTGGAATACTATCGTATTGTTGGATTCTGGATTTCAGAAGATATCCCTTCTGCAGACGGTTGGTATAAGGGGATTTTGGAAGTTCTTCCTTTGGAAAAGTTGACCTTCACCCTGCGTGACAATGTCAAAGGATTCATCAGGATATGGAAACCAGTCTCAGACTGGGTGGACTTCACCCCACCGACTTAAAACACACTTACTGATACTGACTAGACCTGAGGAAACCATCGAAATATACTCACGTCTGACTGGTGCTGTTTTTTCGTCTTCTCTTGCATTCGCAAAGTTCTAGAATGCTGTCTTGTAAAATCAAAATCCTTTTCTATATTTATATACATACATACTTATAATCACAGTTATTGGCACCTCTTTTTTCTCTTTTTCAAAAATAAACAGAAATGTGCTACATTCCTACTGTATATGTTTCAACAGAATATTTTAGCAGGGTTTGACATTGATATCTATATATATATATAGAAAAAGAAAATCTAAACTATATATATATGTGTGTGTGTGTGTGTGTGTGTGTGTGTTCGTATGTCGTATAAGACTGTGATGTTGCTCTGGAAAAGAGTTCTCACGTGATTGTCGTAGGAAAACGACAGCACCAATCTACTGTCAAATTTAACAAGAGTGCTCTTCAAAGAAAATAGTCTCCATCAAAGTAATCTTACAAATTAGGGACTAAAAGCTTTTTGCGCACTCTGTCAACCTGGAATAGAAAGTCTGTGGGTTTCAGCGCTTTACTGCCCTTTCTTGACTGATTTGGTGCAATTTGGGGCTGTGCCTCTTGCTTTGGTCAAATAGTTTTGTTATTGTCTTAATACGACCGTGTGTCAGTCGGTAGTGTTTTTTAGGCCACTGTTTCGTATTCATATTCATTACTGAGGTGAGAGATATACATTGCTGATGCGCATGCCCCTCTGCAATTCAGTGTCAAATGAAACATTATCTTTTGAAACACATTTCAACCTAATGTGAAAATAACGGACCGTCACCGACCATTCTAAGATACACATCATCGGTTTTATTGAAACGTTTAATGCTGGCTGTGACTATTAAGTGGACATTCTACATTAATTGAGATTGTCTCCGCTTGTGCCTCTATTTTTCCATCAGAAGTTTGAATAGAAGTTAAATTTGCAGTCTTTTCAACCACTAAAACATGTAACGGCTTCTTTGAATGATTATAAATAAAATAACTACATTCAAAAGTAAATAAAATATAATATAAATATAAATAATATAAATAAAATATGTGGGCATCTGTGAGTTTATGGGATATTAAACTTGAAATATTAAACTTTCATTTTCAGTAATTTAGTGCTGGTTGACTTAGGCAGTAAATTTGTTTTGTTTTTTCCCCCCATATACATATACAAAAATACATATACACTCATACGTAAATTAATCAACATTGGGATTAATTTAATTCTGTGACACCTTACAATAATAATGCTGTAACGGAGTATCTCTGTTCGTTCACCCTCAGGCAGTAGTAAACTAATGGGGGGGGTAGATATTTCTCAGGAGTACAACAAGAGTGAAAGAAATGTCCCCCCTCCTTATCCGACACACACAGTATAAAACATGGGCAATGTTGGGAATCTGAAGGAGGAGCTCTCAACAGCGAGAAAATCACCTACCTCCGAATTTTCAAGGGTTGCATTAAAATGTAAGTGTGTTAATTTTATTTCATACCTTTTTATTTCAAAGACACACTTTTTGATTGAATGTAAGTAAATAATATTTCATGGTTGAGTATCAGTCCAATATGAAGCGATTGCTGCAGATTTTTGCACTGTTACATTGAATAATATTTAGTTTTATTATGCATTTTGTGATCCAGGATCTGCTCCAGAGCTGTGATGTCGCGGAGTATTCTGGCTCTCTGCCTCTTGGCTTGGATTGACTCCGGCGTCCCCGCATATCCAGTCAAGCCTGCCAGTCCCCGGGAAGGTGCACCACCCGAAGAGCTCGCCAGATATTATTCTGCACTAAGACATTACATAAATCTCATCACGAGACAGAGGTTAGTTTTTACAATTTCTATGACATGCTGTTGGTTCGTGTCATTTTTTAAAGCAGATACAAAGAATAATTGACAAGTTGCTTCGGCTCTTTTTTAATGGATAGGTATGGAAAGAGGGACTCCCCAGATAGAGTATTTTCTGATGTGTTCACGAGGGACGGCACAGAAAGTATCCCAGGATCCAACTACATCATGTAAGTTACTTCAAAAGGCAGCTTTTTTTTATTCACCCTGTAATGCTTTCATCTATTTACTCATTTGTATTATTGTCCGTGTCAGGTTTATGCAATTTGATGTATGGTCTTGCATTAGATTATAGAATACGTGAGATGAAATTCAAGAAAAGTATTTCCATAAATGTGTAGTTTAACTGAAATAAACTTAAAATGCTGCTAAATACCTGCGTGTCTTGTAGGTATGATGGGCTGCCACTGTGGTGACGCTGACACACTCATCAAAACCACAAAGCCGCTGCAACGTCTTTGACTGACACCAAAGGGACTCGTGCTGCGCGGAATAAACATTGTCAAATTAAACTACTTTGTTATGTAATGTTGTCACTGCTGAATTAAAACATGTTATTGAAATGTTGACCCGCTGTCTCACTCTGGCTCGTTTGGCTTTATAATCAGTGCTGCTTTGCACTAGTACGTATATGTTGAACATAGTGTATCATGTGTGTCATTCACTGATGGAGTGACACTGCTCTCTACTGGTAGGCAGGAATCTAAAAACTTTTGAAGTATTGGGAAGTACAAATCGTGTGCTTAATTCAATGTCGGCTGCTTCTGTTCTTTTTGAGGAGAGTGAAATAAAAATGACTTGTAACTTGAGTGGTCCACAGTGTTGAATTTATTGCATTACTTTTTATAATAAACCAGCTGAGACGTACCTCCACTTTGCCTGCAAACAGATTAACACTTTAATCCGATCAAGGGACTTGAATGCAGCAAACGGGAATCATTCAACCTTGAGAGTTGGGTTAACTCCGTTATGACACGCTTACCGAAGCACTGCTCTCTCAAAGGAGCTTCTCTGAAGCTGAAACTAGATTTAGTGAAGCAGATTATTTGTAGAAAGATGGGGGGATTGAATGTCTCAGGTGCCAATAGTTGCGGCAGGATCTGATACAGTTTATCCTCCTGGTGTGGTGAGTGTTTGCTTAAAATCAAATTCTTAAGTCTGTTGATCTTTCGCTAAAGTGAGTAGAACACTATTTTATTACTGTTACACTGATTCTCTCCAATACTGAATTCCTCTTTTAGCACATTTAAAAAAAAATTCAGAACCAGGATGGATGCCAATCAGTTGAATTGAGCTGCTAACAGAATGTATTGTGTATACAAAGCACTAACAACAGCGTTGTTTCACGTTAAGGTTTAGAGGTCACTGAGGTTCATTGGTCAAAAACACATTTGAATGAACTATTGATGCAATTGATTGATTATTTCATATATTGTAAAAAATATTTTAAAGTACTTTCCATTGGTGAGTAGTCCAGGATTCCAATGTGCAAAACGTATGTCGGCATTAGATGTCATGAGCACATCACTGTCTGTCAGGACGAGGAACTGGGTGTAGGGGCGCAGCAGGCTCTCTGCAAGAGCACCAGAGTTAACTAACGTTACTTCTGCGCAACTTCTCTGCGAAGTAGTTAGGTAATTAACTCTGACATTAACAGAGGCGTGAAAGAGTGACGGGGTGGACCCGGTTAAATCAGGTAACGTATCAAGTATTATTATTTTTCCATACTCTTGCATTGCGTGAAAGGACTCATCATTGGACCTTCTAGTTTCTCGGCTCACATGAAACTAGCTAGCTAGCTAGCTAATGTTAGCCTACTAGCTTTAGCTAGCGTTAGCCGGTCCGGGCCACATGCTATTGCGGGCTAGCTGCTAACGTTAGCTAACCATTAGACTACTAATGTTACTTCGCAAAAAAACACGTTGTCCAGCGGAGGGAAATATATGTATATTGCTGGCGTGGTTGTTCGTGGGTGGTAACAAACCCACGTTTGACCGTCGGTACCACACTTGGGGCTAAAGCGCAAGCCAGTGTTTGCTATGAAGCATTAGCACGGCTAACTTGCCTTCATGTGAGCTGAGAACAAGCAACGTCTGGCACCAACTTGCTTCTGGACGGGTACTACTGTACTTATAACGCCAATTACCACCTCGATCGACGTATTTACACGCAACGTTAGATCGTTGTGACGCAAACCTGATCACTTTCAGCTAAGTTAGCCCACATGGAAAATCAGTGCTGCCAGCACGTTTCCTGAAGGAAAAGGAGTTTTTTTGTTTCGTGACATCGGAACAACTTTCCTCTCAGTGATGTATGAGACTTAACGAGAACCCGTCCGGCTGCTCCTCCATTAATGCAGACTGGTTTCAGGGTGTGTGAGTGTAACGTGTTACAGCAAGCGACACACTTCATTCAGGTCCACTAACTCGTAACATAAATGTTTCCTTAATCCCTCATAGCGTTTAGAATACTGACGCAGACATTTTACAGTTACTAAATCAACCATTGGCACGTTGCATTTATTGGTCTAGTTCTAATGTGGTGATTGGATCACACACATTTCCTACGTACCTCCCCCCAGTCTAATTTACTGGGAAAGTAATTTCAATTTCAATTGATTTAACGTGTGATTATTTGATTAGAACACCCTCTGAAAATACTACCTGGATACATCTGGGTTAGTATCTATACGAATGTTATCATATTTTAGCTTTTATGGGGGAAATTGTAGCCTGCTGCAAAATGTGTACAAGACAACCCTTTATTTGTCCCGCAGCGGAGACATTTACAGAATTACAACAGCGAAGGGGGTAAAGTGCACACAGACAGAAAAACTAAACCAAAATCAAACCAGTTATGAATAAAAGTAATACAATGAATAAATAAAAACAAGAATCCACAGTCGATTAAATTAAATATTATATAAATATTAAACTCATACAGAAATATTTTTGATAGCAGTATTGGACAGGTTTGAGGTGTTTCTGTGGTCATAAATAGTTGTAAACAAGTCTGATTTCTCAGTATTTAAAAAGTGATCACTTTCCTTTCTGCTTTATTCAAGCAACCAGAACAGCAAATGACAACAAGCAACTAAAATCATCTTAATAGTATTTGGAAATGGACCTTGACAATGTGTTTCTTTTTTGACAATGTTTCTTCTTTGAAAACTTCACCATATAAGAATAATAAAGTTATTTTCTTTTTCTCTCCAGTCCCGAGTTAGCAGAGTGTTGAGTAGTGAATGTGGAGCCCATCACAGCGCTGCACTGATGATTTGAACAAAGTTTAAAGGTGAGTTTGTAGCTTTCTTGTTTTTTCGGGGGGCTTGGGATGATTATTTTCCCCTTTTGCTCACATTTCATAAATAAACTACAGTGTTACTTCGCTCTGTTGGCAGTTCCCTCTGTGCGGCTGGCACAACTTTTAGCCTCAAGGCCCAAGGCTCATTCTTTGTCACTCAAGGACCCTCTTTGTCCTCCCCTCAATTCATTGTAGCTCTCCGGGCAAAGATGCACACACAAACTGGTTTTCCGTCTCATGTATCCATTCTGATCCTGAATTTGTTCAACATCAACATGTGTCGCTTAAGCGTGATTCATTATTCACAACGTGCTTTGTACTGTATAATTACCACGGCTGGCAGCCTACTGATGTGTAGGCTTTTTTTCTACCGCCCACAGCCCTCCAGTTGCCTTGGTTTCTGTTAGCAGACAGTTGGGTGTTTCACCTTCCTGAGCAGAGGAGTGTTAAACATGACTGTGGCCAACGCAAAGTCTGGAAAAGGTAAGCCGTTAATACAAAGCTCAAAGACCGAGCCCTAACTAATCCGCCAAATATGACATTTTATTATCGTTTGAATGGTGGCATGGGATAGTTGTCCGGGTGTGTTTTTCAGCTGCCTCTGGACTTTCACATTCTTACCATTGATGACCTACAATAATAACAACACGTAACTAAAAATAATTGCCACATGATGAACTGTTTTGGCTCATACAGGGACTGTGTTTCTGTGTACTTCTCTTTTCAATTGGAATAGTAGTGCACGGTTTTAGTCTGAATGCACGACAAACCCATTCAATGGTTTGTTATACTTGGCATTTAAAGAAATGCCCCTGATATTCATTATATTGAAATAATTGAACAAGAAATGATTTGTTATAAGGATTTTGGGCTTTGGCTTGTTGCCGTCTCCTCTTTCTCAACAAAGCAGTTCTGCTAGTAGAAGAATTCCTTTGTGATTCTGTGTGTTGTTGCTGCAGCAGTGGAAATAAGAGATGCGCTCTGTGAATTGGCCCGCTAGTCAACTATTGTTCTTGCCTTGTAAGCTCTCATTGTTTTCCATTGGTTCAACTTGCCTGTGAGCTTTGTCACTAAACTATCGAGCTGTATTGACAAAGCAGCAAGTCAAGCTCTAAAGAAGTTGTGACTATTGTTTTTCATTCTGTTCTTTGGATTTTTTCCCCTGCAGCCATGCAGCAGGTACTGGACAACCTGAAATACCTGCCGTCAGGCTCAGGAGCCAAAGATATTGACCTCATATTTCTCAGAGGCATCATGGAGAGCCCCATCGTCCTCTCCCTCACAAAGGTAAACAAACACCACACACACAGTTGCAATCCCATTTGCTGCCCATCAAACAATCTATGCCAACAAACACAAAAGGTAATGTCAAGCATCTGCTCGGTAAGATTGAGTAGTCAGAAAAGTCTTGTCTTTTCAAATATTTCACACCCATTATCACAAAACAACGAGGATGACAGCATGAAGAACGAATGGCTTACATGACAGAAATATCATCTCAATGCAGATTACGGTCACAAAGGCGAGCTCTTGTCCTCATTTCTAACAAACAGCCATTCATGTTTTGCATACAATTACAAGAATATGGCATTTTTATGTAGATTTTGGACAGAACAACAGAACCACTTGAAACCAAATTGTTTTGTCTGTTCTTCAGTGAGCTGTGACACTCAAGTAGCACCACGGGTTCTTAACTGAGTTCCCAGAAATGTACGTCAATGTTGAGAAATAACGGCCTGTTAAAAAAGGAGCCGAGGCCTGTGTGCTCACTGGGTGGAACTGAGTAGTTAAATGCAAAATGCTTTTCATATTATCTTCCACCAAACAAATCCCAGCCAGTGGAACAACAAGCACCGCAGATGAAGGAAACCAGATTTACATAAAAGGAGTTGTGCTATGAAGTTGCCTTTAAAAGATGATTTTCAAAAAGTCAAAACATTTGGAACTTTTTATTGAAGTTAAAGGGTTGTTTAGTTGTTGTTGTTTTTTGTTTTAAACATAGGAAAAGGATGTTTGCTTAAAAGTACCATCCAAAAATATAGAATTAGTTCAATTTACTGTGTTTACGGTGCTCCAAGCTCGCATCAGAATGAAGTGGAGTATTTTTGTGTTGTTGTGTGCGCGTAGGCCCATGAGCGTCTTGAAGAAGTTAAGCTAAAAGCTGTGCGCGAGGATAATGTTCAGCTGGTCACAGAGATCCTGGATTCCCTGAACAACCTTCCAGAAGAAGATGTGGCCGCTGCCGAGCTCGTCAAAATCCTTCAGGAGCCGCACTTCAAGGTATCTCTCAACTCATTCCTCTCGCATTCGGCTTTAAACAGGGCCGAGTTGACCACATAGTTGTCGAGTGACCAGTCTAGCTTGTGTCACATTTGTGCGGGAATGGATGTCGGAGCATTCTTCTCCAACATCTCATTAACACTCTGAACTGGCAGCAGTTCTGCTTCTTTGTTGCCCTTTAGCTTCTCATAGCATACACGCTGTGGCTCGGGAGGGCGGGGGGTGTATTTTCTTTCGGGCCAATAGCAGGCTGACTTATGTGGGTAAAGTCCGGGGGAGAAGACCGTTTGTCTCTGAGCAATGCTCACGCTATGTTGTGTCTGCTGAGGGTAAGAACAAGAAGGATTTGAATTCTCTATTTAATCAATTGTAGACGCATAACAACATTTTTTTATTATATTATTTAAAAAATGCATGTCACAAGTGCTGCTACTATTTAGAGTTTTGTATTTTGATGCATGAACCACATCGCAGTGCTGATTTTGGTTACTAAATGAAGAGGTGGTAAAGTACAGGGCGTGGCAACCACACTTTTAATATTGTCTCTCGCCGCTGTTCTTTTTTTCTGCCGCAGTCTTTGATAGAAGCTCACGATAAAGTGGCTGCAAAGTGCTACGAAATGCCCCACACAGCGGGAAACAGCAGCGCCTTCATTTCGAGTTCACTCATGCCAGCTGATGCTGTCAGGATGATCGGCATCCAGAAGAAAGCCGGGGAACCACTGGTAAGCAAGCCGGGCACTTCTGTGAGCCGCAGCCCTGCAGAGGGAACGTGTTAACCGTTATATTTATGTCCTCTCGATTGACTATAAAAGTGACTTCCTTTCACATAGCAACGCGACACGAGTCGCTTCTTTCACAGCAGCCAGACGTGAAATGGACCTGCGCCGTGATTTATGAATCGCAAATGTACGATACTAAATTACTCTTCCAGGGGGTGACATTCCGCGTGGAGCAGGGAGAGATGGTGATCGCTCGGATCCTTCACGGCAGCTCGATTGACAGGCAGGGCATGCTGCACACGGGGGACATAATCCGAGAGGTGAACGGGTGCGAGGTCAGCCAGAGTCCCCAGGAACTCCAGGAGCTGTTGGGGAACTGCACTGGGAGTGTCACACTCAAGGTCCTGCCCAGCTACAGAGACTCACCGGCTCCTCCACAGGTGGGTGATGGTGGGAGGGAGAAGGAGGCCGCAATTTATACTGTCCAGTCCACAGTAATTCCCCTACTGCTACTAAAAATGATGCTACAGGAAATCTGAATTGAACACAATTCCTTTGAATGAGATGTTTAAACTATATTGGGATCTTGGAATCAGCACGTTGAGTTAATCAGGATGCGTTTGTGGATGTGTAAGTCCCGTTGTTCCAGGTGTACAAGGCGGTGATACTGTACCTTTCAGGGATTGGGGGGGGGGGGCTGCCTGACCAGGGTGATCCCAGAATGCTTGGCTTCTGTAAATTGAGCCCCGTGGGGTTCTATTATTAACCCTTCTTACCACCTCCCCCTTCTTTCAGCAGTGGGTTCACACAACTGCTGACACAGAGGAACAGTGCATAGTGATAGACGCTGACTTTTTCTGCCAGGGAGAATCAAATGATCTAATCCTACTGTTTGGCTGTGTGCTTGTTGGGTTTTATTCTTATTCTTATGAATAAGAATACTAATTGATTATTACTAAAATATTTAACTGGCCGTCAGATACAAACATAATAAACTAATTATTTCTTTAACATTAAATAGCTAAATCTGACAATATAGTTTAAAATCTATTTAAGGTCCCAATCCTGTATATTCTCTCTGTATAATGCGATAGTCTGACGTCTTGTTCACGCCCGATGTTGTAGGTTTATCTGAAGCCACACTTCAACTATAATCCAGCCACAGACAACTTGATCCCCTGTAAAGAGGCAGGCTTGGCCTTTTCCAAGGGAGACATCCTTCACGTAGTCAACAAGGAAGATCCCAACTGGTGGCAGGTGAGAAGATGCATTTCTGACCCTGATAGTGCTGCTTCAACCAATGCTGCACATATAATTAGAAAATAAGTGAAATGTACTTAGCAGCGTTGCAAGCCGCCGCCAAAGATGGGGAGACGTTGGTGGCCGATACTTAGACATGGTATCTTTTACTATGTGAAATATCTCTTAACTGGTCCAATTTCTGAGTAGGCATGCAAAGTTGTTGGTGGAGCGACTGGCCTCATCCCCAGTCAGTTCTTGGAGGAGAAAAGGAAGGCGTTTGTGAGAAGAGACTTGGATACTTCGGCTGCAGGTTAGTTCAAATCATGTTCTCACAAGCCAACTCCTTCACTCCCTCCCTCTTTCGTGTCAAGTTACCCCGGGAGTGGTCAGACATAATGTTGCTGTAGCATCACCACCATGTGGTGAACTGCATGTTTTTTTCTTTCTGTAAATGATTCTCAGGCATGATCTGTGGAACTGCAAAGAAGAAGAAGAAAAAAATGATGTACCTCACTTCAAAGAATGCAGGTGTGCATCACCAATTGATCTTATTTTTATACATTTTCTTTTAATTCACTTTTTCTACTGCAAACTGCAAATGCACAGCCAACCGTTCGGTACTCATCCAGCCTGTGAATTGCCTTGAACAGATTTTGACCGTTATGAGCTGCAGATATATGAGGAAGTAGCCAAGATGCCACCGTTTCAGAGGAAAACGCTGGTTCTGATTGGGGCCCAGGGAGTTGGGAGGCGGAGCCTGAAGAACAGGCTTATTGTCATGAACCCACTGCGATATGGAACCACTGTACCCTGTGAGTGACACAGCTAGTGAATAAGTCTGCCACTACATTTGATGCCACCGTGAATGTAACACCTCTGTTCATTCTTTTATCTCCAGTCACGTCAAGACAGCCGAGGGAAGAAGAGCGCGACGGCCAGAACTACTGCTTTGTGACGCGAGAGCAGATGGAGAAGGACGTGAAGGAGAACCGCTACCTGGAGCACGGCGAGTACGATGGCAACCTTTACGGCACCAAGATCGACTCCATCCATGAAGTGGTGAATGCCGGCCGCACCTGCATCCTGGACGTCAACCCTCAGGTAAGCCGAAGGCACGCGCTTGCAATGTGTACATATTTTTTCCTCCCAAATCTTTGGTTGTGACGCTGTTACCTTCCGCTCAGGCCCTGAAGTTGTTGAAGACAGCTGAGTTTATGCCGTTTGTGGTGTTCATTGCTGCTCCTGAACTGGATACACTAAGAGCTATGCACCAAGCTGTGATAGATGCTGGACTCACTACCAAACTACTCACGGTACGTTTTTTGAGAGCGTTGATGGACTGGTCAGGGGTTGTTACTCATGAAATAGTTGTTGCTGTCGTTCTCCTAATGGGCTGAATTTCTCTCTGTAACAGGAGAACGATTTGAAGAAGACCGTGGACGAGAGTGCCAGGATTCGTCGGGCTTACAGCCACTATTTTGACCGGACTATTGTCAGTGACAATCTAGACAAGGCCTTCGATCAACTGCAAGAGGTGGTGGAGCGATTATTCGTGGAGCCCCAGTGGGTTCCAGTCAGCTGGGTCTACTGATGTTTTCTAACCTCACGGACAGACATTGCCGTTGAAAGGCGACACGTTAAAGGACGGAGAATTCAACACGGCACCCAAGGACACATCAGACCTGTGTGAAAATGGGTTTTGCACAAAGCTGTATCAGTCACCTTAATCGGAATCGCCGGATTCCTTTCTAGCCCTCAATGCAACTCCCAATGCACAGGAAGTGTACTTATTTATTGGCAAAAATAGAATCCTTTCTATTCATGTGGATTTGGAGAAAATACTGGCAGGATATTTTAAAAAGAAATGCAATTTGTCATGTTCTGTTTCTTCTGCTCTGTCTGTTGATTAGGTAAAGTGTATTTATTTTGCAAAAGGGTAGCTTGCTCATTGAAAAGAACAATACCTCAGTGTGACAGTTTACAGCGCAAATGTCTCCAGAACATCATCTCATCGTGTCACTACAAACTTGTCATTCGTGTAAAATAGTGTCATCATTTTGAGACTTTTCTTCTTGCTCAAGGTGGAATTCAGGCTCTTCTGTCTTTGCCGTTATAATATAGTCATACATGGAAAATGTCACAAGTTTTTTATGTACAGAAAAAAAAAATCTCTTTCACTCAAGCACAACAGATTACATTAATTATGTTGATTGTTTGTCAGGCGTTTAGATCCTGTACGTATTTCTGACTGTTAGAGCTGTCGATATGGTGCCGTCTTGTTTAGAAGAAACTTTCCACAGCACTCTGGAACAGGGTACTCCAATCTCAGTGAACCATCCCTTTTTGATGTGATATTACTAAAACGTAACTGTTTTAAATAAAGTTTCTATCTACTTATAAAAGGTATATTTTAAACAAATTCAGAAAGGACTTATTTTAAATAAACAACCTGTGTTTTCTAATTCTCCGCCTTGGTTTGCTTTTCTCTTTTGGGGTTATTAATTGACAACGTGTGATTTCATAAACTGGAGAACATAGCATTCTTATGGACCGAGACATTATATCTTCCTGTTGTCCATCCATCTCTTCAGATCAGATTTATGTGGTTCTGGGTCGATGTGAACGCACGTCGGATCATTTCTCGTGGATGTGACATTTCAGGAACACGTTGAGCACATTTCTTGAAATGTGGCACAAACGCACTCTCACTCAAGACTGAAAGTGATCCAATTTAGTGATCAGAAGTCATTGTGACCACACAAATCACGTTCCTGGCTGCAACTCTTGCGCTTTGTTACAATTTCCCCAAATTGTTGAGGAAGAGCAAATGGTGATGCGCATAAACCAAATCACCACGTTTGGTTTGATGGAGGCAGCGAGTTATCATTATGATTATGATTCTTTCTTTGCAAAAACAAAGTGCACAGGATATTAGCGAGGTTGGGATCGTCGTAGCGCAGGGGGTAGAGCGGGTGCGCTGGGAACCGCAAGGTTGGTGGTTTGAGTCCCGGCCCCAAGTCGAAGTGTCCCTGAGCAAGACACCTAACCCCAAATTGCTCCCCGGGCAAAATGTAAAAAAAAAATAAAGCCATGGGTTTATGTATACGTGGCGGGGGGGAAAAAACACCATATGTAATGAAAAGGGAAGTTGTCTAATCAGCTTTAAATGTCTCATGTCATAACATCCTGATTATGAAGACAATTGACAATGACAATTTAGAATTACGTTACAGTATAGTGGATACAGGAAATCCTAGATTGTGAATTTTGACCTCCTCCTCCTCACAGATTAATAAAATCTCAAATCTTGTCATTTAAGAAATCGGTATAGTATCCATTGATCAAATGTAAGAGTAGTATGGAATGAAACATTTAATGCGCATTTAATTGACAATAGATAATTCTACTACTAGTCATGGAATATAATATATATAATAATCATATTATATAAGAGACAAAAATTGGGACCACTTTAACCTTATAGATTCAAATTTCCCCTAGATGACAAAGCTAAACTGCGAACATTTCGCGCTACGCTTGACGTTCGCTGCCGCTCAGAGGAAATTCAAACAACCCCATTGGATGTGCCTCATTGGCTGCGCGTCACTGACTCCGCCCCACTAGGTCCGCCCCATTGGCTCCGCCCTATTGGCTCCTCCCGCTTTGGAAACAAATAGACAGAGCAGCTCCACTTCCGCTCACCACTCCTGCCTTCAGCAGCCGATCCTTCAACGTCGGTCAGAAGCAGTATTTAACAACTCGAAAAAATGGTGAGTGTCTATTCGAAATTACATCTTGGTTAATGCTTAAAACAAATGTCAATTTTTAACGCTTTAATCCCGATTGACTTCCGTTATATAACGTGACGAATCGAGGCCAGACAAGCTAACGCTATTTAACTGGCTCAGTTTCGATTAAAATGAATGAGGCTATGGCTGTTTAGCTAACCCTGGGAATGTTCGCTACTTAATCCAATTACGCAGCGTTACTAGACTCAACCGAGTCGCGTGAGTCATTTAATCGCTGTGCCTGTGCTATCGGTTATCTTTTTAAAAATGGTAATTACTAAGAACGATGAACCCCGCAGCGGCATTTTTACGCCGGCGAACTAGGTTTTCAGAAAGGCCCTCCAGACAACGCCCTGTCCGTCGGCCCAGCACAAAGGAGGGGCTCTGCAGCACTGTGGGGGCAGGGAGGGGCACAAAAGCCGCGTTCACGCGAGCTCTGCGGTAACGGGCCTGCGTCCCGCCTAAAGCAGCGTTCACGCGCACGCTGTCTGCGCTGCGTTTCTATACCATTATAGTGCTGTTTATTAATATTTATTCTTATTATTTTGTATTTTTTAGTAGTTTTATTTTTCGACTGTTTCGTTTTTGCGCCCCCCCCACACACACACACCAATGATGGATGCAGTTTCGACGAAAACCAAAAGCTCATTGCTTTTTAAAGCATTAGTAAAGACAATGGTAGTAAAAGTAACGTTGTGTTCGTTAGTGTATATACAGTGTTTCCTATAGGTCTACCACTATACAGGGACACATGCGCGCACGTGTCCGAAATGGCCGTGTGTCTCCCCTCCCTTGTATTCCCCTGATCATAATGATATGGTAAACGCTGATGTGGATGACAGCGGCTAACTTACTGTGTAAGAAAGTAATCGCTGATGCATCTTCTCTCTCCAGCGTGAGTGTATTTCCATGCATGTCGGCCAAGCCGGAGTCCAGATGGGCAATGCCTGCTGGGAGCTCTACTGCCTGGAGCACGGCATCCAGCCGGACGGACAGATGCCCAGCGACAAGACCATCGGAGGAGGAGACGACTCCTTCAACACCTTCTTCAGTGAGACTGGAGCTGGGAAACACGTTCCCAGAGCGGTCTTTGTGGACCTGGAGCCAACGGTCATCGGTAAGATGGGTTTCTATCAATCGTAGACAAAGTTACTGACGAAGACTATAATGAAACCTTTCAGTTAATTCACTTTTGCCAATATGTGCAGGCATCTGGTGGGGAACGCGAATCATAGATCGAACCAAAACCATCAGTGCTTTAATTCTTGGCGCTTGTCATGAAGGGGGGGCGTCGCTCTAAACCAGTGTTCTTGTTGCTCTGCAGATGAAGTGCGAACGGGAACCTACCGCCAGCTCTTCCACCCGGAGCAGATGATCACCGGTAAGGAGGACGCTGCCAACAACTACGCCCGCGGACACTACACAGTCGGCAAGGAGATCATCGACCTGGTTCTTGACAGGACACGCAAATTGGTGAGCTCAAATAACTTTTTTTTCATCCTTTCTTTCTCCGATGATTATGGCAATAACACTTATTTTGTCATTTCATTTTTTTTCAGGCTGACCAGTGCACAGGGCTCCAAGGTTTTCTCATCTTCCACTCCTTTGGAGGAGGAACTGGCTCTGGCTTCACCTCTCTGCTGATGGAGCGTCTTTCCGTCGACTATGGCAAAAAGTCCAAGCTTGAGTTTGCGGTCTACCCGGCCCCCCAGGTGTCCACAGCCGTGGTGGAGCCCTACAACTCCATCCTGACCACCCACACCACCCTAGAGCACTCAGACTGCGCCTTCATGGTAGACAACGAGGCCATCTACGACATCTGCCGCAGGAACCTCGACATTGAGCGTCCCAGCTACACCAACCTCAACAGGCTGATCGGACAGATCGTCTCCTCCATCACCGCCTCCCTGCGCTTCGACGGGGCCTTGAACGTGGACCTGACGGAGTTCCAGACCAATCTGGTGCCCTACCCTCGCATCCACTTCCCCCTGGCCACCTACGCCCCAGTGATCTCCGCAGAGAAGGCGTATCACGAGCAGCTCTCAGTGGCTGACATCACCAACGCCTGCTTTGAGCCGGCCAATCAGATGGTGAAGTGCGACCCTCGCCACGGCAAATACATGGCCTGCTGCCTGCTGTACCGCGGAGACGTGGTGCCCAAAGATGTCAACTCGGCCATTGCCACCATCAAGACCAAGCGCAGCATCCAGTTCGTGGACTGGTGCCCCACCGGCTTCAAGGTGGGCATCAACTACCAGCCCCCCACTGTGGTTCCTGGAGGAGACCTGGCCAAGGTGCAGAGGGCCGTGTGCATGCTGAGCAACACCACCGCCATCGCAGAGGCCTGGGCTCGACTCGACCACAAGTTCGACCTGATGTACGCCAAGAGGGCCTTCGTCCACTGGTACGTGGGAGAGGGCATGGAGGAGGGAGAGTTCTCGGAGGCCAGGGAGGACATGGCCGCCCTGGAGAAGGATTACGAGGAGGTTGGCACCGACAGCGTCGGGGAGGAGGATGAAGATGAGGGAGAGGAGTACTAGGTCCCTCAACATCTAAAGCTGAATGTCTTAGTTGCTTATCAATATTGGACACATTCCAAAAAATGTTACACATTCCAGCAAAGCTACATGATTGACAAACCAATAAACGAAACATAAAGCATTTATGATTGTCCTGTGTTTACTCCAAAAGCAGAAACCATCACAATTCATCCTTGAATCTACATATTTATTTTATAAATTGTGCTTCTTCAATGAGAACAGAACATAACTAGATGATCCCACAGATAAAAATAAGCTTCAATTGCTCTCCAGCAGACCAGTCGAAGCAGAGTGGTGGTCTTAATTCTACACGCATGTTTTAAAACCCTCTGACAACCAGTTTGCATATAAACAATCTTTCTGCTGCATTTGAAATGCATGGAATATTCTGAGACATTTGTTTTAATATGGGTTGAATGACAAGTATGCAGTTATGGTCCTGGTTTGACTTTTATATTCAGATTAGAAAGTAATGACATAACTTTATACCCTCTAAATATTTACTTTATCCCTTCGATAGAGAAAAATGCCAATCGAGATTATGGGCCTAGTCGGTTTGTACCGTTGCTATGGAAACGGAAACAAAGAACACAAAGGAGTATCGCTGCCACCGGGTGGGTGTATTTTGTACTACAATGCATGTGAACGTGTTCAGGAAACAGACCGCCTATACAGTACTTTTAAATTATGGTATTTGTCAAGTGAGTTATTGAACATAATTTGTCCTTTGAACTCAAGTCATGGAAATGAAACTCGTACAGCTTGTCAAAGTAATTTAATAGTCATATACAACTAGTGTAGGCAGGTCATACATTAAAGGTAAAATGGTCATGAGGTAAGTCATTGTGAAATGAAGTTATGAATAGGTCATAAAGTTAAGTAAAAAAACTTTACAATAGTATGTAAACACTAAAGTTTATGTATTTGGCCCTAAACCTCAAATGTTATCTGGTGGTGCAGCTGAGATGACATCACCTTGTCTTTTACCACCACCATAAAACAACCTTCGATAAGCAGATGTCCTTTCATTCCCACATGAAAACCTTCAAGGACAGATTTTTTCCGCATTTATCATTACATGTAACATGTAAAACAAAATAATTAAAAATATGAATTAGGAATTTGTGATACAGAAATATTTCCTCTCGTTATGTTTTTTTTTTAGCCAGCAAATGTTCTTTACTTCAACATGGTGGATTTGACCTTCGGTTCAACTGTACACGTGAATGTGTTACACCCGGCCTATAAGCAGCGTCACACACAACTTCACCGTTAGATAATAGAAACATTACTAAATGATTTGTAATATTTTGTTGAACAATTTGCAGTTGAAGGGAAAACAAGAGATTTGTTCATAGTTGAGTGGGATTTTCAACGCATGTCTTGTTCACTTTAAAGGATCCGGCCCACTGACATAATTACCCTTCATCTTTCATGTATACCTTGTCCTATTTAGTTATTTTTATAACTATACCATGGCCACTAAAATCCCTCAACTTTAATTGGCCCTGAAGGTGTGTCTGTATGTACGATCTCTCTTACTTAATAGCAACTTAAGAGGCTGGTATTGCCTGTATCCCCTGTACGTACAGCACGCTCAGCATGAACACTTTCTTAAAAAAGTGACAAATCACACATTTTTCATATAAAATCAGATGAATATGCCCCTCACACGTACAGCAGGAACATCTTTAAAAAGGGTTGGTTGGTCCATTTAAAGTCCAAAATCAGTTACCTAACATCAATGGATTATCTGTTTGTTCAATATTTGTCAAGGATTGTTTTAGCACTATAATATGTATATACAAAAATCATTAACCTACATAAAAATAGTCCTAGTGGAGAGAAGAAGAGAGAGATGGCACTTGATCCACTTGTTCCCCTTTACCTCATTCCAGCGCAATGTTTGGGATTTCTAGTTTGTATTCCGGTCTCTTCAGTGGGCCAACGAGGCGAGACCCCTGACAGCAATACAAAGGACCAAAGCGGGGCAAACTCTGCTGCTTATTGTGGTTTTCACTGTGCTTCCATCTCTCATCAGAGACACATTGGAGGAGGCAAAAAGGCGCTCGGTCTTCTCATAGACGTCTTCCGTCAGTGCGGCCAAGCCTGCGCTGCTCAGAGGCAACTCCCCCTTCCCCGATACACACTGCACCTGGAAGAGACGGGACAGGAAGTTAGAAAGGCAGTTAAATAAATGAGAATATGTGGAGGTGGGGGGGGGGCAATATTTTTTTAGTATTTTTTGTAAAAACTGCCTTCACGCACCAGTAGCTCCAGAGCCGGTAACACAGTGAGGCTGCAGAACATTCCCAAAAGAGAAAGACAATCGTTTGTCATCTCTGGAAGAAAAGACCCAGCGCAAAACAGAGCTTTAGGAAACGTGATCTTCACGACATTCTGCACGCAGTGGGATCTCCGAGAAACTGCCTTTCTTATTCAGGAGAGGCATTCAAGCAAAGATTTGAGTAAAGTCGAGCTTTCCCACCATCCATGGCGCTGGTAATGAGGTGAAATGCAGAGAGCGCCCGTCTGGAATCCACTTGACCAGACTGCTCCAAAAGGTCGAGAATAGCTCGGACGCTCTGATTTGGGGAATCTGTTGTTGTGTCGTCCTCCACGACAGGCGCCTCATCAACGCACATCCGTTCCAACTGAGGACAGGAAAGACATAAAAAGGTAAATTTCAAAAAGGCGCTGCAAAAATAGCAATTAGTCGACACTACAACTTTGTGTTGACGTACCACACTCTGCAGTGAAGCGAGGGCCAGTCGGTCAACCATAACTTGTGTGATCTGTTGCAGTAGAGAAGACCTCGTGGTGGCAGGAAGAGAGGAGAGCAGCTGGAAATGATCTCGCAGTTGCTCCAGCTCTAAATAAAAAACAAAACAAAACAGATACATTTCATGGTCACAGACTGAATGTGTACACGCAGCAGGTCACTGATCAATAAGATCGAACCAGGGCCTTCATAAAACGACGACTTATATCATCACGCCGTTGTGATAGTCAGATAGTCTAATCTGCAGAGGCTCCCCGTGCCTGTAAAACAACATGCATTGGTGAACATGTCACGCCCGACAACAAGCATCCAGTCATGCGTTTTATGGCTTCAGAGGAAGAAAACAATCATTACCTTGTCTAAGGTGGAGATTCCCAGAGGCAGCAGCTCCAACGCTAGCCAGTCCTTCGCACGCCAGGCCGTCGACTTCAAGAAATCCACTGGTGTACGACATCAGACACAGCTCTGTGCAGAAGGTTCGCCGATGTTAACTGCAACCGCAGCGGAGTTTAATGCGACGTGTGCGTGGATCGTTTCTCACCATAGCGTCCGTCCTGTTTGACCTCCAGCTCTATGAGGGAATATGCGATGGGAGTGAGGACGGGAATCTCCATGGTGATGTTACTGTCTTTACTCAAGCTCCCGTTCTCTTTCAAGGAAACCTGTCGAAGGAGAAGTGGCCTCGCTGTTTACACAAAGTTATCGACGCCGCACCGCTACGAGAAATACGTTCAATCTGGTACTCCACCTTTGTGCACCTGGGCCCGCAGAGGCTCAGGCCTCCTGCAAACTGTACTCCCTGCTGCACCTCCTCTATGACTGAGCAGGGCTGAGTGGTCAAAATACGCTCCTTCACGATCCCAAAAACCCGCCTGCGCTTCTCTTTTGTCTGCTGGATCAGCCCGTGGGACATGTCCAGGATCCTGGAAGGGAATTGGGGGGAAATTCTGTCTGCATCATCAACAACAGCATTCATCGTAAACCAAAAAGAGCAATCGTGCGAGTGTTAATATTCAACCGGACCTCCCGTTTAGCGTGAGATTTTATGGTTGGACAAAGATCATTGCTGCTATTTGCAGATCTTAAAAAGCCTGCTTGTCGGATGATGTTTACGGCCTTTTCTCCTTCGATTCAAACCGATTGAACTCAATGAATCATGACACTGGAAACAGACAGGAGGGGGGGGGGGGGGAGAGGGAGAGAGAGAGAGAGAGAGAGAGAGAGAGAGAGAAACCAACCTCTCTTTGCAGTCTAGCAGCAACTTCTGCACCTCCAGTTCTTCTTTTTTTAAACTGCCAAATGACGACTGGAGCTTGGACGAGTCTTTGCCCTCCAGGCTCACATTGGCGCTGTTGAAATTTGCGTCGACAGTTGCCTGAATGTTGTCCCCAAAAGTCCCATCGTATTTGATGAAATCTGTCTCCGTGACGCCTGTGGACGGGGAAACATTTAAGTTTTTATGGGTTTAAAGTAATGACTGGGCATGTGGAGGTTTTTCTGATGCTCACCTGGCTTAATGGGCGCGTCTCCCGTCAGTATGTCATTGAGGGTGAAATCGGTAGGAATGTACTTGGCCTTCTGCCACAGCCAGAAGCGTTTGCGTTTCACCACCACCGTCAGGAGGGCGATCGTGTCGTTCAGGCTGGACACCGGGATCAGCAGACCGCCGCGGTCCACCTCCTGCACGAAGTTCCTGGTGGCCGTGGCGAACATCTGCAGGCGGAACGAAGTGCGTGAGGGACGCGGGCTCCTCACAGCAAAATAACGAATATTTAAAAGGAATAAATCACTCGCAATCACTTTTTTAAAAGTAGAGGACGTCAGAGGAGCGGCGTCGTCCAGCTAACGCAAGAGTCTCGAGTTGAAAAAAAAAACACCATCGGAACAAAACGCGTATGCGACGTGTGTTGCTGCTCACCTTGAATCCCTGTTCTAGCGAGGAACCTGACGTCGAACGTGGACGGTGGCCAGACTTTCAGATTAGATAAAGTCGGTTGTGCGGATGTTTTGGAGAAACCACGCGCAGACTCAGTGAGTCAGTGACACGCCCCTTTTCTCTCTGTAGAGAAGGGGGGGGGGGGGGGGGGGCGTGTCCCTGTGTAAAACATGATCACGTTCATAACATCAAATAAATAATAATAATGATGATGGGGTTGATGATAATGAGACTACTAATGATGCTATTGTTTTACTATTATTAACTGTATTTTTTTTACAATTAGTATTTGTTATTTTCAGTAGTTTTAGCCGTAGCAATGGTAGCATTAAGCTGAACAATAACAACAATATTTTTCACGGTACTTTTGTTTCTTTCTCCTCAACAAAATGAGCTGTTTCGGGTATCAAATGTCAGATTGGTACGTCACGTTTTATGCGTGTTATTACTTCAACAGGACATAAACCCTCGCTGAAGGGGATGTCAAGAGATGCGTCAATCGTAATAGACTGCGGGTCAGCTGTCATAGTTTATCACAGACTTTGATCAGTGCAGGTAAGGACGCTATTAAGCTGAGTTTACTGAGGGCTTTGTTCTGTCTTTAGTGGATATTCGTTGCCACCTAGCGGCAACAAATAAACACTTCAGCATCTTAAGCACCAGCTTATCTTCTGGAATCATGTTCACACCATTTCTGATTTATATTAGATCAGTAAGCAGTATCGTACTTTATTATGCGTTAGTATTCAATTAGTTAGACCAAGTGTTCCCCCAGCTGTGTCACACTATCGTTCACCCTCGTCCCACATATGAAATTAACTCAGTGATGAAACTTTTATTTTGTGGAGATTCACCTTCAGTTGTATAATTGTGTCACAGCCAAGATAATGGGAAGGGCTCTTTCAAGACACTATCGCTTGTGTCTTTAAACAAATGCCTTTCCTGTCCTCCTGAGGTACCAGCAGTATTCCTGTGGCTCACAATTTGATGGCCCAGAGAATGATAAAAGAGCTGCGCTGAAATAAGTTGAACTTCTTCTCCTGTGGACGTGTGAATATCAAAACTGATGATTTAGTTTTCTCTTTTGTCTTCTCTTTTACGACTAGTCAGCATTTTATTTAATGAGCAATGTGCGACCCAGAGCATTTCATCGATATCTCTGCCCCACAATACATACACTGTTACCTATACGACATTGTAGTGATCTTAATACATGTTTTACATTTCTTGAACATACAGGTTTGTCCGGATCTTGCCATTTGCAACGTGCAACCAGAATGCAAGTTACAATTGTATTCTTAGCTTCATAGCTTTCAGAGTTATGAAAAAATGCCACAATGACCAAATGAAAGCATTAGAGATTTTTATTGGGCTCATGGAGCATAGTTTTTGGACACTTTTGGTCCAAAAGGAAGACAATGGTGCAATGACAGAGATAGAGTGACATTCTTTTGCTACTGCCATTCATAGTTGCACAATCATTCACACACTCATAGCAAAAAGCTGAAATCACTCTTCTGAGACCGAAAGAAAGGTTGTGTGAGAGTTTAAAGATAACGCGAACAATCCTTGTTTTGGTCCATGAAAAAAACACATTGTTTAAAAAGATCTCAGAGATGCAACAACAATAAATTAAAACAAAAGAGTACAACAAGTAAGGCATCAGGCAGGAGCAGAATAAATATTGTATGTGTGTACCCTTCATCAATGGCATATCAAGGCTTGTTTATCTCAGAGGTAGAAAATGTCCATGATGAGACAAGAGCTGAAAGTCGTCGTTGGTCAAAACGTTTAAGCTAGTGTAGACCAGTTAACATTTTAGTTTTTCTTCATACCGAGTAGTTTCTCTTTCCTCGGTTTATGTGGTACAGTGTATCGTATCGGGTGAAAAGATGGGCAACATTTGCCGAATGACTCAGCAATCCTATAAAATGTTTGCATAAACATGTTCACACAACTTAAGATAAGCACTTGCTATTAAGGCAATAACTTTGATGAACCGCAGCAAAGAGGACCGGTGCTGGATGTTGATGGTAAGACTGTGGATGCAGAACCCAGTCTTGATCACAGTAGAGGTTGTGCAGTTCAATATGTGCAAGATCTGCTGTTCAGCGGTCACCAAAGTACAGGGAAATCTATTTGGGTGAAGCCAGGGTCCTTCCGTAGCTCCCAGTATGTGTTGTTGCTCACCCAGGTATCATCCTTTGACTTCCTGCGGAGGCAGAGGAAAAGAAGTGATCAATATCGTGGAAGATAGTTGAGATGGAAATTCCGATATGCTGCATAAAACACCTTTTACTGTAAGAACACCCACTTTCCCACAGATTAAAGAAACTAATACATCTTGATTATTACGCTACCTGAAGAATTTAGGTTGATGTGTTTCATTGTTCTCCTCCAGGACTTTCCTTCTCTCTCTCTGCAGCTCTTCAATCCGCTGCTTATGCTCCTCTGCAGCCTCCAAGTTCCCCGTCTCCAGCAGCCTGCCAGCAGAGCACATCCATTATGCAGAGATGTTACAACATTCATCAATAATATACAAATGTAAGCCTTATGTTCTTTGGATTTAAATCATTTCTGTTGTATCGCACTGTGTTTTCTTACTGATGAGATTAAATTTGTGTTGTCAGATTTTTTTGTCTGGAACCAGAAAATATAGGATTTAGCTTTTTGATGGACTAGAAGTGTTTTTTTTCTTCATTGAAGTGTTCCTCCTGTGAAGTATCCGCATGGTGTTGTGCTGTGAACACTTCAGACTTTCAAACCGTAGTTCAAATTTGTTTGGTGAATCTGAAAGTATCTGCCTTTAGTTGCTATTTTTGTATTTATTTACCGGTCGAGATGTGATTGATATCCGTGTCAGATGATGAAAGGTGCTCAGATATTCACTGTAATTGAGCCGTTTATTTCTACATGGATGCCAGATGATGGACTGATTCTCTGACAGAAAACTCCCATAACAATGTCTGTAAAAATCGTCTTCCTCTTTACGGACATTAAAGAAATCAGGTTGCTGAACGGCGACAAGCCACTACTCACGTGCATGAAAATACGGTGGTTTATTTTTTGTACCTTTGGTCCACACGCAGTCGGGTGTCTGAGGGTGGCAGCAGCAGCTGCAGCGACGGGTCCAGCTCGTTCAGCTCGATAGCAAACTTGGTGAAACCATAGTACTGCTCAAGGTCTACTGGCATTGCATCTGCATCACACACAAATAAAATCCACCGCGTTAGAGAAGCTGTCAATGGAAGATAATAGATCTTGTGAAAGGAACTTGTCATACTGGCTCTCCAGACGCATGTGGCTGAGGGCGGGTCTCCGCAGAAAACTGCTTCCTGCCACTTTCCAAAGAGTCTGTGGACGACCTTCCCTTTATTATCTGTGACGGCCCCCTCTACCTCGTTCCCACTCGAATTCCAGTATTTCGCCTGGGAAAAGAATCGGAAGGTGGAGATGAAGAACGTTGTTCCGTCCTCTTAGTGTGTACCAACAGAAGATGCAGCGATGGCAATCACGTCCTCTTGCTGTCAGCAGGTGTCATTGTTGTGTAAATCATTCACGGGGCCCACTGGGAGACCAGTGCGCTTAATGGGAGATGAAGATGCATAATGATGTCTGACATTGTCTGGACTTGCTCCCCCGCACAGCTTCAGGAGGGCTTTCAAATGGGCACAGGCTAAAGCAATTAACCTTCTCCTCTCAGTAAAGGCTTCCGTACATCAAACACTGAAAACATCGAGGGGTTCTTGGTGCACTGCAGCTGAAGAGCACCATCTGTGTCGAAGGTTTGTGCACTAATGAAGCGACTGCAGCACGCTTTATGCGTGTGGGTGACCCACGCATGCGGAAAAAAGGCCCTTTTAACTGCTTATAGGTTATTAAGACTAGAGCCTTTGGGGTTGACAGGTGGATGACTACCACCCAAATTGTATAGCAAATGAGAGACAGAGAGGGAAAGAAAAAAAGTGCAACTGTATGATGTATCTAGAATACCGTACAGGACTTTTCACTATATAAATAAGTTAGAATTAGGATTCAAAGTGGTGTACAGGTACAATATCAGTCCTTAAGGCCATTAATAGCATTTGGTATTAAAGGGAGGCTTGTGTATTTAAAAACGTTCACCAGAAGCTGCTATGATGTTGGAGCTGAATGAAGCCCTGCATACAGCTACTAAATGTAACCTGTTTCATGCCTCACCTTAACAAAAGTGATCTTACACTGACAAATATCACTGCTGGAGTTTCTGATGGAGATCTCCCCATAGTGCTCAATCCAGCGCTGTCCACTGAGGATGTTGTGGATGCAAGACGTCACTTTGTTCCACTCGTAGTGGTCACCAAAGCTAAAGGAGTGGGGATTAAAAAACAACGTACCTTTTAGGATGACAGATTAAATCATTGCTTCTTAATGAATGCGGTCAGTGGACTGTAAAGTCGGCGTGTCTGTCCAGTCATTGAGTAAATTATAGATGCAGAAAAGAATCACCCCGGCAGAGTTACGTGAGTGGTGCCAACAGGAACGATCTCCATTGACTTCCCCCAGAACTTGTTCTTACACCTCACATCTAAATGAAAAAAAGAAAGGAAATTGTTCACATTAACGTTTATTTTATGAACGCAACTACTGCAATCTTCACCGACAGGAGCGATGGTTCAAATTCATTCTCTACATTCCACTACCTTGCCAGAAGAGGAAGTTTTTAGACTCTGCGTGGCAGGCTGAGATTGGTGGGTGATGGCTGACCTGACGGTGTAAAGGGTAACAAAAAGCATGCTTTCAGTGCATTATCATTATCATTACTGTAATTGTGGATTGCAGAGGAATTAGAGTTCATGGATACCTGTTCTGCAACAAATCGCAAGCCTTTATCTGGCCTTTCGCATTCATACGTCTCCCCCAGGACGGGGTTGAAAGGCTTTCCCCCAGTTCTGTAGTAGCTGGATGCATAGCCTGATACAACGAACGTAGCTATGTAAACCTGAACAATGAGAAACCAATACAGTTAGCAGGGCTTTATTTTCATATCGGAATAATGAGTCGCCTCATCTGATGTGCAGCAAAAGGCTGCATTTACCTTGTGAAACCATGAGGATAAAAAAGATTGAACAAGCTGAGATAGATCATCATTTTAAAGCATCATATGTTATACATTCATTTAGTTTTACTGCATTAAGCATGGTAAATGTCCTCCAACACAAAACAACGTCCAACCAAAAAGTCATGTAAATGTGACCAAAAGGAAACACTGAAAAGAGGCAGAATCTTCCTGCATGAAAGCTGCAGACAGATATTAGTTTATCTTGCACACAATGTCCCTGTCTAGAGAAACTGCCCGACAAAATAAGTGCTTTTTTTGCCTTTTACAATTATTTGCCAAATGTTGACTGGATTATCGAGCCAGTTTGCTTCCAGCTGCAAACAACAACTGTTGTGGCTTTTTCTCAAATTGCCCTCCGATGCCAACAGGAACTGAATCATGATGTTGAAATGAATGTCGGTTTGGGCGGTTTTTATTAAATGGTGATGCCAAACAGTGGAAAGCCCAAAAGCCTGTTGTCGTCCATATAAAAAGTGAATTTATCCTTTACATCTGCAACTGCTGTGAATGTCTGTTTATTATTCTAATATGTTTGGACACTAAACATTTCGTACCAATACATTTGTCTGGCTTCTGCCATTACAATTAAGGAATAGCTTTGCAGATTTGGGAAATGTATTCATTGTGCTTTGTCAGCTGTTAGTCTTAGTTTATAGTATTTATGTAGAAACTGTGAAACAGCTCACCTGGTTCTACACCATGTTTATCAAATCAGCTTGTGTACGGATTGAAGAAATAGATAGAAAATGTTAACTTGTCAGTTTTAGAAGTAGTTATCTCTTTTCAACTTGGAGACAATGACGTTTTGGTTTTCATGCTAAACAAAAACTAGTCATCTCCTGATTACAGCTTTATACTTACTTTTAACTTTATACCATTAGCTTTGTTTGATTTCTTTATCGAAACCCCTAAAATACAATTTTCTCATTCAAAATGAGCATTTCAAATGCACAAGCAGAATGGACAAATGTGCCTCCCGCCAATTCTAGCAGCAGAAAAAGAAACCGTTAAAAAGGTTTCTTATTTAAAGTGCTAAAAGTGACGTGCGATAAGGACTCTCTGCTCAAGCACCAAAACAATGAATGTCCCGTCTTACCATGCGTTCGAAGGGGTCCTGTGTGTTAGCAGCCTTGTCCAGCAGCTCGCTGTACTCCAGCTCCTCACACAGCCTCTGCAGGGTGTTGAGGGGCTCATTAAGTTGTACAGGCATGGCCACTTTGGACAGGTCTTTGCCGATGTTGTTCCTCAGGATGTTCCACAGGCTGATGGTGCTGTTGTTGGGGCTGGGCGAGGGCAGGCAGGATCGACGCTGATAAAGGACAGAGCCTTCTGCCACAGTGTCTGCGAACAGATGGCGTAAGAGGTCAGGAGACCCAAAAGCTATTGGTGGGGTTAATGCAACCAGCAAATATGAAAATTGCATTGAGGTCAATTTAGTATTTTCCAGGTTTATTAAATCTGGTCCAAAGCATTTGTCCCGTAGTTTACCTGAGTTTGGTCTCTCACCTTCGGTCTCATTGCTGAGGTTGTCTATGGAAATGTTGTCGCTGATGTCACTAATGTATGAGTCATCCTCTGATACCTAAAAAAACATCAAAACTTTAGCAGGTGGATGCATTCTTCATACCGCTTGCAGAAAGGGCAGCGCAGGTCTCTTTCAACGTGGCTGCAGAAAATCTACTGACTTAGAGATGAATTGTCCTTTGGGACTCTGTGACTAATTTTGTACCTCAACTTGCTGTATTTTTAGATTAAAGTAATTAACTTCAATTTTCCCATTACTTTCTCTCTGCAGCTGTGATCTGATCTGGCGTGCTGCAGCAACACTGACGGAAAGGGAAAAGGAAGTGAGGACTTGTTTTATGGCACATGCCTTTGAGGCGATGGTTTCTCTTTGAAATGGAGCAGGACTGAATTGTCACAACGTGCTTAACGGTTGCAAACATTTTACAGGCGTACTGGATTAAATGAAGAGCGATGAATAAATCCAGAACATCTGGTGGCAATTTTGTTTAAGGCCCTTCTGTCTGGATTTATTTTTCTCTCCATGCTTCTCATCAAACAATAGTTGCAGCAAACAAGACAAATTACATCACGTGACTACATTTTACAATGACATTAATAATTCCACTAAGCCACAAATAGCAGTTTACCCCACTGACCAATTCTGAACTGCTGACAGTAACAGTTGAGCTCCCACACTTACCTCATTTTCAGAGGAACTAGCGGATAGTAAAACTTCTTGTGCATCGAAGAACTCGGTCATAGACTCTGTGATTGAAGCTCCGCTCTCATTAGATATCTGGTGTACGAGGGGACGGGAGTCATCGACAGAGTCCTGTTTCTAGGAGACACAGTGTTCACAGATATAAGTAAGAGCAAAAACAGGGCAACATCATCACAGCCAGAAGAGGTGACGATCAATGTGTGGATAGAGAGAGTTTAGAAAAATCATGCAATATATATTGAACATATATATATATACAACAATACAATATATATTGAAGACAGTCACGTATAAAACATTCATTTATGCTCCAATTTAGAATTTAGATTGTATTATGAAATGAAATTCAGTTTCATCGAATTTTACGTGACAACAAAACACAGAAAAATCAAAAGAATTATGAAAACCGAATGTTCATGGAGTCACTTTTTTTTCTGCCATTATGTAAACGGTTAAAAAGCCAAACAATGAACTCTACAAATCAGAACACTTCAGAGTCAAAATTCTACAAAGAAGTTTGCAATTTACACTATATTGAGAAAATATTCTATGAATTAAACCAATATATTGAGACTGTATCACAATGTAAGTCTGTATTAGCCAGCCAGAAGGGGAAGTGTGTCCACTCACCCTCCTGTCTGTGTATAAGTGTTGGACATAAAACAAGATGCAAATTCAAAAAGAACTCATAGCTTGTGATCATTATTCTGAAAACAAGTCAAAGCAAGTAACTACAAAAGATAATCACTTCCCACAAAACCAAACATGGAAACAAGCATGTCGCTTTGTTTTTGCTGAAGCTGATCAATTATCTTGGGGGGAATCTCAGAGGAGGCCCATCAGTTTTGCACTGTGTGTTCAAACAACTTTCCAGAGAGTTGATTAAGTTCAGCTCACACTCTCTGGTCAGCAAATCAGATTTTAAAAGTGCAAAGAGCTTCTTGTAGGAGACGATAATGTGATAAGCGTGTGACCGAGAGGAAGCACTTTGTTTGAACAAACAATGGAAATTCAAATGTTGTGAGGCGGCTGTGTTCCCTTGAAGTTTGTGGTGAAGAAAACGATGCATACTTCTTTTTATAGCCATTGTTTTTATGAAAGAAAGTTAGTTGAGTGAGGGGGTGTGAAGGGAAGCAACTTTTGTTGGATCTGGCTGAGAAAGGAAGGGACAGCTCATTCATTCTGAGGCAAAGACAGGACTGCGGGGGACGAAAGTATAGAACAGAGATAATGATAATCACAGTGATGGTGCGGGGAAAAGGGAGCAGTGTCACAACATCGCCGCACCCACCTGCACAGGGGCAGTGAGGTTTAGTGTGGGCTCTAGGATGTGGGACTCGGCATGAATCTTGCTCAGGCGCTCCCTCAGCTCATAGTTCTGGGCTAAAGCCTGGGAAGACAACCAGCGTAAGCATTGTTTATAGCACACACAAACAAATAATGGCTGGATGATGAGATGAAATCCTTGCTTATTCCACGCATTGCAGCTGCTTTTTTTTTTCTTCCGAAAGCAGCCATTTGCCAATACTACAGCCGCATGTGTTATCACTACAGACTCACTACAATTCTCACAGTCAGCCAACTGTTAAAGTCAAAGAAATGTGTCAGCGTGGCAAAGAGTGCGTAAGCGTCAAATAGAAAGAGGCCCCTGGGTGGGCGGCAGCAGCCACAGGAAACATGACTGAGGAATGTGGTCATGTTCAGGTGGGCAGGTAATAATCATTCCAAGAGGCTCGACGTCGTGTCGTGCCCTCCGAGAGGAATGTAACGGAGGAAAAGAAAGTTATTTCTACCGAGTGACTGATAACATTTCTGTGTCTTTGTGTGTGATTTCACGTACCGTTGCCAGTGTGTTCTTCAAACCGACAACCCGCGGTGAGGTGGGGGGAATCGTTTCGTGGTTGACACATTGTTTTAATCGCTCTCGCTCAGAGGTTAGGGAACTCAGGGCTGTCTTCATGGTCAAATGCACTGCAGCAACAAGGGGAAAATAAGGGGGCTTCAACTGGAAAACATTTCGCAATAAATTCTGGGTAATTCAGTTACTAGTTTATTGCACAAGACATTGTGTGTAAAATCAGATTGCTCAGCAAGCCAAAATCTGTTGGGCAGAAAACTAATTGAGACCTCTATTTGCTAAACTTTGTGGTGTATCAATGTAAACTTTCCACTAAGCGACAAGTAGGGGACATAGTGACAGGACACATCCTCAGAATCCCAATGAACTGAGACAACTGCCATGGTTGCACCATTGTCACATCCAACTGTTATAGACAGAATAACCATGCTTATCATATCTATTATGCAAATAACACAGATCCATGTTATAAGTTAAACATTAAATTTGACACACGTCCCTAGAATTCGACATGGTAAATTAGAATGACGTCAAATTGAAAGCTCACAATATTGGACTCACGGTTGGTGGCAACGCGGAAGAAGTCCTCATGCAGCTTTGCCACATCAAAAGTGGAATCAACTGATTCAGTGTCGGCCTTGTCATTGGCGAGTGCAGCGGTGGAGAGGTTGGGGTTGGAGGCGTGGAGGCGGATGGAGCCGGAGGAGATGCAGCTCGGTACCTTCAGTAGAGCGGGAGTAGAACTTTGGAGAGACTCACACAACAAAAGCTCAAATACAATCACACTTGATCGTCGTGAAGTCTACCTGCAGAGTGCTTTTGACATCTTTGTTGTAGTTTTTAGTGCACCATTTCCTCGGTAGTCTCTTTTCCTTCTTGGGGCTGTCAAATGTAGATGCCTCGAGAACCAAAGGAAAAGATATTTATGTTTGAGGACAAAGAAGTGTTTTTTTTATTGTTGGCAGTAAGGTCTAAGTGTATTCTATATTTAGCGGCAATGACATGGCAGCGTAAGACAATTGGTGGAGAGACACGATAAAAGACAAAACAAGACAAAAGCCGAAGATTCTTAGTCATCCAATATGTTTGATTCGATGAGGATAATTTACTTGCCAGTTTCTCAGACCTAATATTAAATCACAATTATAATGAGCAACTCGGCTCTGCATGTCAAGTGAAATAAACCAGGGATAACGTACTGACCTGCAGTGCCTGGATAGACGGAGCAGAATAGGTCCGGTGCAGGACCTCCATACTCTGAAGCAGGTGGCTGAGCTCCAGCAGGCCCGCCTCACAGACTGACAGGTCTGTTGAGTGTAGGAAAAGGAAAAGTAGGGCAGGGATAAGCAAAAACACAAAGGGCAGTACACTTGCAAGTTAGTTGTTTGGAAAATGTTGAGAGGACATATCATCAGAATGCTGATGGCCGTTGTACAGTTGATTAGTTCTGTCTACAACTCAACAACATAATGCCAGTCGTACTTGCAAATAAGACAGCGAGTGGACATATATTGGTATTAACTGATTAAAAAAACTCACCAAGCTTTGTTCCCCCGCCTTGCTTACTCTGAATGGCAACCGTAGCTGTAACTAGGCGGCTCCGAATCGAACTCAGACCATCATGCACGGATGCCGTGCCGTGACATTTGGGTTCAATCCCGGATTGAACCCAAATGTCAATAATGGCTCTCGGCCATTTGCACAGTTTATCGACACGTTGCTTGGAACCCAAAAGAGGCAAGGGCAGTCACATATTAAGAGGGACAGCTCAACTGTCTCACCTTTGGAGCACTTGTCCATGTCGTCAGATGACTGGAGCCAAGCAGCAACCTTGGCCTGGCTGTGGCAGCTTGGAGGAAAGTCTCCTGCAGAGTTCCCCATGGACTGCCTCTGTGTAGTCACGCACTGCGGGAGCAAACAGACCTAAAGGCTAATTTATACAATTGCAATATAGGAGGACTTTGACTTGGGTAAATATTGTAGCGGAAGCTGAGAAGATTCTATCTTTAATAGGCTCCTTTCAATTTAAAGTGTGCTCATATACCTTTCTGATAGATGCGCTCTCCGCCATGCTGGAGGAGATGGGGGAGGGGTAGTGGGGATAGTAGAAGGACTTCTCGGTAGGGTACAAAGCAATCTCATTTTGCCGATAGAGCCGATGGTGACGCAGCTTGGAAACCCATTCATCAAACAGCTCCTGTGACTTAATCTGCAGGTACAACAGCCAGGAATCAACGTGGCGTGAAGGTTGAAAAACACACACACACACACACACGTACTATAATTCTCCGCCTCTCACACACTTTTAAAGCCTTTTCATGTTAGCAGCCGTTCCAGGTATCAAAAAAGAATCATCAGAATAATCCATGTTCAACATCACTTCCAGTAGATCTGTAGGGACTGCTTTAAATGAATTAGCCTTGCGGTTTACCTTCAGGTGATAGATGTTTTCCTCAGCATCAAAATCAATACACTTGGCTTTTTTCTTAATGGCCATGACAGAGAGACCAACATCGATGCAGCCATGCAGTTTATTCCTTTCAATCTGCAAGGCAAAGGTAACAAACACAAATTGGACGTATAATTAGGCGAAATGAACCGATAAGATGTGATTCCTATTAGTATCAATATCAAATAGATTGTGTGGGGATGTGGGCCTTTCATATCTACGGTCACGGAAAGATATTTTGGCAGAGACAGGCAGCAGTGCAACAACACACAATCCTTCGTGTCCTTTGTGATCTTCCGTAAGTGACAACCAATGCCAGCGGGCCTTTGTACTCACATCAGCACTGCACTTGCCGTACTTCAAGATGCCCTTGTCCAGGAAGAAGTATCTCTGTGGGGAGAAGGGAGTACAATGAGAGCATGAGATGCTGCCGGAATGACGTGCAACACCCCTGACAGCGAATCTTAAGTCCCTGCTCTGACAGAGTGATCATTACAGAATATGCCTCTTGTTAATGCATGTTATTAACCTCTCTGCAGTGAGATGTTTCTCATCCCAGGCTCTTGTCTTCCATTTTGTCTGCCTTTATTAATCTTATCCTCCTGCTGTTGTAATCTTTCACCTGACCTCTCTTTGTGAATGTGACTCTTGCACGAGGCACAAAGCTCTCCCGGTGAGTCAATACTAAATGTATACAGGCCATCAGCTAATGCAGCCAGGTAGTATCATCCCAGCGAAAGCTTTTAGACAGTCATTGACCGCGGCCACATGTGACTCCTCTGTGGGTGGAATTCGTCAACTGCGAAAGATCATTCAATTAGTTAAAAACACAAATCAGTCGTGTAAGCAGATTTTTAGAAAAGGAACATGGAAAGCGGCAGCTTCAAGAAATGGAAATTGCACTCAGTTGACAAAAGCGCCTAGAAATACGTTGTTAAGTCCATTACTCGCCAAGAATTGGTGGTGTGAGGCATTCTGTGTCATTTAGGAACCTTGCAGGTGAATATACCTTATGCCATCCCTTCATTGGCCACTTCCTTCTCTTCAGCATGAAGCCCTCTTGCTTCTGGGGCTCCAGGACACTGCTGAAGCCTCCTCGCAGGCCCTCCACTATTTCCCAGCTGTCCTGTGGGCACAAATGGTTTCAGGGAGCTTTGACATGATGTATAGATGCTAAGCAGCTTGTGCACACCCATGCAGATCAAGGTTGCTGCAAGGTCAGGTTACCTAAAACTCATGAATCATCCCCATTACAAAGTCAAAAGCACGTATCAATTTGTGTGTGTGTACAATTTCAGTCTTTCAGTGTAGAGTCGCTCTGTGGGAGGATGCTGCTGAGACGAGAGCTCAGGGACAAATTCAACCCGGTGAAATTTGGTGTCCACTGTGGAGCTTTACACACTACTTTTCAACCTCACGGTCCCATTTTGAAAATTAGCTTAGCTGTCTGATCTCAATGCCTTGACAATAATAATTTCCTGACTGAGATTAGAACACACTCCAAATCCTACTGCAAATAAAGAGATTTCATCACCGACTAATCCGAACAGCTCTGCTGTGTACTTCCGCGGCAATAATTCCAGGAGGGTTTTGTAACATTTTTGTTATTAGGGGTTAATGTTTATTTCTCTTAAATTTGGAAACATACCCTTAATATATTATAACATTCGAGGATACAATCTATGGGTTTATAGTCTGAAAACACATGGACACCAGGGTAGGACGAACCCTCAGGAGCAGGCCGGGACTAATTTGCCAAACTGGTTCTGCAGTTTTATTGCAGATTTAGCTCAAAAATACGCCCCCCCCTCCCCACCCTTTGAGGTCTGAGGTGACACTGTGTTATTTATCTCAGTGTGCCTCTGAATGTTCCAGTGTGTTACGGCTTGGACTAAACACACTCTGTCACAGTCACAGTGGCTGACTGCTGCAGGTGAGGCCGGCTAGAATAAACACTCCTTCCTGTAGGGGGGTCGGGGGAGATGGGGCGGGCGTGACTTGTGGGCTGGTCACTTTCCCCTTCACGTTCACCACAGTGACACACTCACAACGTGAGTCATTGTCACACAATGCTGCCTGGGCAATTCTTCCTCAAGGTCAAAAATATTTCCATAGATATCTGACAAGAAGGCAGCTGCTCTGTTGAATGGTAAATGGATCGACCGCCTCTAAAGCTCACTATATATGTTGTTTGTTTTAACCAAACAGAAAGATGCTAGTATCTTATTTCACTCACTGGTGTTTGATTACAACAAACTGGCATTTTACACACGACTCCAAATGTGTCCACATTGGGAAGAAAAGATGAGGCCGTCTCCCCTGACTTGCATTTATAGAATCAGTCAAAAGTTAGGAAAGACTTTCTCATTGAATTGAATGAGAAAACTTGTCTAAAGGTTTGACCGGTACTGTATATGTATAGAGAGCCGAACACAACCCTGCGAGAGAACGCCTGAGAAAGCGCAGGGCCAGAATTTTCCCAAGACACAGATATTCCCGAGGACAGGCAATAGCTTCGTTTGCGCCACTATACAGTCAGAAAAAAGAATGTGGTTCTCCCAAGCGCCCCTTCACTGTCAACACTGCCGCGCGTTACCTGTCGGCTGTCAAGTTTGGACGAGGCGCTGCTGTTGCTGCGGGACGCAGAGGATATCTTCTGCGACATGGCTGAGCTGCGCTCCTCTGAACCCATCGCTGCAGAGTGGCCGGCGCAGGCTACGGCTGGAATACCCGGAACATTCCTCTACTAAGAGCAGGAGAGAGGGTGGGAGGAGAGATGGCTTTAAGAGGCAAAGCCCTTTAAAAGCCTTTTAGGTCGGTCCCACTAAAAAATGCATTAGGTTGTTTGGAGCGATTAGTTTCTCCATTTTCAAAAAGCAGAATGTGGGATGCAACGAGGAGAAAAGCCACACAGAAGAATTCTGAACATTAAACACTAAATTAAATTTAGAGACAAGACGCAAGGATATAAATTGTCGTAGGAAAAGAAGATGTCACAGGTTTGAATAATTCATATTTTGCCCTTACGGAGAGTGATTCATTGTTAGCATTCAGGGATTACATGAATCTAAATTACACACAAGAAGTACAGAATGTGCATGTAGCAGTGTTGGAAGATGTAGTCAGACCCAAATGAAAGCAATACTGAAATACTTACTAATACTGCAACTTGCAAAAAGCCAACATATCCTTAATTAAGGGTATTATCAAATACTAGAACCACCAATTAAATTAATCTATTTTTTATGAAATGTATGAAATGATAACAACATAGTAACACGTTTCTAGAGCCTATAGTGACATCTGCAAATTGTTTGTTTTGTCAATGCAAGTGTAAAGTTTGTTGGGACTTTAACCATGTGCTTGAAACAAAGAGAGTTGGCCTGTAGGGTCAAATATACTTTGTTTTATTTCTAAGAGCAGTTTTCTGTGATTGCTTATAGCTGGAATAAAGCCTGTGCTCAAATCCATTCCTTCGTTGTTCACTCTGAATGTGGAATACATTTTGACTATTGAAATATTGAGCGCTCACAAATTTGGAAAATCTATTTATATTCTGTATATCTATATTCTTTAAATTCCCATAGGACCAAATAAACAAACAGGCTCCCACTAGATGCTACAGGAAACTCTGTTTGAAGACCAGCAGCCTCAGGAAGAGCTTCTTCCCCTCAGCTGTCAGTTTATTAAACAGTTGCTATTTTTATGTATTCCTGTGCTGCTTATCAAGCACACTGCACTGCACCCGTACTGCTTTGTTTGCCCTTCTAGTTGTTAAAACCGCATTGTGTCCTCCTAGTACTTGTATTCTGTGCAATGACACAGTTTAATCTGAATCTAAAAAAGGAAACTGTAACCTCCAAATATTTGACATTTTGATTTTGTTGTCCCGTTTTTTTTCTCCCATTGAAAATGTTTGGATGATCACACCGCCGACGCGCACTGAATTTAGACACTCCATGTGTTGACAACCACTTTGGAGCAGCACCAAGGTTAATCACATTTACCCGCCCTAGCAAGCTTTGTGCTGCATAATGGCCACAGACAAAACCGTGGTCATGTGACCGTCCTTCCACTGCTCTGTCCGTGGACCGCAGGCCGAGCTCGACACCCCGAACGCAGCCACAACAATCCATCAAAGTCACAGGACTCACAAAAGGACCCAACTGCAGGAAAGCGCTAATTGTGCGTTTGGACAGCTGGACAAAAACCCAGAGCGGCTGAGAGACAAACAACCATGATTTATGAGATACTAAATGTAATCCATCCATCCACTCCATCCTCTCCATCTCCTATGATTTATTCAACAACTTTCCACTGATCACACCTGCTTCGCTCAGCTCAGGAACACCGTCACCGTTAAGGGCACCTTTTCATCTCATCTAACAACGCCACTTGTCAGGCTCTGATACGGCAACGACCCTTTCTGTCTGCAGAGCACACGCTCTACAACGCCATGAGGGAGAGATAGAAAAGTGATGCAATAAAACTACATCAGATTACTGCTGCAGGGGTTAAGATTACTATTATTAGGGATTTCCTTTTACTTCACTTGCGACATGAACACAAATATGTACAAACATTTACAAAACCTGCTGAGGGTCAAATAAAAGAGGCATCAGAAATGTGCAACAAAGCAACTGCTGACTGCTCAAAAAGAATAATAATGATGCATTTTGCTGTGTTTTTTTTCTGGAAAACCTTTTTCTGACTTTACAAAGAATTGTTGTTTTCCCATTAGATGTTTTTATCTACGAGGCAGTATGGACGAAATTTATATCAGAATAAACCACAGCAAAACCATTTCAATGTATTAAAGTGAATTGTAGACCTGTGTTTAGTGGACAATAACTGAAAACTCTTCAAACAGTATACAGAATATAGAAAACAAATCATTGGAAATCTAAAGCCGGGACACATTTTGAATAAGACGTAACTTCTCATGAATAAGTCAGACATTTCTTCTTTGTCTTAAGGAACAGATATACACACAGATGTTCTTTCCAAAGGCTAAAGGAGTGTCCTGGCAACTACTGGATTGATGTCGTGAAATTTGACACCAGCCATCATGTCCTGTCCTGGATGAATTGTGTTACGCAACATGGGCTGTAACCAACAATTATTTACACAAATTGTTCACTTCCTGAAATTTCCCTTCTGAGCAGCTGAGATTTTAAGCCTTTCAAAATTCATATGCCTGATTTTGTAACATTAAGGCATTCCAACCCTGAGTGGGCTATAGATTTGAGTTGAAGTTATAGATGGTTTAATGTTCTTTTAAGCCGCACTAACTCGATTCGCTGCAGCTGAAAGCCCTCTATTACATTCTGCAGTTCACGTTGCACATGTTCGCCGGTCCTTCCCGTCTCCAGAGTCTGCCTGAAGCCTGACAAGCCCAGCAGCATCACTAGGCATCATTAGGATGTGACTTACCAACATCTCATGGCTTTTCTAGTTCATACAGCCTTATACAGTTTGCAGTAATGACGGGAAACACTGATGCATTAAAGCCACTCAAAGAAGTTGGGTTGGCAAATACATTTAAACACTCAGTAAAAGCCAAACAAATTTTAGGAAGATGCAACACTGCTAGTGAGTTCAGTAGTGTCGAGGTGCTTTGAGAGGTTTGCATGATTACAAAGATGGAATGTTTATAATCATCCGAAGCGGGTTTGTCATAGGCACAGATATTATTCCTCCTGCTTTGGAAACAGAACCGCCACAAAGAACGTTTTCTAATAGCGGTTTCCCCCCAAAGGAGACAGAGTGCGTTCTAATTTCATGTGTCTGAAATGAACCACTTTGATATCACTGGTGTTATTGCATCTGTGCTTTACCCTGCTGGGAGGATGCCACTTAGTCTCTGTGATTTCATTACGTGAAATGCGGAACAACTATTTCTTGGGTGGGGAAGAAAAACCCTGGTATGGATGCAGCAACGGAAATAGTGCGTAAGTACAGTGAGAGTCAAACACTTTGGGAAAGGCTCTCATTTGGTTTCTTTAGGGAGTAAGAAGAGAAGATCGACAGACATATTAATGTTCACATCTAACTGCTTTAGCAAAAAGATTTCCCCTTGCAGGATGGATAAAATATCCATCTATCTATCTGACTAATTCAGCACGACAGCTATAAGGGTATTTACGAAAAATGCACGTCATGTCTTACTACATATTTAAAATTGAATACAAATAAAACGTAGTACTAAAATGCAATTCCCCCCAATTTCACTTATAGAACTAAAAAAGGAATTACTATGCACAGTTTACTTGACTGAATCAACACTTAAGCGCCATACAGACAAGTGAGAACTGTCTCTTATCAATAGTGTCTCATCATATCACCATAAACAGTAGTCGATGGGTTCAGATCGGGGACAAATATGAATGCATTGGGTTTGAGTTAAGGCCCTTCAACAGGCTGCAATCGTTTGTGGAGTTACTGTATCATGGAGAATGGAACATGGGAATATGCCATATCCCCATTTAAGTATTTATTTCTTTATGGAAATATTCATGCAGCATTATCTAGAGCAATATCTACTCACTCAAAAAATGGACACAGAGACTAAATGCACAAAATGAGATGTATTATTCATCGGCACATCTCTCGAAAAAAGCACGGTAACCTTTGCCAGCCCACATAATCCATCATGCCCCTCAACGGCTTAAGACATCGTGGTGACAGGTCGCCAAGGACAAGAGGAGCTACTCCAAAAACCAAATCCACACTGCGGAGCTTAAGGCGTGCGCGTCCGTCTTTGCCCTCTTCAGTCTTTCATTTTTAGAGAGCTGAAATGGAGTTTTATGCATTCTACTCTGTCACCCAAGAGAAAATGCTTGTTGAGGGAGGGAAGTTGAGGGAACGACAGAGGGACAGAAACAGTTCCTCCATGATAACTTCCTGCAGCATAAAATGTCTTTTCATTCACGTCTTCGAAACTCGGATATATGACAGGCTTTGGCACACACGCTATCGAGCGCATCCTGTTCATCAACCACATCCTCAACGTTCCCCTCCCATCACTATTTATTTCTGCTTTTTTTAAATTATCACGGTGGGAGCCTGACAGACTCATAACTCAACAGCACCTCATTAGGACTCACAGCTCGACCCTCAATGACAAAACGGTGGGGAAAAACATGAAATACTGAAATGCTCCTCGTCCTTGATGGCTCTCGGCATATGCAGCTACTTGTGTGACAGCACTATTCAACTAGCGCTCTGGACAGGATGCAAAACCAGCATCATCATCCTCCATTCTGATAAAATGATGATATTGGGGCGTTCATTGTTGTTATTAGCATGCTGTCTCATAAAAATGAAGAAAAAAACCCCATCTGGACTGAAGAAATATCCTTTAATGTCCTTTAAGTGCACATTTACATTGACATTATTTTCCATTACTTTTCCATTTATGGACAGACGGCCATAAACTATGGTTAAGGGTCTTGAGAGATTCACTTCATGGACTTGACCTTGGATGATCTCGCAGGACTCCCTGTCTGTTTCAGTAGCATAGATAAACTGATAAACTGTCACATCACCAGAAACAGACTCACACTGTTTTCTTTTCTTCTTTTTAATAATGCAGATGCAATGAAATCATGACCTCATACCCAATTAAAACACAATTTAATTTTCTTCAGGCATGCTGGCAGCTGTGTGAGGCTTTACTCGGGCACAGCGCTGCTTTAAAGATCATGCTAACGTGCTCACAGTGACATGACTAATATGCCGCTGTGTGGCAAGTTATATTTACCAGCTTCGTTTAGGCTGTTAGTATGCTAACGTTTACTAATTAGCTCCAGACACCAAGTACGGGTGAAGTTGATTTCATGGCAAACAAGCCAACAGCCGTTGAGATATCTGAATCACAGCAGAGGACCAACTGGCGGAGAAACATTGTCTTCCTATGAAGCCAAGTCCGCTGGTGATGCAAGAAGAACCCCAGAAAAGCAGCCCTGAGGACCATCTGTGCTGCATGGAAAGTCCACTCTCTAGAAACTCCGGCTCAACTTACAGTTTGGGTTTTTAATCTGATGAAACTGCCCGTCGACTGAAAGTGAAATTTATTAGATTCTGTCCAGACCGAAACAAAAGAGTTATTGGCAAAATTGTTGAGTTACCACCAGTCAAAGTTTGACAACGCTGATTTGGTGCTATCAGGAACAAACTACATTTAGCTGTTTATCAACAATAAGATATTATCATTATGATTACCCCTTATTAAAATGTCATGCTAATATCTAGCAACCATTTAACAAAGTAATGAAAGCAGCCTTCCCGCTTCTTTCCGCCACTCTAAAGCCATTATTCCTTCAATCAGACCATTCCTTCATTTTTACACCAAAGTTATTGAACACTCTGTGTCGTTGCTACTGTTTAGTACCGTTGCCTTTTGTTATCTTACCTAGAAGAAAAAGCAGACATTCGTGAAGTGAGTTGGTTCGTTGGCTAAAAGCCCATCTACCTGTTTACATGTGAAACCACATTAGTTATTTATGGAGACCAACTGCCACGGTAAGAGAGGCGACACCTTCCCCACGCACAAGATGCTATATATTCACTGCTTGTAAAGAGGTGGATTCTTACATCGGTTAGCCGACCGTGTGACTTAAAAGTCAGTGTTTTGGCGATCGCATAGTTCAATGCTATTTAAGACAAATGTCTCTCCCTCACAGCCTCCCTGGTTCCGACTGCAATAACTGATTTAGGTGTGTCGAGAACTAAAAACCCTGCAGGGAGCTGCAAGAATAACAACTTGCCCAACAAACAAGCCTCGGAGCCGGTGAACAGATGGACAGAGAAGTTGTCCACAGGCTGAGTTTGGCCACCACAGGCCCCCCCCCCCCCCCCCAAGTGTTTATTAAAGGAGAACGTCAAAAAGCAAAGTATCCAGTCTGTGAGAACTGTTCGGATTAAGTCCTTCACCTGTAAACCAATCTGACGCAGCATGTGCATCACCTCAGACACTCAATGGCTCCTTTGAGCCCCACCCTTAAGCACAAGCAGCCCCTGAAAGGCCTCCTCTGTTGCCCTGTTGACACAACACCCTAAAGAGCTGAGATAGCCTTGCTAGTCCAAAAATTACAACGTGTCTGCAAGTGAGCCACGGTTACAAACAAAAAAAGCTTGGACTCAACTAAACGTTTAAGGATTAACAGACACTCGGGTGTGCTTTTTTTCCGGGACAAACGCTTATATTGACCATATTGTTGTGGTGGATTCATGCAGGATTGTAATTATCTGGGAACCGTCCTAATGCATACATGTTCATACATGTACACTGCATACATGTTCTTGTATGTGCTGATATCTGCATTCTAACAGAAATATTGTAAATCCTCCACATTTCTGTATGTAAGTCTGTGTTAATGGAAACGAAAATGGATCCCATCTTTGCTCCCTATCACTCACACCTACATCTACTCAACACACAGCTACAGCCATGTTATTCATACGTCTGGCATGAGACTGAGATTTTGTAATAGTTTGCTATAAACCGTGTTGATTTATGTGGAAACAGTCAATTATCCACAACTTGTCTTCACTTGTGTAGAAGAAAAGGGGAAGGGAGCGCAGAGTTGCCATGGTGACAAAGGGGATATTTTACTGTTTATTGTAAGATGCAAAAGCTTGACTGCTTGGGAAACCCAGTAAGTGCGGTTTACATTTGGCTTATTTCATTTTCATGCCTTACAAGCGAGCATTCAGAAATTGCCCTGCGGTTGAACTGATGTTCACATGCTGCCTCGAAGAGCGAGAAAACAAGAAGTGTAATGAACTTTTAAATCCACTTGAATTATTCAATTCACATATTTTCCAAGAAAGAATAACGCCATCTCTTAAAAAGACGATAACGTTTGACTCACCCAAGGACGAGAAGACACTCACCTTGACAAAGTTGCAGATGTGAATTCCAGCTGATGGAGACAGAGACGTTGTAATCAGCTGGTTTGAACCCGAATGAGAGACGCGACGGAGAGGTCCTTGAATTACAGCCCACGACCCGCAGCGCGCCGCCCGGCTCTGCTCTGAACACCGTCCATTGGTCCGCCGCAACTCGGGAGGCGGGCAACACCCTGAGTGACTGACGGAAGCCGACCAATCAGAATTCAGGACAGAGTCCCGCGTCGGCAGCAGAGGGCGGGGCCCTGACAGCATCTTTTTTTCCGTGACGTGTTGAGGAAGACCCCAAAAAGCAAGGGCACGCAGTGGAGACGTCAACCTTTAGCTTTGCTCCTCATTCGTGGTCTTTCAGCCATAGATGTGTGGTGATTGAAGAGGAACTTCAAAATTACATTTCTTTTGTAGATAAGAAGTTTAATTCATTATTTTTTGTGTGTGTGTGTGTGGGGGTGAGTGCTTTAAACATGATGATAGGATGACTACAGAGAATACAGAAATCGAAGTCAGGATGATAAATGACAGAACTTGGTCCGAGAATGTTAACATGCCGCCATCTGCTGGATGTGTTGTTAAATGACAGCTTTTCAGTAGAGCTCACGGCATATAATAAATATCTAGTAATAAGAAGAAAAGAGCACTTGTAAACAGTTTGGGAAATAGAACATATTTGCATATACATAGTTAAAAATGTAGGGGGACGATGAATTAAACTGAATTCCAGTTCTTTTGTGTTTACATACAGGTGCCGGTTCGGTTATACACGTACAATAGCAAAAGGGGAAACAATTGATTATCAACAAAAACAATCTTATCTTGGCTTCAAATTGCTCTGCAACTAGATCTACAACATTCTACAATCGTTTTTAGTTGTCTATTTTGCCTTGAAAGACATTCTCTTATTTTCTGAAAGCCTGAATAGGAGCCTCTTAAATCACACAAGGTTGCAGGCTTCCTGCTCAAGGACATTCTGGGACAAAAAACCCTTTGCAGAGATTCGGCCAGACTGCAACAGATTACGTGCAAAAAAAGGCATTTTTTTTTCTTTTCACGCTGGCAAGCTGGAAGGTAACTGCAGCACCTACGATACATAGAGACGACTTCCATAACACACAAACACAATGCTGTGTTGAACTCTGTGTGACATTAAGGGAGGAATCTCTTCTTAAAGTACGTTTTATCCTTTGTAAATGTAAAAACCAATTACACTAAAGACCCAAGTATTCATGTGCAGCATTATGAAGTTACAGATGCTGAATATTCCCTCTGTGTGCAGACACACCGGACTCACAAGAGTGTGCTCCGAAGGCCGTTCCTTTCATTTCAACCTCAAAAACAGCTGTGGCTTATAAGAGCGTTTTATAAGACGGGTTCTGAGCCATTATGAATCTTGCTAATTGAATGCTGAGAATGTTGAGAGTAGAATAAAAATATTTTATCATGAAAATACTGTAAATGTGTCTTTATTATGCCAACGAGTCCTTAGTGTGTATGAAAAAAAAATGAAAAAAGATAGCCGGTATCGTTTGAGCCTTAAAGCTAACTGAACATCTTTTGGACTGTATAGTTAATGTTTAAACTTTTTCACTTTGAAAACCATCTACCAGAAGGAAGCACTTTAACATCAGGGTTTCTCCTCTGAATAGAAATTTACACTCAAATCAATCAAATTGGGATCCAAACATTTAAACGATAGAAACTCATTATTATCAGAGGTCTGATGAAAACATTAAGAGGCTTGATTGCTGGATTGCTTGAAATGTGGTGGCTGAGTTGAACAAATCCAATTTGGGCAACCTGTTGTTTTATTCTTTTTTAAGAATTACCTGCATAACCTGATTAAAAAAACTGATAGAAACATAAATGTTCTACTGGATTTCCTCTTAAAATAGAATGTTTGATGTCTCCAGATTTAATCACAAAACATTTTAACATACGCAATATTTTTTCAATTAAACATTGAGTACATTGGTTTCATTTTACACATTAGCTTACTTATCAAAATAAAATCATAACAACTATTATTTGCTGCTGAATCTGGAAAATCAGTCATGTCCCGTGTCATCCATGCAGGTGGTAACAATTGATCCCGTAGAAGTCATGTTTCTTCCCTGTGACCACATTGTCCCTCAGGTTCACGGCAGCACGTGTGATACAGCAGTTAAATTCGTGATGGGCCTTTGACTTACTGAATGAATTTTGAAGGTCCAGGAGGCAGAGAGCTTCTCTACCCTCCGATCTGACTCTGTACAGCGGGCGAATGCCAGGAAGGACAGGAGGCCTCGGCAGGATGCTGGGATTGGACGTTGTGCCTGGCAGTTCTCCGCCCTTTGCCCTCTCCTGCTCTGAAGCTGCCCTTGATGACAACTTAGCATTTGATCCAATACTTGTCAACTCTTTGACCACAGATGACTGTCTAGTGGTAGAAAGATTTCCTCCACACAGCTTGGTCAGGCTCTTCTCACTGGTGAGCTCCGTCTCCAGAGGCGGCTCTGGACCTGAGATGTTCCCCTTTTGGCTGATCTGGGACAAGGACTCTTGCACTGGACTTGGACAGAGCTGTAATTTGCCGTTTTCTCTCTCCCTGCTCTCATAAAGAGAGCTTCTGCTTGGTTGCTTGTGTAAGAACACCTTGGACGACTCTTCTTCTGAGGAGCCAGACATGTGCTCGGATTGACTATGGTACTGTTGTTTTGTATGTGGTGTCTCGTTAAACTTAGCTGAGATGTCTGGTTGCCCCTGTTGGTTTATAGCAGCAGGAGGAGAGCATTGGTTTGGAGCTTGAGAATGATTCGGAAGTTCAATGGCAGTTGGACTGCAGCTTTCCCGCTGTCGTCTTCTACATCCTCCTCTGGGTTTGGATGGAATGAATACGGGAAAAGACCTTTCTCTCTGTAGAGGAAGGAATTTAATAGGATTAGTGTTGCCCAGAGCAACTGCTGCTGTACAAAGGTGTCATGTTTGTTCAAGGATTTTACCAGTGGTACAGCAAGTGAATTCATCCCAGTAAGGTCACAGATTTTTTCCTTGAAATCATCCATCATGAGCGGATTTGCTGGCCCGGATCCTTAGGAAAATAACAAACAACAACAGTAATATTGATGTTTAAATAATGCATATCCTTTATAGTCTAATACTTTACTTTTCAGCTTCATGCTGGATCCAAAAGAACGTATTGGGTAGGAGAAAGGTTGAAGAAGAAGAAGATTGTATTTTTCTTATGTTGAAGGGATCTATGCACATTTTGGGGGGAAAGCAGGGCTTGATTTCTATTTAATTTCAGTCTGTCATGACCAAAGGCAAAGCTTTCATGTGTGCCAAAGCTCCTAATGGTATAGGGAACTGTGGTCCTGTCTCTTAATGAAATAATTAGATTCAGACCCACTCTCCAATCCAATAACTCTTGTACTGCACTAATAGTAAGATACGTTTGGGCTCCTTCACCTGTGTGGTGCATTTGGTAGGAGGTGACCCAGCGTGATCGCTCCAAATTCTTCAGCATGTTGCTTGTCCGCTCGGATAACGACAAATCCCAGGCACGAGGTTTAGGGTTGGGCAGCACCGCCTTTGGAGGAGCGGGGTGTAACACCTGATCTTCTCCGTTCAACGGCTTTGTTTGCAAAAGAAAGAACATTGAGTGATTTGATGTTATAGGTTAACCACAATGATAATGTGAAGCTACGTAAAGTATTTCCTGATTCACATCCAAGGATCTGTGTTCTCCGGTCCACGTAACAGCTTTTTTCCTGGTTTGCATGGGCGTCTCCAAGACCTCGTGTCTGTATGGACCACCTGCACATGGAATTATAGACACATTAAACTTCTCCGGAAACATTAGATTTAACCTTTAACCACACCAGGTTTTACTTGTACCTTTAGTTTTCCTTAGCACGGTGATGTTGTGTGCGACTCCTGTTTCATGGTCATCTGGGGAGTGGAAGGATGGGAACATTGCAAACTTGGAGATGTGGGATGAATAGGGATGCTGTTTTGGAGTTGGTATCTTTGTCATTTTCTCTCTGTTAACAGGAAATTAAATGAAGATGAAGCACATCAAAATTTGAAGCAGACAGCTTTTAAAAATAAAATAAACAAGTCTATCAAACAGAAATTACTCACGCCATATTTATATCAGTTGGTTTTGGTATGCTATGAAAAGAAACAACGTTAGTGTCATTCTTCATTAATAACGACTATAGCTTTAATAAATGAATGGCTACTCACAGTTGGTCATTGAGACGAACTTTACTGTTCTTGCTGCCAGAATTGTTAAAACGGTGTTGACTAGTTGTGCGCCTGCAAAGGAAAAACAACAATCTATAATTTGATGTGTTGCATTTTTATGTACGTGCAGAATGTTTTACACTCACTCAGGTATGTTGGTTTCTCCACATCCAAAGTCATGATGACTATTAAATTCAGTCGGGATGCCGTGGTTCAGGGAAGCCTTAGACACCATCTGTAATGGTATGTTGACACACATGAGTACATAGTGCATCAGCATATGCTGCAGTGTGGCTAAAACAAACAATGTATGCCTCTCAGAATTAAAAGAAACGAGATTTGACTATGTGATTCAATCCTGACGTCATAAACGCTGTTAAAGACCTCAAATGAAGCTGTGAGACCCGCAGAATGACATCGCACTGTCACGCTCACTTACCTGGGCAGAACTGCAGAATAACAAAAACTATCTATTCTCCTCCTGCAGTCGTCTTGTTAAAAATGGCCAGAGTGGAAATGTCGACGACGCTTTCTGCGACATGAACTCTCTGGTCGTCACCTGGGCCCAGTGAGCTGGGATTGGATTCCTGGGACAGCCAGAGTGACTGTGTTACAATGAACAATAGGATCGGAGTGACACCCAATCCAGCCCACAGCGCATAGCGTGTGGGCAGAGATGTGGTTTTAGTAGCGCTAAAGCACAAAAGACTGAACACATTTGGTTTGCCAGGTCCATAACCTGCAAGCTCGTGAAAATGTGGGTTTTTACCCAGCAATAACCCGGGGGTGAGGTTGGAATCTGCTAATATTTATTATTAGATACGTTAGTTGCAGTGGATAATCACTGCTCTGGATGACAATCACCCAAACATCAGGCGTGGATCTGATCATATTACATCCACAGTTTGTTTGAATTCATGCCACTCAGCATCAGGTATTAATAAAGTCAAGCTGGGCGCGCCTCAGCACAAGCTGACACCAGACACAGGCTGAGCTCGGCGTTTTGGTGTTTGGTTACGGGACTCTTGTTTCGTTGACTACATTCTTAGGCAACGAGAAACAGTTAAACATTCAGACTGTTTGCCCAAATTTGTTCAAAGAAAGTTTCAGGTACAATCTCGAAGGAGATGCCCAGTCTGAGGATCATCCTGTTCTTATGTTGATTTATGTGCTCATTTTCTGGAACATCTTCTTCTAGGTTTTGTTGGAAAGCTAGACGTGCACAGTCTGTGGTGCTAATACTCTGTCATGACTGAGCAGGCATGAATAGGGATAATTTGTCACTTTAGACAACACCTAAGATTCTGATGAATGTAAAAAAGGACTAAAAGTAACCAAGGCAAATTGTTTTCCCCTTTTTCGGAGGAAAAATGGCAGTGTGTCAGGATTCATTGTGTCAACCCCTCTTAAGAAAATGAATAGTGTAATCGCTGATCTTAGAGATCTCATAAAGCCTGTCTGAGTTTTAGAATAACTTCATTTTATGTATTTTCTTCAGTAATAGGCAAGACCAGGCAAGGGACGTTTTTTTGTATTGCATATTTCAACAACGGGGCATTTCAAAGTGCTCTACATAGAACAAATAAAACAAAAGGTGAAAGAAAAATAAATTTTAAAACAATTAAGAACATTGATGGAAACATTAAAAACGGACATTAAAACAATAAGAAAGCTAAAAACAAAACACAACTTACAGTGTAGTTCATAAAATACTGCAGAAATTAAGGAAAAGTCTAACTTAGGGCGATTTTAGGTTCCCAGAACCAAGGTCACCCTAACCTTTCTTTAGATCCCTTAACTAAAGGATTTGAAAATGCATCATATTTGAATCTGGTGCAATTAAAGGCAGCAGCAAACGTAAAGGTTTTCAACCCTAATTTGTAGCCGCTGAGAGTCTCAGCAGACCTGCAGCTTGTTGGGAGTTGGTTCCAGATTTGTCGAGCAGAAAAACTGAACGCCTGCTCCTCCGTGTTTGGTTCTGAATCCGGGAACAGAGGAAGACGAGTCTCAGGCGACCTCAGAAGTCAAGAGGGTTCGTAAAGTAGCAGCAGTCAGAAATTTCTATTTTGGCCCTAAACCATCAGTGTTTTATAAACCAAAAGCAGGATTTTAAAGTGAATCCTTTGTTGGACAGAGAGCCAGTGTGAAGACTTCAGAACGGCATCGATGTCATCCACTTTCTTTCTCTCAATCTACTGAAGTCGTCTGATTGACTTTTTACAAAAACCTGAGCGCCCCAGAATTGAACCTCGGGGAACACCACATGTCATCTTAGTTCACTCTGACTTCAAGTAGGATTTAAACCAGTTTATTGCTGTGCCACAAAGTCCATCCCAGACTTTTAGTCGGTCTGGCAGAATGTCATGGCCAACCGTGTCAGATGCAGCACTCGGTAACACCAAAACCGTAGTTTTGAAACTGTCCTTGTTTAATTATTAGTTTTCAATGAATTTACTAAAAAAGTTTTGATATTGGCCCAAAATTGCTCAATGTTGCAAAGTCTGAATTTGCCTTTTTTATGACTGGTTTAATAACTTCAGTCTGTAAGGCCTGTGGGAAGACCCCTGAGGTAAGGGATGTGTTTACAAATGTAAAAGATCAGCTGTCGTGTTTGTTGGTAGAAGGAGCAGAACTTATGTATATTATTCCAGACTTCCATGGTTGATTAAATGAAAATGTCTCATGATATATGAATGGGTATAATTTAGAGATGAGCACAGCACATCCTGTGCTTCTTGTGGGTTGGTACGTAATGCTTTTCTAATTTTCGGAATTTTGTCATTAAAAATGGAGGCAAATTGATTGGATTCCCAAGTGGATTGGACCTCAACAGCCACTGACAGTGGAGGGTTTGTGTTATCACTATTGGTTATGATGTCAGAGAAGAAGGGCTGCCTTGTATTTCTCAGTTGCAAATTATATTAGCAAAGTCTTTCTTTGTAGATGTCATACTGAACCTGCAGATTTGTAAACAACCAACTTGAAAACCTAGCTTCATAAGTATTGGACTAAAACATCCAATACTCACCATTAAAAAATCAGCAAACAAAGCTATAAAAACTGAGAAAAACTCAAACTTCAAAGCAAGTATGCTTTATCCGGATTGTATATCTAAATAATGAATCTAAGTCCTGACTGGTGTTTAGTGATATGTCACATCTCCATTAACACACAAAGAGATACCTCCCGATGATACAAATGTAAAAAATCCAAAACTTGTGTGGGAACCCATTACTAACAGTGAGACGGTGATTAAAAACAGAAAAGCGCATTTGGATCCTTAAAAGCACACCTGATCTACTCCCATCCCTCAAAACAGAATCCTGAAAACTGTTTCTAAATACCAGTTTAAAATCAGAAACAGTGAAGACGTTCAGTACAATCGATATAGCTGCCTTTTTGTCGGACATGACTGCGTTCAATGCTGCAAGGCTTGCCTTGTTTTTTGGCACACACAACACCCACATTCTGCATTCTGCTTTTTAATTGGGATTCCTGAGAGACTTTATCCAAAGTCTCAGCAAAACACCCGAGTCAAGCAGCCTAAGCTAAGTCCAGTAACCAATTACCGGGCTCTGCCCCAGCGGAGCTGGTGTTAAAATCCCTGCTTCTGAATTTTAAATCTGCCACAGCCAGCAGTGATTCCCCTATGCTATTAACTGATTGTGCACATTCAAGTTCATGCTTAACCCTTACAGGGTTCTACACACCAACTGAAGCTGAACTCACTCTGTAATTTGTGCATTTACCAAAACCTCTAAGACATTGATAAATGAATGCACCTCTCTCTAAAGGAAAAAGGATGTCGGCTATGAGCTCCAAATTACCAGTTCAATCCATTGGTCAAAAAGTCTGATAAGCATGCTCCTTATGGTCCCTGAAAACCCCTCCCAAACCAGTACCTGGAAGCAGACCCAGGAGTTTGATAATTATCGAGTATTTATTATGTAATAATATAAACTTAAAGATCTACAAACTCAAAACTGACACGTCCTGTGCAGCAGGTCCTTATACTGAACATTGATACACCACAAATGCATTCATATGAGTGTTTTGTGAAGGTTGAGGTTTGGTTAAATAAAAGACAGCCACATCCTACCTCAGCGCCAGGGGCCATTGGCCCATTGTCTGCAGCCCTGTAGGTAAAAAAACAAAACACATTTCACTACCACAGAAGTAGTGTGTGGGTGTTTCAGTGTGTGAATGCGCATATTTCTCTCTATTTACTGAGAAACAGCACTTACAGACAAAAGCAAAACTGTGCCTCGCCTGCCCGTTCTTTAAATGCAGCCTAAATGAAACATCAAACCCGTGCTGGGTTTTGATTGGAGGCCTGCAAAGGGTGTCTCTGGTGGTAAAGAATAAAGAGAGCGAGTGAACAGCCTCCCCTGCAGTTTTTTTCTCCCTTCAATTTCTAAGGAGAATATGTAAGCCCTGTGTTTTTCTACACCTCTCAGTAGTAGTTTTCCCCACAGAAAAAAACGAATTAGTTTGACCTCCTTTGCTACCAGTATTCCAGGGAAGAAGACTGTCTCGTAAAGGGAATGGATGCATTAATTCTCTGAAGAGCTGCAGTCGCATCCCCCCCCCCCCCGTCATCATCCCCAACTCTTGTTCTCGTCTCGGCGTCGGTCCACACGGCAGCTCTCACCATGACAACATTTGACTTCTCGGATGTAGAAGCGTTTCTGGACCGCCACCCGGACCTCTTCGAGGAGTACCTCGTTCGAAAAGCCAAATGTGAGCAGGTTAGCAGATGGTTGAAGGAGCACCAGCCGTTGAAAGTGTCCGCGGCCGACGAGAAGCGCGCCGCGGCCGCCAGGGACCCGCCGTGGACGAGCAACCCGGACGGGCTCCGGCGCAGATCGTCCCACATGGAGCTGCGACGGAACTTCGCGCGGTCCAAAGCCTCCACCGCGAACCGGACCTACGACGAGCACGTGAGTCTCAGCGAACACGCGTCGCAGTCCAGCGTGAGGCGCCGCGCGCTCCTGCGTAAAGCCAGCTCGCTGCCTCCGACCACCGCGCACATCCTGAGCGCCCTGCTGGAGTCCAGGGTCAACGTGCCCCAGTACGCCTCCAGCGCCATCGACTACAAATACAGGCTGAAGGAAACCAACGAGAGGGAGTTCTTCTTGGAGTTAGTGAAGGATATCTCCAACGATTTGGACCTGACGAACCTCAGTTACAAGATCCTGATTAACGTGTGCATCTTGGTGGATGCGGACAGGTGTTCGCTCTTCCTCGTGGAGGGGCCCGCGCACAAGCGGACACTTGTATCCAAATTCTTTGACGTTCACTCTGGCACCACTGTGAGGCCGTCATCCAGCACCCTCAACTCCAATGAAGTGCAGGTGCCCTGGGGGAAGGGCATCATTGGATATGTGGCAGAGCACGGGGAAACTGTAAACATCCCAAACGCATACGAGGTGAGCCTGGGTAACATAGTATTAAAGGCAGATTTAAGTTAATGCAGATATATTTAAATTTAGTGAAGCTTATTGATTAAAGATGTGGGTAGGTGTTTTCTCTATTGGGAAATACACATTCCTGTATTCATATGTCAATAAATAATGTACGGTATTTAAATCTTTTTTATTCGTTTATTTCAGCAGAACTCAGAGTTGAACAATGGAACACTCAAAAAAAAAAATGAAGTGGAGAAGGCTGTAATTACTTCAATTATGTCATATTAAGAGAAACCGCGGTCTGTCTAAAAGAAAAGGGCAATCATATGCTATAATTCTTCCCACAAGCACATCATTATATCATGGCCCTGGGCTGCATGCAAGATAAGGCAACACGATTATGCCAATTCCCACTGAGGTCTATTACTGCAAACGTGTCAGGGGCATCATAGTTTTTTCCTTCTAAAGTATTTGTGACAAAAGTTTAAATAAAATCAATGTATAGAAATGTATTGTCACGCCGTTAAATTTGCATAAATAATGTGTAAACATTTGTTTATGTGACGGCTATTGCAGGACCACCGCTTCAGTGATGAGATAGACAAGTTGACAGGCTACAAGACTCAGTCCATCCTCTGTATGGCCATCTGTAACAGTGATGGGGAAGTCATAGGTGTTGTACAAGCAATCAACAAAAATCCCATGGGCACTCCCTTCACTGAGGACGATGAGAAGGTGAGCCGTTTCATTGTGTCTCAGCACCACGTTACCGTGTGATTCTCCCATGCAGCACATTTTATCCGCTATTTAATATCTTCACTTTTATTGTAAGTGGTTTGACCATTAAGTGCATTTCAGAGATGGTTAAAAAAATGGATTATTGTGGAACACGCACGCACAGACAACCACACGCGTACACACACGCTTTTTGCAGAGAGGCGCTTGACACATGCAGCTGAACGGAGTGTTTTTCCATTGAATCATCTTAATGGCCGGGCAGAGGAGGAAAGCTTTCCCTTGGAAGAAGAACACAAGCAGAATGAAGAGAGGTCAACCTCTTACTAAGTGTGAATCATTAAATATGTCTTGCTTTTTTTTTTACTGTTCCACTGCACAAAAAGTCTTATTTTATTCTACCAGTTTGGTGATGAACAAATAATATATTGTGTATCTTGTTTATGTGAAAAGTACTCGCTTTCTGTTTGAGACAGAAAAGTTATTTGTTTTACACATAATTTGTGGTTATGCAGAAACGGTTAATGTTTGTTTACCTTTCAGTTCAGATTCTGCAGTTCGTCCACAAGGTGGCAGAATAATGTTGTGGAAAATGCAACTCTTTAGCCTGCTCAAAAATAATCAACTTCACACTAAGTATGGAAGTATTTTAAGCTCTTTTTACATTCTGCTGTATGAGAATCTAATCGAATTCAATTTAGCTGCGTTTAAGCTACAAATACACTGACATCGTGATCTGTCAGCTTACCTGGACATTTTAGGGTACCGCGATATCTCACTAAATGCCTCCTTTCTCTAGATCAATACTTAATTACCGAGGAATCTATTGAAGTAAATTTGTGCAGAGAAGCAGCAAATTCCATCATGACTTTCTTCTCCCATTCCCACTTAATCTTTTCTTTTCTCTCAACCAGAACTACGCCCTCTTGTTTAGCATAGCTGTACTTCATTATGGAATATGCCTTTCACCACTTTCTTTTGCTACTTTTACTCAGGTTCTGCAGATGTATCTGCCATTCTGTGGGATATCGATTTCCAATGCCAAGTTGTTTTCGGAGTCTCGCAAGGAGTATGAAAGGAGCAGGGTAAGAGAGTGTAAACTTTGCCTTCATAAATCGATCTCTGGTTGTTTTTATAATAGCTGGAGAATCCATAGCAGCACTACTAGCATTCTCCTTGCCACAGGCTCTGCTGGAGGTGGTCAATGACCTGTTTGAAGAGCAGACCGACCTGGAGAAGATTGTCAGGAAGATCATGCAGAGAGCGCTGACCCTGCTGCAGTGTGAACGCTGCTCTGTGCTCCTCCTCGACGACATTGACTCACCTGTGAGGCTCTTCTCAGTTTTTTATGTTTGTTCTTTTTTTGCCTCACAAATTCATTTTTCTTCACTTTCCTATTAAAACAAATAGCTTTTCTTCAGCAAAACTCTCTTTGTTGCTAAACGTCGTCATGGCAGATACCTGTGTCTTCTTCTGTAGGTTGTGAAGTTCTCCAAGACGTTTGAACTCATGTCTCCCCTGTGCAACATGGACCGTGACATCAGGTGAAAAGGGACATAATGGACAGATTAGCAACACCCACCCCAAATGGATACATGTGATGTGCATTTATACAAATCCATAACACACTCAATAATCACTGCTGCTGAACCTAATTATTGTTTCCTGTTTGTGTTATTGGGCACATCAGCATGGAGAAGCTTTCATGCTCTGATTGGCTGATCAATAACAGCATTGCCGAGCTGGTGGCTTCCACAGGACTGCCTGTGAATATCAGCGATGTGTGTCAGGACCCACGATTTGATGCCGAGGTGTGGAAACAATGATGGACACACGCACGCCTCAGGCTGCAGCGCGTGTTTAAAATGAATGTTCCTCTCAAATAAAAAATTTGGTTCCTGGAAATATACGTTTCTCGAATGAACACAAACTCGAGTGTCACGGTCTCCTCTATTTACAGGCGGATCAGGCGTCAGGATTTCACATAAGATCAGTGTTATGTGTACCCATCTGGAACCGGACTCATCAGATAATTGGTAAATGAACCAGATATAATGAACCAGCCTTCACTGGGAAATCTGTTTCCACCATAAAGTCAATGTGTATATGTGCCATTTCTGCAGGAGTTGCACAAATTCTGAATCGCCTGGACAGGAAAACGTTCAACGATGCAGATCAGAGACTGTTTGAGGTTTGTTTTTTAAAGCTCTAATCGGAGCGGTTCTATGAAAAGTGTTTATTTTTGCATTCGATACAAATATGCCAATTTTTGTGTCGTTTTCTCTGGATTTTCATTTGTTTACAGGCGTTTGTGATATTCTGTGGACTTGGAATCAACAACACTATGATGTACAATCAAGTTAAGAAGACCTGGGCCAAGCAGTCAGTGGCCCTGGATGTAAGCACTGCAACCTATTACAACAAATGTAACCTTTATTTTCCATAATCCCACCATTTTAGTTCAGTTAGAGTTTTCCCTTCTCTTTTGGCATCATTATTGTCTCTTTGAAAATTCGAAATAAAGAGATAATATAAAAACACATTACCCACAAGCCACCAGTCTTTAGAGGTCACTCAAGCCCATTCTCCTTTCCAACGTGTCAAATATGAACACAATATTTTCATAGACGCAGGAAAATAGGAAATTCTGTTACAGAGTAAATCAAAGCTTCCTAAATTACTCTGAATTAAATAAAGCAAAAAATAAGCCCACCAAATAGTAACTGTGGAGTGTGGTGTCACCGATTAATCCGAGCTGAGGCTCTCCACCCTCATTAGTGTCTCCATCTGTGTTCCGCTCCATTGCCAGCTATCTAACAGCAGCAGTCACATTATCCTCAGCAAACACGGTTCTGCTTCTCGAACATAAATATTTCAGCTGCTTTGAATAATTCACGATAAATACACGTGACAGCCTGCTCGGCTCTCATCAAAGGCAACAAGGCCTACTGTGTTTCTGTCACATAGTCTGTGCTGTTTCTTTAAACACTGTTTTAGCAGACCCGAAGTAAAGCAACAACATGGTTTTGAAAGTACTTTCTTTGAACCCGTAGCAAAACGAAGGAAAGACAGGCATTAAAATGGTTTAAACATTGATCGTGTTTGTTAAACTTGGTATTATTTCCACCCCAATAGCATCTGAATCTGGATTTGTGTTTTTTTTTCCAGATGTTGTCCTACCATGCCACCTGTTCCAAGGTGGAAGTTGACAGACTTAAGGTTATTATAATGAACTTGTATATGCAGCAGCTACACTAACTTTCTGAAATGCATGAAATGTGACGTGTGAGGAGTTGTAGGTAAAGTGTAATTCTGAAGCTGTGTCTCCTCCATCGCCATGTCCTCTGCCCCCCCCTCAGGCAGCAAAGATCCCCCTGAGCAGTGAGTTAGGCATCGACGAGTTCCACTTCAACGACTTCTCTTTGGACAACGACGCTATGATCACTGCATCGCTCCGGATGTTTCTGGAACTGGGTGTCGTACAAAAGTTTAAAATTGACTACGAGGTGAGGCACTCGTAGATGTCATGTGACATGTTTGTCAGGCAACCACCGCGTTTACAGTGTGTGTGTTTGTAAATCGACTGCGTGTCTCTTATTTTGAAGGTTTTATGCCGCTGGCTTTTGACTGTGAGGAAGAACTATCGAACCGTGGCGTATCACAACTGGAGGCACGCCTTCAATGTGTCGCAGTGCATGTTCGCCATGATCACAGTAAGTTTCAGGATCTCCAACATCTCTCATGCGAGGGGCTTAATTTCATCCCACCAAAATAAAAACATCCAAACATGGACCCTTGATGAGGATTACAAGTTGTCAATACAGTTTAAATATATTAGTATTATTGTATATATACATATACTTTTAGCATATTTATTTATAATTATGTTGTATAGTCGTTAAATATCTATACTTATAGCCGTTCAACTTTGCATAAGCAAATCAGCTGATTCTGATTCTAATCTAAAAAAAATCACTGAACAAAACATCATTAGGAGGAAACATCACAGGAGATGTCTCCTATCTTTTCTTACTTTATTAATAATACATAGTATGAATAAACCTGCACAGCAGCTGTGGTGGACTCTGCAAAATGAGCGTGTGTCTCTTTTGGCAGACAGCCAGTTTCCGTGACGTCCTCACGGAGGCTGAGATACTGGCGCTGATGGTCGGCTGTCTATGTCACGACTTGGACCACCGGGGCACCAACAACGCATTTCAAGCCAAGTAAGTGAGGCAGGCCCAAAGTTTGACCACCAACAGGTGAGCTAAAGGTGCCTGAGAGTTTCGCTGTTCGTCTTTTTTTCTGCAGGACAGGTTCTGCTTTGGCTCTGCTCTACGGGACATCAGCCACCCTGGAGCATCATCACTTCAACCACGCAGTCATGATCCTGCAAAGTGAGGTCAGATCAGTATTTGTTTTCATTACAGCGCTCAAGTCATTTGGAGGTTCGCTGTATTAGCGTGGCTATCCTTAGCTTGCTTTTAAGCCAACAAGCAAAGGACAACCAAAACGCCCGTGGATAAATGACCTCATGTCAGACCAACTAATGGAAAGATCTCAACATTTTTATGTGTCTTTAAGCGCTGAGCCACCAGAAAGACACTGTGTGTGTCAGGCAGATGGTGCAGCGACCGCAGGTGATGATAAGACAATGGGAATTAGTTTGACCATCAGGAACTGTGTTCTGTATTGATTTATTTTAAGAGAGGATGGAGAGGTCCATACACACTGCTAATAAGCATTTACAATTTGCCGCATTGGACAGTGAACAATGACTTGACTAACAATGCAAGGAGCCACTATTTAAGCCACTATTACTCATCCCTGTCTCCTTTTGTTCATGCTGCTACTGTGTGCTATTGTATTTTTTCTTTTCCCAGGGTCACAATATCTTTGCAAACCTCTGCTCAAAAGAGTACAGCAACATGATGCAATTATTGAAGCAGGCTATTCTCTCTACGGACCTTACTTTGCATTTTGAGTAAGTGGTCTTTTTAATGGATTCAGAGCTGAAATACTAAATGATTGGTGAAAATAAAAACTATATATTATTAAATATTATTGGATAAACACCTACATGTAATAGAAAGACTCAAAGACTCTGCTTGTGTGATGAAAACCTTCTTTGAGTGTAGGATTTTGCTTTTTCACATCTTCTGCATCCTTGACGGCGTTGCTCCATTGTCAGGCGCAGAACCAAGTTCTTTGAGTGTGTTCTGTCGGGGGAATTCAGCTGGACAGATGAAGGACACAGAGAAGTTCTCAGGTGTCTGCCTTTGTGCAAAATAAAAACGTTTCTGTGCCCTAATCACTTCCACTTTGTACAGCCAAACAAGTAGCTAGAAACTAGCTTGCATGTCATCGACAGGTCCATGCTGATGACGGGCTGCGATCTGGGCGCAGTCACTCGTCCCTGGAAGATCTCCAAACAGGTTGGACGTTTCTCACATCTGTGCTTTCATGTTACGGGGTTTGGAGGTGTAGATATATAAGTGGAGTCATGTGGCACTGACTGTTTTAGGCTGCAAAAATTTGCATTAGAAAAATACAGCATTTTTTGTTGATGGATGTAATTTATGTCCCAAGGTTGCAGAGCTGGTGACGAGTGAATTCTTTGAACAGGGTGACAGAGAGAGGTCTGAGCTTAAGTTGACCCCCGCGGTACGTAAGCAAGCTTTAAAAGATTTCACTCAGATCTATCTGCACTCAAACTATGTTTTCTATGTGATGTTTTTTTTTTGACAAATATTGATGGTGAATGTTTTTGATTGATTATCACTAATCTGCAGGCCATATTTGACCGTAATCGCAAAGATGAACTACCAGTCTTACAGCTGGAGTGGATAGATGGGATATGTAAACCCCTCTATCAGGTAAACCTTCATTTAAAGTTTAACCTTTTATTCTGGGCCTTGTTTTCAAAAATCAAAACAATGAAAGCATTATTTGGTCGTTTGAATCTCTCCTCCGTCGCTTCCAGGCAATGCTGAAGCTAAACAGGAAGTTGCAGCCGATGGTCGATGGAATGGATGCCAATCGAAACAAATGGCAGGAGCTCTGCTCTAACTTTCAGGAAACGCACAGAACCTCAGTGTCCAATCAGAGTGAGGAATCCGATCAGAGTCCTCCGCCCCATGAAGGCCCACGTACAAATCAACACAGAGATTCCACAGAGACTGTGGTGCCTGTGGAAAACACTACGGTTGGGTCAAAGTCTACGTAAGCAGAGTCAACCAAGGTTGACGGTAGTTTTCTCAGCCCCTGCTGGCAACATGATGTCTACAGGAAAGAAGTAAAGCAAGCTGAGTGTTGTGTAAAGGCTTATCGCACGGGACTCCCTACATACCCTGGGATTTTCCAACACATATCCATGACCCTAAACTATTTTTACAAATCTGGACATTTTCTTCTCTCAAATGTCCTTGTAAACTAGGGAGCTCTATTATTCATGGTGATCAAACTCTATTCAAAGGGCAGTTTCCAATTTCCGTCTTTCTTCATTTTTGTCCTGTCCATCTATCCATCTATTTATCCATCCATCCATCCTTCTATCTTTCTGTCTATCTGGCTGCTTTTAATTACTCAGATGTATAAGATTGAGGGACTACTGTTGAAACCAAAGAAGGAAACTTACAACTCTATTGTTTTGCAATGGGAACTGCCTCAATTCCATTAGCCAATTAGAGCGCCTTTACAAAGCCGAAAGGAATGACTGTGATTTCTCTCAAGTAAAAACCCAAATTGCCATTTTGAATGTCGACCGGAGCATGATGTTGTTCCTGAATGTTCCTCGTGGTCTTACTTCGGTTGCAAAGCTTTGTCTGCATGGCATTATTTTCAATGTTCGATGGTTGACGAGCCTCCAGCTGTCTGATTGTTCTGTGAATTGCATTTGTGTCTCATGGAAACGTTGTTTATCTATGTTAAGGAATTAACAAGATAACAATTAACAGACAACGTGAAAGGTCAAAGGTTAAAGTCATCAATAAAATTAATAAATACCAAGTCATTCCTGAAATAGTTATGACACAGAATACAAATTGTTTTGTGAGATGGGTCAGATTATTTTACCGCAAAAGTATCATTTTGTTTTTTTTTTAATATTGATTATCAGTAAATCATTGATGAATTATCTCTCACCTGGGTAAGACTAACACAGAACTATATGTCTGTGGCCTGACCTCATTCCTGTTTGCAAAATGTATTGTTACACAAATCTGTAATGAGCAAGCAACAGCAAGGAAAACAACAATGCTTGTCTTACTGTGAATAGGAAGGAAATCAGATCATAAACCTCTGCTTTCGTATTATGTGCCAGATGAAAAATGCTTAAATAAAAGTTTTGATATATATATATATATATGTATATGTATATACATATATATATATACCGATTGTTTTGTGTTGTTTCAGATTCATCACCAAACAATGTTTTGTTTTTCTGGGAAGCATGTCAATTTTAAAACTGCATGTTTGATGTTGATACTGGACATTATCTTGATGCCTTTTTATGCCCTTTGAGATCTGCTTCGCATGAAGTCACCGTAAGGGATATACTAAATATTGCTACGTGATAATATTATTGTTGCTGCATTATTGTTGTTGATAGCAGATAACGATTTATATTTTCAATCACAGATTATACCAAAATTATACACACATTTTACATAGATTGGACTCTATATTTATGCAAAATGTATAATTGGCATTTTCACCTACTATTTATAAACTGTCCACTAAAAGGGATATAATTAGACTAGAAAGTGCTACATTTCAGATAACAGGGAGTGAATTAATCATCTAGTTTTGTGAATAAAAGGCTTTGGCATGGCAACTGATTATATGTGATAATTTATGATTTATGGATTTATTCAAATTCCCATTGCTGTTGTTCACGGTTATTTAAAAGGGCTTTACAGATAATACAGAGGCTTAATATGAGCAAAACACAAGTGCAGTGGAGTACTGACTGAGCACAGAAAGAAGTCACTCTGCCTCTCTGAGTTATCATCCGAGCTTCTCCTTGCTTTGTTGACATTTAGTGCATGTTAGTGCACGTGAGCATCACCTACTAGCCCGTGCACTGCACGGAGCTCCTCCTGCAGTTATAGCTGACAAGACCATCTCGACAGGCTGCACTGTCTGGCAAGCCCATTTCACCACTTTAAAACGGGTGAACTATCCCTTTAAGAACAGTGAACAATATCAATAAAAACAAATGCCGACTAACACTTTCCAAATCCTCTCATCATGAAGATAAAATGAATAAATGAATTAAATGTCACCAGTTCAAAAAATACATGTGGCCAGAGAAGTGTCATTGTTAGTATTAACTCCACGAAACCTCACAAAACACAGCTACGTCCTCACAGTGGGCACATCGTCGAGATAATCTTTACATATTCATAAAGTCTCTTTTAAATCCTAAGGTGTGAGTGTTTGATGTTGATTTTAATAAGGCAGCGAGGTACGGCATCGACAGCAGCCGCAGCGGGAGAAACTCTACATGCTGCTGCTAGCTGCCAAACCGTAGCCTGAGTTGGGCCTTAATCTATAATTTAACACGGATTGAGCTTATTCTCCTCGGGGTCGATGATCAGGGGAGAACCGGCTGGAGAGGAGCCTTCCAACCTCAGTTTTGATACAGGGACGTAGTCTTTGATCCCTCAGTCTCGCTTCTCTCCTGTTTGTTTCTGTTTTAGCTTCCACAGACACCGACGCAACATCCTTCTCTCCAATTCAGTTCGACACTACATGCAATATGTACACACACACACAGACTGACAAACGAAGCACTAAATGACCACCTGGTGATGAGATATTCATACGGCATAATTGTATCCTGAGTCATTTCTCATGAAACTGAGAATAGAAAACAAGCAATCGAGCAATAACGCCTGAGAATGAGCGACTAAGGGTATTAAACACTGTGCGTGTGTGAACATAACCACAGTAATGAGATCACTCTTTACTGCCGCCCTGTAAATCTGGAGGACATTTCCTGTATCCATTTTTAGAGACAAGACTGTGGCAAAACAAAGCCATACAAATGAAATGCAAAGTAGACCATGAATATTAATACGTACTCTCAATGGTAGTGTACCAACAATAGCTTACTCTCTCGTGCATATTTCTTTTGTGTGTATCTATTTTTCATAATTCAATTTTGAAAGTCTATTATTAGTTTTTTTGTTGCAGTCGTCAGTGTGATGGGTTCAATAATCACATATTCAGGAGCATGTGAGGAAGGTTGGAGCTCTAATCAATTGAAAACAAGATGGAAAATAATAACGGAGAGCATTTTTAGCAGCTGTAAAAAATACTCTAAACGAGTGGCCTTTCTTTGTTCAGCTCAATCAATGTAATCTTATTATTTAGATACCGTTGTTTTAAATGCATGTCACACTGTAATATCAGCATGTATTACTCATGCAAAAAAACTCAAAAGCAGGAATTACCTGAATTGATTTTGAGACTTTAAAGTAAACAACATCTTCCCTTAAGTAGCTGTTCTTGAACTGTGGTTCACATTTTATTTGATCAGGCTGTGGGTAAAAACTTATTAGTTATTAGGGATGTAAAAATGTTTGAATTTGAATGGAATTTGAATTGAATTTGAATTGAATTAGTGAGAAATCTGCAGATTCAAACAGTCAAAGTAGTGCAACTTACTGGATGGTTTGGATGTTTTCTTGTGGGGACACAAAATAGCCCACAATATCAAAAACGATCAAGGCATGGAAAACAATATTTTTGCCTGTGTTTTGCTTATGACTCTTAACTCATACAACTCATACAAGCAATGCAACATCATCACAGACCTGCTTTTTGGAAGTTGCCACATTAATCCATCACGATTATGGAATGTTTTAATTCAGGCTTTCTAAATACTTGATAATGTACCAGAGAGACAGACAAGAGGAAATAAACTGTACATGGACCTACCGACCTTTTCAGTGGCCCTCCTTATTTCATCTAATGAGCAATATGACATTATAGGATGTAGAAAGTTCAAACACATCGGCAATTTTCTTCTGTGTCATGTGCAAAACAAGACAAACCAAAAACCGCGACATAAACAACAATTGCCCACAACGGTGTGAAAAGGTGATGATTATCTGCATTTAAACGTTGAACAGCGGGTTGTATAGACAAACCAGATCCAGCACAGGGCTTTGATCACTGCTCTATGACCACGGAGCACTTTAGAATGCTGGCTCCTCAGGCTTAGCAAAAAAAGCCACGAAAAAGTGAACGCTTGGTTATTATGATGTACGGTGAGTTTTAACCCCACGATTTACTGTGAACATGAAAAGAGCTATTCTTCATCCAATGAGTGCAGCGAGATCGTCACAGCCATCCTGAAACCTTGGAGCATTTACAGCCGGCCGTTATTTCATTCTGTCTCTGACTTCATATGAGTTCTACAGATGAGATGTTCAAGGTTGATTAACCCGGCCGATAAATCAAGATGTGCTGCCCCGGTTACCCTTAAAATCTACCACTGTGTAGTCAGTTAACACCACTGCCGTTGATGAGATGCCTTAAAAACGTTTTGACAGAGGAGAAATAGACATGTGCCGTCCTATGTGTGCCATGGACTGACCACGGCTTCCATGTGGAGAAACTCCTGTTGATTTCCTGAATGCCCAGAGGGGACAAACTGGTCTTTTTTGGAGGTGCTATCCCTGAGTCACACCATGACTCTGGGGAAATTCGAGCAAGTTTGCACTTTGCCATTTTCTGCACCGCTTTCTCTGGCTGTCTGTCACAATCAAAGCGTTGTCAGTGTTATGACACAGAGATGAATAATTGATTCATGCAGGCAGCTCACTGGTTATGTAAGCGTCAGACAGGACTGGAGTCTGACACTGTGCTGCAAGTAAAGACAGAAATGTTACAGTGGTTTGTTGCTGTGTGTGTATTTAAATCAACAGAATGTTGGTGTGATTACAATGCACTAAATAATGAATGGAGGGATTTTAAAGACACAACACTCGGTTTAGTTTTCTGTGCAGCGGCCGCGCATGTAGTGGTGCTTTCCTCAAAGGTGCAGATTCAAGCTGGCAACAAGCTTTTTTAAACAATTAACCAACATTGAGCAATTTCTCACACTAAGATACTACTCAGAAATGGGATTGGAACTAAATTAAAAGACAAAAAGTATTACGAATTTTATAAATTGCAGGATTATATTTTACTATTCATGTTAAAATGAGAAAACTAAATCAACAACAAATTCAATCATTTTTGTTGGAAGAAATGTCAAACATGTTCTCTTCAAACACAAGGATTTGCTGCTTTGTGCTGTTATTATAACATTTGGAATGAACTAAAACTGTGAACTGTGAAGTTTAATCAATTAATTCAAACAAATATTGTTAGTGTCATGGACAAAATACAAAATATGTTGGCTAAACTTCCATTTAAACATGTTAATAACATTAACAACATATATAACACACATGGATGTAAGTGCGTATGTTTTACAGCCTTGCTGCTACATTTTATTAAGTTTTGCTTCCCTCAAGTGGTGAGCATGAGAGACAGAGACAGAGAGAGAGAGAGACAGAGAGAGAGACAGAGAGAGTGAGAGGGCGGAGCATGTGGTCTTGACCAATGCAAATGATTTCACCACATCTCTCTCCCCCCTGTCCCGCTGACAGCTGGAACGCCCCCCTCCTCCCCCGGTGACAGGCCGGTGCTGGAATCTTTCAATAAAAAACCATTGCGTTTTAGCAGGAACTCCTTTGATTTGGCCTAATGGCTGTCGTCTCTGTCAAGTGACGTGCAGGCGGGTGTTTCCCCCCCTGATAGAAACAAGCCCCCCCAATCAGGCCTCTGACTTTTAGAGAGCAGCACCTCTCCCAGTTAACTTCTGACTCCTCCCAAACAAGTGAGATGAACGAGTGAGTGATGCAAATTCAGCCGACAGTTCAAACAGTAGTTACGGAAGCAAGGATGGGTGATGTTAGAACTTCACATTTGAAAATATCAATATGAAGATATTAAATCAAGCGGAAAGAGACATGCCTCTTTTTGTCGAATCACCACATCATTCGACAAAGGCAGAGACTTTATTTATGAGCGCGTCTCTACCTTTAACAAAACCGTTTTAATTCATATGATTGATTTTTTATTCCAGAAACTGCTTCAAGGTTACATATCAAGCCAGAAGGGGTTCTGTGTAACTCTGGCGTCACCCGTCTCTCAAGGCCCCGTCACCACTGCAACGTCCGGCTTGAACGTGGGTCCCACCCGAGGGGTCTCAGGTGGACAGACTCAGCCTCTCTTGTATCTGACTATTAAACGTTTGTCACAATACGGCTTTTGTCTGTTATGCATTTCCTAAATCGGTATTTATTTGCGGCAGACATTTTGGTTCGTCACAGGATTTATTGTAAAGTTTGGCTTAAACTTTAAACTTGAAGGACCATCATGTTGTTCGTGGAATACTGTATGTGGTGTCAATATTTCAGACTCTTGGATAATTCAGGTTCAGCCTTTCAGCCAAGTTTGTTCCAGACTTGTGCTTTTGTATTCACATTGCTGACAGCTATTGCACTTTCTTCATCACTCAGAGTTAATATGACAATGTGCACAATGTCAGCATCAAAGTGTAACACTGGCCTTCACCATCGAGGTCTCTATAGAATGTACACGTTTATTTAGTTTGCGCTTATCAATTTAGTATTGAGTATTGACTTAGTGGATTTTATCTCAGGCATCTCTTCCCCAAGAGCGGAGCAGGATTTTACCTTCCACTGTTCTTCGGAAAACGGATGTTAAAGTGGCCGTTGTGCCTCTGGGAAAGATAAACAGCTGATATTTTGATATAGACTTTCAAACCATGACACCAGATTTAATGCATTCTGCATTCTTTTTTAGCTAGATTGAGCTTTTATCAGGTTATATTAGTATTGTTTGTGACATGTTTTGTGGGCTTATTTTGCATTGTTACTATTTGCTTAGTATATTTACTTATTTTAAAGCCCCACATTCATGCAAGCAAGTGCTTTTTGTTTGAATTCAAAAGATTTACTACACTAAATGTTTAATGCAACCAGTGGAGCGTCCATTATTGGACTTCACAGTACGTTAGAAAATGACACCGGGGGGTCTGACTACGCGGCAGTATGTGACAAGTTGGAATGACAAAGTGTTGGGGTAACAGCGAGTGCCCCCAAGCCCTGTTTTTTTTATTTATCGTAAAATCATTTTTCAAATCCACTTGTAGGAACCAGTGGAGGCAAGAAAAGCGCACACAGAATCACAGGTAAAAAATGATAAATCTATACT